CAAAGATTTCGAAAAAAGAAGTATCGGTTTCAGTATTTATTACAGGCGAGAAAAAAAACTTTATTTCTGAGTTGTCCAAATTTAAGTCATTTCACCGTTGGCTGCAACTAAAGTTGTTGTGTAACAACAACTTTAGTTGCAGCCAACGGTGAAAACCCCCTTCTTCAACTCTTCAAATTTCAAATTCGGTATTTCGAGAAAATATATATACATCTCACTGTAGAATTTCTTTCGAGGCACAGAAAATAGCGACAACAATACATTGAAATATGAAGCAATGTTTAGCATCTTTCCATTGCCAATAATAATAATAATAATAATAATAATAATAATAATAATAATATCTAGAACTAAAATGGAAAAATAACTCAATATAGTTTTCTATAAACAAACCTTGGCACATAAATCGCAAACAAATAAAGCTCCAATAGTAGCTTCTTCATGGTTATCTTGTATATCAATATTGATAACATGAACGCTGTCTCCTTCATTTGTATCTCGCGTCTGTAAATCATCCACTATCTAAAATGCAAATGGATACAAAAGAGTAACTGAGTTCATATAAATAAAATTTATATACTAATCCAACGACTACTAAAATTTTAACTATTTCTTAATTTTAACATTAAACTGAGTTTTACAATGTACGAGAATGTGAATGCCTCTTGAACTACTTAAAGCATACTGTTAATTATATGAATTGTAATCATAACTACTTTCACACTTGACAGAATAACTCGGAATATAGTGTTTCTTCTACCGATAAAGCAACTGCAGTGGGCTATATGCTGACTTTTCGAGAGAAGTGATACCAAAAATTTTTTAGTATAATCCATCCCTCATTAAGTTATGATAATTCGCAACATTTTATTTACTACTCGCTATCCCAGTTATCTTTCTTCTCAACTTTGAATTACAGATCCCTTAATATGCTTTCCTAACGTTATATAAATTAAAATTATTCAACTTTTATGTGTATAACGTTAGGCAAATATTTTTATGTAAATATCTAGATTATTTTAGATTTGACTTCAAACAAGGTTAGACATCTAAATCAATTCATCACAAGACAATCATTAATATCAATATGAAACGAATCCCACCTGATCATATACTCTCTCTTCTAGGCATATTATTACATCAAATTTTCCGCTGAAATGTTGAAATTTCTGCGGCATATCTTTTATTCTACGATTGCGATCTAACATATTTAATAAACCATTTTGCGTATATCTGAAAATATTGGTTTATTAAAATTAAACAAACTATTAATTAAAATAAAACATGATAAAAAAAGATATATTCCCTTATGAAACTTAAACGAAACATGGGAAAGAAAAGAATACAAATATATAGCAAAGCATAACAAAGCTAAGAAAATGAAAAGTGAATGCGCTTACAGCTGAGGATCTTTTTGTTTCAAGTCATTATATATGAAATCATACGTGGCTACACCAAAATCATAGCAATTTGGCCGGTCCGGTGTGGGACCTGGTAATTTGACCTGGCTTCCTGAACCAAATGATTCTACATTGAAGCCTCTTTTCCTGAAATGAAGAAATTTGCTGATGACGTTCATAACAATGAGATACGAAATTTTTATACATGAGTCATTTCTCCCTCTAATATCGTCAATGTGATGATTGTAAAAATATAGCTTAAAACACACTCTGTTATCCGCCGTTTTTTACTGCTATTGCTGTTAATAATTCATATTAATGTTTTTCTAAATACCATACGAACAACAGTAACAAATGGTTTTTTCTGAATGGAAAACACAAAATTCAGTGAAAAAGTTGTCATTATTATGGTTAAAACCAAAAAATTTATTAGGATTTCGATTTCAAAAGGTTTTGAATTTCTAAATTTGAATTTGTATTTAAAAATTATCTAAAGAAAAGCAGAATGCGCAATGTCATAATATTCTTCCTTGAAAAAAAAAAAACTACCTATGGAGGATTAATAAAAGATTATCCATGTAGGACTTATTCGAAAGAAAAAATAACTCGAACCAATTGATAAACTCAATACGGCACTACTTCTCTTCTAAAAATCTATGAAGTAAAATTAGCCATACTAATGCAGAACACAGCACTACTACACATTGAGAGAGATAACATGTACCTTTTAACTATTTTGAATAAGTACCAGAAGGAACAAAATGAATCTTCTGATCTCTCACGATATACTTGATTCGTGTTTGTCACTGCATAAATGATGCCATCTTGAAGTCAAAGAGTAACATTAATGTGAACAATCATACATCGAATTCAACGATGATTAAAACAGTAAAAACTTACTGCAGGAAACTGTGAGCTTCCATACTCCTGTTCATGTTGCTTGAGCAACTTACAGCAAAACGTAGTTTTCCCATGCCCACCACTACCTAATATTCCCCTCGATGATGCGATCTTGCGATATACCAGCGATGAACGTGACCTTGATCGCACAGAATCTTGAACAGAAATACTGGAATTGAAGTAATTTTTTTTCGCTTCAACAAAATATCAGAAAGCTCAATCCATTTCTTATATCTTCAAATGATAAAGAAGTATTTTTAATGAAAAATTAACGCAGAGATATTTTATTAGTAAACTGAATACAAAAACATGGCAAAATCTCCCCTAATACTTTATTTATTATTAGTCAATTCATGCTTAATCTGATAAATCTATTGCTATTTTGCACAAAATTTAATATTATTACATGAAAGAAACAGAAACTTAACAATCAGAAGATGAAAATGCTGCAATAGTCTGATAATATCTGAATGTACGGAAGTAAAAAAAATTATATGATACCCAAATGATAAGAAATAACAGAATAATGTAATAACTAGATCAAAGACAATCGATATAATGCAATAAATTAAAAAGAAAAAGAAAAAACTATATTACTGATTGAGAAAAATGAAAATAATGCTATCGTTCGAAAATAAATAATTTGGGGAATAGAAGCATGAAAATAGTGTTACAGTTTCGGGAGAAGAGAGGTTATGACACACCATACAAAATAGTGTGAAGAAAGAGACAAAAGGAAGCCAAGAGAAAACATGACCAACTTCATCAACAGGTGTAATGACTACGAGTGAAAGAGAAACATAACACTAAAAGCGAGTAAAGATATTGAAGATAACTAAAAGTTATACAGCATGAATTGAAATATTGAAGATCCCACAGAAATAACAGTATCCACGCAATGGCTGTAAGAGAAGTCCGAGTTGATGTAGCGCTTTGATTTTTTTCATAACACTCACGAGCCTTAATTTAGCTTCTTATTAGACAATGATATTAACGTGAAAAACAAGGTGAAGAAGTAGGTTAAGATTTTTTTTTCAAAGGTCAAGAATGTTAGCCTTTGAGACTATTTATTCTCCAAACTGTCGCTTCCCAATTTCCAGCTTTTAATTTTTATTATGATCAATACATGCAAAATTTCTTTGTTAATTTCTTCCGTTTGGTATCTTTAAAATCTGACTAAGTCTTTAAAGTTATTGCAAACTGAAATATCAAAAACTGACATAACATATGCGATCTACTTCAGCATGACATTTTTAATTTCTATATATTTGAGAACCAGTATATTTAAACGCCGAAATTCAATCAACATTGAAGTTGCAAATTTAATATACGTTAGCAAGATATGAAATTTAGATGTTTTAGTCTGTTACATTTTAACATCGTTCTATCTGTGCTATTTCAGAGTCTCTTATCAGAAATAGTGCTGTTTAGACAATATTTCGAAATATATTTCTAAAAGCTTTATGTCAGTCGAATAAAATTACCGTAGTTATTATAATTTCACTAAAATTTTGGCATAGGTTTAGATAATTTACATGTACTTTGCATCAAACAGAGTGCAATAAATAGCCACTTTTTTATACATAATTGCTTATTTTGTAGCAATTTCTTCGAATTAACTGGTCGCTTAATTAAGTGTATGACAAATCCGGAAAAGTGATTCATTCATTTGATAATATTCATATTTCATGCTGACTTCGCAACGGCAAATATACTCTGGGGCACCAAAAGTTCGAATGCCTAACATTATATATACCTATACACTTTGCCCAGAGGGACGGGTAAGTTGAGAATATGCACACTTTGTTGTATTATGTATGTATGTCAGTATCATTTATTCATAGAAAAGTAACGATGAGATAATTTAACTTTATCGATATAAAATTACAATATAATTTGCAGTATATTTATATTGTTGGCGCAAATGTTTATATTCGTACATCGATTAATATTGAAATAACCCAACAATTAGCGCTGTGGATTTTTGACTGTGCTAAATTAAATGTATATACATTTATTATTATTGCAACACATTTAGTAGACATATAAAAGAGCGACATAAATGATTCATTTGTTATTAATGTATACAAACAATGCTGCATTGATGAAGTTATTATGTAATAAAATGATTAATTTTAATACTGTTAGTTGTTTATTGTTGGATCAGAAAAAAATTAAAATAATTAAAAGATTATGAATTATTGAAAAGAAATGAAGGCAACTTATAATATAGTTGTATGCAGTAAATAATAATTAATTATGATGATAAATTTTAGCTATCATTTTAATCGATCCGTATTTGCCGATCAATTGTTTTATAACAAGCTAGGATAGAAAAATTATTAGACATTTAGTTGAATATTTTTCTTGTCTTCCATGTTTTCTGTAATGCCAATTAATAATAAATTAAATAATAATTAAGCATGATATTACTGCAATAGCAATTATTCGAATACTCTTTTTTTTTTCCTCATAATATAAATAAATAATTCATTTTAGTAAACGAATGGAAGAATGAATGAATCGTTTGTGTATTTCAATTAAAAGTAAACAATTTATTGGCTTTTATCATTTTCATTTTTTCAACTTTAATTTTAGATGTCAATCTATAACCTGCACTACGACACTTATCCGGGTAAAATTGTCGATTTTTATTCATTAAATGCCAGAAAATGCGTACTTCTGATGCATAATGATGAAATGAAATTGTTAACACAATATCTATTGTTAATGAATAAGGAAACAAACGATACGATTGAAATTTTATGCCGAAATTGGAAAATTGACGCATCTGAAGCACTTCGTGTTGGTTAGATAATCTAAGTAACGTTTGAGAGATTATGAAATTGAGAATTAAATTGATGAATAAAATAATTTGTATTGGTTAAAGTGTAAGAAAATAAGATTATCCCAGAGAATAAATTTTCTTTTTATTTTTGTTTTTAGAAAATTTTTGTTTACATTTATGAAATAATAAACTGAGTGAAATTATCAAAAGAATAATACAATCTATGATATGTAACATTTGAATAGTACAGAAAATATAATTAATTTTTTACACATCTTCTCAATCATTGACTGTATCTATTTAATGAAATTTGCTATTCTTCTTCTTTTCTTTACTTTTAGATTCCAATACTATTCTTTTGGATTGGATCTTTTTGCCTGGTCTAATTTTATTTTCTCAAATTATAGTTAATCATATGAATTAATCATCCATTCAGACAATTATTTATGTTAAAGCAATTAGATATCTGAAATGATCAAAATTTTTCACTTAATTTCACTAAAATGAGAAAGTTTTTCATGTTCTCAATCATTTTTAGGATACGGTGGTTTACCGTTCGGGTATATTGTAGTAAGCGGATATACAACACCAGAATTTGGAAATGCTCTTGATGTACGGATGCTACCTGCAGATCCAGGATCAGTGACAATTCCGGCAATCAATATGGATAGGCAAGTAGGAGATTCTATTTAAAAAAATGAAATTATTCGCGAATATAATTAATTATAGACTTGAATATAAATTCTTTAAGTACAAAGCGTTAGTTAGCCTGTAATGATGCCTTCATATTCAAATTGAACCAAAATAATTGATTTAGCTGAAACATATTTACTACTCTTCAACTTATTGCAACAATTGCAATTGATTATAATTGCAGTTTTATTTTTTCTTGGAAAATTATAAAATTTAGTAAGATATCAAATAATAGTCGAATATATAAAATAACAAATAATAATCAAGTAATCTTCAATAGATTAATTATTCGCCAGATTGCAAGACTAGAATCATTGATAAAACAGTATCCAACACAGAATTTGATTGTTTGGCCCGGTTCAGTACCACTGATAAATGATAAAGGACTTTATTTTTTGCTTACACGGTAGTACATCCATTCATTTTCATCATCCTAAAAGCAATATTTATGCAGGATAATTCTTACTCTTTGTTGTTTACAATAAGCTGATATCTGCTCATATTTATTCGAAACTTTCTACTAATTAGCGATAAACTTTATTGACGGTGATGTAACCAGTTAATCAACTACGATACATGTCAAGTAAAAATGTTATTAGACATTTCATTGCTTTAGAAATATCCTACAGTTTCTTATAGGAGAAGAGGTCAAATGCTAGTTTATGAAACAAGTCTTCTTGGTGCAATTGAATTTTTACCGGATGGAACATATAATCCAATGTTGATTACGGTAGATGATTCCGCTGTTAAGTAAGTTTTGTTTTATAATTTTCTTTAAATAGTTGAATATGAAAATATTTAAAGCAGAAAGAAAATAATAATGAATGAATATTTTTCATTTTTTTGAAGTTTGTCTTTTCTTGAATTATTTATCTTTCACTCATACAATGTGTTTGATATTTGCAGGCATCTTTCAGAACGAGAACTTTGCATTAATTATGTATCTATGTTGGCTCAACGTAACCGGACTTGTTGGATGAATTCTGTTGTGCCATCTGATCCATCCCACTGGAGAAATATTCTGGAGAGAATTGCCGTTGTAATTTCGGGGTAAAATTTCAGATTTTTAATTGGTTCTTCTAGCAGGTATGCTTAGGCTTTTATTAGAGTCCTCTGGCTATAAAAATTAAATTTCTTCAAAACAGAAGTTCCTTAATTTCAAAATTTCCAGTAAAGTATATATTATTTGCACCATATTTTCATTGCCAGGTTCATGTTGGTGTACTTTGGAACATTGTTCCTATGGTTATCACATATCGATGGAGGCTTCTGTGCCTATTGGTTCGTCCGTGCCTTCTTCTGGATTAGCGGCGGCCGTTTACTTCCTAACATCGGACTAAATCCATCATTTTACATCTTCAAATTGGATATGGATTGTTATCGATTGTCAACGAAGGATTTTCAGGTAAAATAACTTGTATAGTGACATATGATGTTGTCAATTTATATCATATGGTGCCATCAATTCAACAAAATATTAATACTATTGCAGGCGAATTGTACTTGGCTAAAATCAGGTGGTCATGCGATGATTGACATAGTGAATGACGGCAGCGCAGTAATGTCCGAATTAACCCACGATTGTAACATTATACGAATTACGGAATTTCCATCGCCTTTTGTTCCTCAAACGCTCCGACGACAAGCACTAAATAAGTAAATGCTAACATTTTTAAATTTGTTTAAATTAAAAATTTCGAAATATGGGAAGTGACAGGGATGAGCAAAAATAGGAAATGACAGCTAAAAATCGGGAGTGGTTTTGGTAAGAAATTTAGCTTGTTTTATCAGACTTTTCAGATGATAAATAACAAATTTTGTGCTTTAAAAACGATTTGAAATTATGAGATTTGAAATTTAAAATTTAAAAAAAGAATTAAATTATAGATGCATTGATCTGTACCAAAAACTGTGTTCTTCTGAAATGCTTCGACTAGAATGTGGAATTGCAGATTATCCGGAATTATAGCTTTGCTGAACGAAGAGAAATGTAGGTGATAAATTCTGAGAATAGCGTTTTTCGAATAAAAATTGCAAAGATAGATTTATATGTCTTGCAAAAATCGTTTTAAAAAAGACGCTTATAACAGTGAACTTTGCTTAAGTAGATGATTTACGTGACTTAAAATATTTGAATATTGGATGAGAAGAATCATTTTAAATATTGTTAAACATTCGATCTGATGGCAAAGTTTGCAAACTTGAAAATGCAAATTCATAACAAATTTTATATTATATTAATTATATCCTATTGTGGATTTTATTCATTTAAAGCAATCAAATTAATGTTCATTTAAATAACACTTATTTAAACAAAAATTTTTGCTTAAACAGGAACAAGCTATTCACTACTACTTTGCTCATGTTCTTCCGGAAGATCATCCACATATTCACCGGTATCAGCACTATCATCTACCTGTAAAATATTATTCATTTTATCCTGAAATCACAATTAAACGTAACATATCTTAATATTTAAATGCGCTTAACAAATTGCTTAATAAATTACCAGCAGACTACGAAATGGGATATTCAAGAATATTTCTTTTCTACATTTTGCCTGTTTTTTTGATACTTTGTTCAATTCTTTACAATCCCTTCATTTTTGACAGTTAAATTCAAATTAAAACGTTAACGTTGACTTACTCGCTGTGAAATACTTGCTTGCGTTTTATCGATCATCATTGATGTTACTAACGATATATCTTCGAAATCTGTTTCTGATTGTGTTTTATTAATCCTCAATTTTTCATTCTTATTTTTTCGTTCTGATGAAAACAAAAAATTAATTTTTGTGAAGGCAAACTTTATAAAAGATACCGCAATGATTCTGATTTATCTTTAACAGATTATAAAATTATGAACAATTCGTCATACCTTAATTTAGTTAAAAATCAAAAGTTACCTGTTAAACTTTTTCCCACGTTAAACTAATATTATATTTATCGAAATGACGAAAATCAATATTATATTTATCGAAATACCTGTATCAGGTTGTGTCGGCTGCAATGAAATTATTTTAACCGTTGCCTGTGATTGTATCGGTGCCTTTAAAGAATGTTTTGGTGCTTTCTTTTTGAGAGTTTCTGCTGCTGTTTTATTGGGAGTTTGTGGTGCGGAAGTTGTACATGTTGGCAATGGTAATTGCTTTGTTGCTGTCTAAATTAAGAATATCAGTGATAAGAGGAGATATAAGATGATCATGTTCCCAGTACCTTTAATACAATGTTGAGGCTATGATGCGTGACACACTTTCAAAACTGACGAGTTCGTACATTATCCGATATTCTTATCAGTTCAACCCGTGAATGGGAAACTACGAGATACGTAAGTTGCAGAAAACAAAGTGAGAAGCGCGGCCTCCTGTAAAACTAAACAATGAAGGGCAAATGTCCCTAGTTCATACATATAATATACATGAAACATATGAGATGAAGTCTTACGCAATAATTAAAAGTATCACATATCCATAGTTGTTTTAATAAAAAAATTTCTTTTTTATGATTTCAAATCTAACAACATTTGAAAATATCAAAAGCCAAAATTCTTCAACAGTTCTCTAAATATAATATCCTTTTTTATATTTTAGATTGTTCGTTATGAAATTTATAATTTGTTAGATAATAGTTATAAAATTTATAATTTGGAAATCTTTAAAAAAAGTCTTCAAAGTTTAAATAAAATAAAACGAATTCATCTAAAATTATTCAACGAGAAAAAAATTTTCTTTTTAAAATTAGTCGACAAATTTAGAATGATTAAATTGGTAAAATTTCATCAAATAAATGATTGAATAAAGAAAGTTATAAAGTTAGTCATATAAGCTTACCGCTCCACATACAGTCACAATTTTGGCATCTTGTGCTGTTTCTTGCTCGAATTTTTGCTTACTTTTAGTTTTACACAACATAATTATAACATTCAACAATACAAAATGGCAAAATAGTCCGAATGGTACTGAAAAACACAACCTATAAACAACTGGAAACTAATTTCAGATTTGAGATGCCAATTTTCATGGCATTCAAAATTTATGAAACAGGTTGGACTTTGTTGCTGATACGTTACGTTACTGATTTTGCCGTTACACTCGATGTAGGCAACTAAAAATTTTTTCCAGCATTTTGATATGTGATGTATGCCGCCTTTCTATACACATCATTTATAGATATCAACGTGTTGTGTGCACTTGACATAGAAAAATCAAACATTTTCCCAGTTCTATTTCATTTATTCTTCAAATCTGCGTCTTTTTGTTGAATATTCTTTAGTGCATAACATAGCACAATGGTTAATTGACTTAATGTAATAAATTACTGCATTCATTAGAATATTAGACATTTCTTTTTCTCCCAAATCTAACTGAATTTTTTTAATTATCTTTTGTTTTTTTTTTTGTTTACCTGATTACCTTTATTTTTATCTTGACAATGAATTTGGGATTGCCCTATTAATTTCTTAATTAATTATGCTCATTACATTACCAGTTTATGGTACATCATACAGATGACATTAATACTACAAGATATTTTTAAGGTATTATTCCAAGTCATAATTACCCTTAATAGTCAAATAAGCAAGGCAGATAGATCTATGATATCCTTCATACATTTACGCTATATGTAGACATTTTCAGTTATGCATAGCACAAGTTATCGCATGTTATCGAAGCACAGGATGATTTATTTGATTAAATTAATTGTTACAATGGCACGCCTTCACTAATTGGAAATTATTAAATTTCAATGATGTTATTCATGTGAAAAAATCATGCATTTGTTTCATTACATGTTAGTGAAGTATACAGTGTTCTTAAAATTCCAATAGTAAATACAATAACTTTCGCAGTTAATACATGCAGTGCTTGCAAGTTTTTTTTGAATAAGTGTAGATAGCATGGAACAACTTATTGTTGCGTACATGCTTTTAGATCTGAACAATTCTTAGGAAGCTGTCACTTATTGAAAAACTTGCAGGCTAAAATTTACAGCTAAGAATAGCTTGAAGTGACTTACAAAAGGGGTCTCCGATGAGGAATTCCATTAATGGACGACTTAGAATATTCATCCAGCAAACGATGCGGCACTAAATGATGTATTAAAAAAGATAACAGTGAATTATTATCTGGGATGATATGGTTTTTATATTTTTCAAGCTGGAAAAGGATTTAAAAATTCCCAAATATGCCAATGCAAGTGTAATATACATACAAAAGACATAGTTACATGTTATATGAGAGCTCATATATAAGTTCTTATCGTTTCTTTCGTATGCAATTATTGCGGAGTCATATCCAAGGATCGAGCATTTCAATAGGTTTAGGCATGCTGTAATGACATGGTGTGAAATTTTTTTGAGGCCTGAAATGCCTTCAACTTTCCAAATCACTTTTTGGGAAATCGACATAAGATAATTACAAGTTTTTAAAGGCAAGTATTATTTAAGGGCTTATTTTTTGATGTTACATAATGAATTTATGGGTTTATTTTATTGTGCAATCAAACAAACTTTTATTGGCTTTTATTGGTTGCTGCAGTAGATTGATGGCAAATTAGGTTTGATCTTACAGACTGTTGCGAAGGGAATGTCTATTTGCATGGTACCAAGTGACGCAGATCGTGAAGAAGCCGCGGAATGGATTTTGTTCGGTTTAGAACAGCTGGTAAATTTGTCCAATGAAATATTCGAACGCTTAGCGAATAGGATAAAAAATTTTAGTGAGCATGCCGATCGAGTACATTTGGATCTTAAACGAGTTGCCAAAAAAGTCGAGCAAATCAGAGAGGTTAGTAACCACTTTTGCAGGAATGGTCTTTTTTTCATGTACATTAGTTCTCAAAATTCACTTGAATCTATCAGCATGTTTTACAAGAAAATTATATAGTTAAAATGAAGTTAAAAATTCTTGATTACGGCAAATAAGTCGTAACAATATCGTATAATCTTCCAGATGAACACAGCAGTGGTAATTAGTGCTCCTGGCAAGTTTATAAAAACAGAAAGTGGATGCCTCCAGAGTGTTTTGGGCAGAGGATTGCGTACAAATGTGGATGTTTTAAGGAAGATTAATACGAAGCATAGATATGATTTAAATGAGTCAAAAGATATTGCAGTAGTTTTAGATGAAAAGCAAAAATTTTATCGGTTCACAGAACGAGGAATGAAGCTGAACAGACGAAGTAAGTTTCATATCTCATATTTCTAATCTGTGTCTGTAAAAGCGCACAAAATGCCCTCTTATGTTTTCATCTAGGTGAAATAAAAATGATTTTGATTGGAACTGGAAATTGAGAGAATTCGAAACTGCCTGTGATTTCTGGGGAGCTTGAATTATACGCTTTCAAAAAGGAGGGAGTCTGAATTAAACTATGCTTTCAGCTAGAGAGGTTCCTGATAATTTGCAGTCAGCTGCCGATTTGTTGCTGTTCAACACTACTCTGAATATTTATACTGACAGTCGATTCATGGATCCTTTTGATAATATGAAAATTGAAGTGAGCTTGAATTTCTCTTATTCCTTTAAAGAGGTAAAAATGACTTTAAAAAAGTGAAAAAAGATATTTCCAGAAATTTAATCGTTTATTTTTTGGTAATAGACTTCAGAAATAAGTATCTAATTACCCGAATTCTATATGTTTTGTTCAGTTGCATACGGAATCGGAATCCAAGATACAACAACCTGCGCCGATGGCTGATGATTCAATCTTGTCTGTCAGCGTGAAACAAAAAATGGATCCGTTGCAGTACCAACCAGAATTTGGTTCACTTCAGAATTTCAGTCTTCCCGAATTGTTATTTACTTCAGCAAGTATACTTTTGATATCTCTTATACTTGTTCTTAAATTTGTTGGCCAAGATTACCATTTCAATTTCTATCCTTAGGTGTTTGTCTTTTGCGGCAATGTTGCTAAGAAGCTTTTTAAATTTAAGTACATATGCCATATATCTGCAACATCCTAGCTGTGAAGTTTTTGGAAAATTTCCTTATTGGCCAGATTTGTTGCTAAAGCCTCGTTCAATAAATAAAGACCTTCATGACTATATTTATGAATATTGTTTGTTTTGGATTAGGCGCATATTTGCAAGTTGATTCAATTCCGGGCTTTTCTGCTAATTCGCTGGTTGTTCGGGAGTCCTCAGAAAGAGATATATCCAACATTGCCGAATCAGTTATGGAAAAAGATATTAGTACGGAAAAAATGTCGACGGAATCGAATATAACTATGGGAGAAGGTACTGGTAGACGGTCGTTAACAATAAGAGAGAGTACAGCAGTCGGCTCGCAGTTTTTGACTTCGGAAACAAACGAAACATATGAAACATCTTCTGAGGCGGCGAATATAGATTTGGCAACTCCCAAAAATAAAGTGTCAGAAGCTGGGAATTTTGCGGCGTCGAATAACGGTTTGTTTCAAAATTCCTTCTTTGTTATCATTCCAAACTAGATAATTTTTGACAAGCTAGATTTCTGGCGAATTAAATGCCAATTTTGACGAATTAAATACCATTTCTGACGAATTAAATATCATGTCACTGTTGCTGCAAGCAACACAAGCACTTTTACTTAACATGAGATGTTTCAATCATGAATTTGGAATCCACTGCTTATCACCTAAAAACTAGGAAATATTTTTCTAACAGATGGAAACAACAAATCAAACTTGACAAAAGGTTGAGGACAGAATTATAAAACGGAAAGTTGATACTGCCGTTTTATCACTTGAATGGCAGAATATATATTTCTGGAAATGGTTCTAAAGTCTTAAGTCGTAAATTTAAGTTAGTGTTCAGGAGTTACTCCGGTAATTTTGCTGATCTGCATTTGTTGAATCTTCATTATAATTATTTTAATTAACATCTCTTTATTCTGTGAATTTTTGGATGCAGGCTCTATTTCGTTTATTTTGCCTTTGAGTCTCTGAATTAGTTTTGCAGTACTGCATAAGCGTATGTGATTGAAAAAAATTGAAAGTTTTGTTGATTGAGTCAACCAAATATAACTCTAATATTGACGATTAACTCAATCTCTCTGCTCGTCTCTTTTCTGAGATACCTTTGTTTCTTTTCACTGCTTGTTTCTATTCTAAAAATTTTATAAAGTGGAAATGTTTCTCCTTTATTCTTCGTTAATATTAGAATCATTTCTTCATAAAGGTTAAGCACAAGGCAGTGACCTTCTCTTCGCTCTGCTCTCTTTCTTTTATCTTTGATGTGTAATTTGCGATTTTGTGACGATCTGAGAAAATCTGAAGATCTTATCTGGGTTGCACAAAACTATTGGCTTTTAGTTGCAACGAAGCAAAAAAGAGAATTTCACGGTAAATTCAACTATTCGTCATTTTTAAAACATTGTTTATTTTACATTAATTTACATAAATTACATAAAAAAGCTTTACATAAATTTTTCTTAGTTTTATACATTTTCAGAAAAAGTACCATCTTCACTTCCGCCAACAGCACCTCCTCCTCCTCCTCCTCCTCCTCCTCCTCCCCTACTACCATCAGCACCACCAATTCAGCTTATAACACAAACTACAATGGACAGTCAGTCGAAACCGATAATTGCACTTAATGACGGTAGAGCTAATTTAATGGAAGCTATAAGAAGAGTTGGAGGGGCCAAAGGTGCAAAATTGCGATCAATAAGAAAACAGGTAACTATTCAAAATCGACATTCTTTTCATCTTCAACCATGGAAGATGCCGATAAGATTCATCTGGCTAGCCGATAAAATTCACCTAGATTATTTTCAGGGAGAAATACTTGCTGAAGATGCATCAGTTTTGCCCAAACGTAATGTGCTTGCTCCTCCATTAAGTGACGATTTGATGTCTTCACTGGCAAAAGCTTTGGAGCAGAGGCGTAAGGGTACTATAATTTGAATCATATTTATTGCTTATCGATTTTATTTTACTAACTACTAAACTTTCGAAAACTTGGTAGGAATATTTGGAAAGAAATCGGAACATCGAGAACCAGTAAAATCTTTGGAATTAAGTGAAGGAGCATTCGCACATACGAGTGCTCGAATACCGCCACCACCGCCCAAAGAAGATAATGATGGTATTGATGAAATCGACGATTATGAATGGGAATAAAAGTGCATCAGATCTCATATTCTTAACAGTTACTGTGATTTTTCTTGACTGGTTGGCAGCATCATCACTAGGCCGTCGGTATTACTATTGTATAATTCACGATGCTGTTTCCGTAAGGATTCCTTAAACTGCTTTTTTTTACTATTAAAATGACTGAATCATATCATGTCTTCTATCCATCCCTTTTTTGTTCTATTCTATGCTATTTACTTTCGAACTCATATTTAATTAGAAGATACACTAGGCAATATGGTTGACAGATATATCCTGAATGTTTATAGATTAGGTTCAGTTTTGAATGATGTTAATTTCGAGTTTAACATTGGATTGATTCTTGATTTCCTTGTTTTTTATAATTTACGAATATATTAGAGTAAATGCATGTATTAAACAAGTTTCATACATTGCTTTAATATTATTTGTTCTGTATCGTTTACTGACGTTACTTGAAATTTATGGATCTACTGCGCATATGAAAAGTATAGTTAGTTGATTTTCATTTTTCTTTTTTAATTAAAATTCGTGGTTTGCTTTTGAAAATCTTTTCTCTTATATCTAAGGAAAGGATAATAACAGAATGGTTATTAACTAGGAGATAGTTTGAGGATATTCTCAACAGAAAATAACTCAAGAGATCTTCCATGGTTGATAATAGAACCGTATGGTTATTGCCGATGATTTACTAGAAGCCAGTTCAGATTCGATCCCACCATATGCTTCACCAAATCCTTCACCCGCTCGAGGAGTATATGGTATGATCAGTTTTGAAAAAACTATCTTGTATCTTTATTAAAAATTTCTTTCTTTGAAATTAGTATTTAGGTAGTAGAAAGTTTAAAAGCACTGCTTCTATTAAGTGCATTCGAATTATTAGGACGAAAGGTTTATCTTTGTTTTTTTCTTTTCACTCAAGTAAATGAAAAGAAAGAAATTGAGTAGATGGTGTAACTATTTAGTGGATCTTTAGGTAGGTTAATCCACATAGGGATATGGAACCTATTGATACAATTTCAATATCTTTTTCTGATGGAATAAAAAAGATTTCAGTGGGTTACATTTAGCGTACACATTTCAGGTTTTGCGTTATTTGTCTGTTCATGGTTTTCTTTAGCTTTATATCTAATTTGGGCTCTTCTTCCAACACCATATTTGGAATTACTTCATTTAACATACTTACCGGCCAAATATTGGGCTATTGCCATACCACTACTGTTACCGATAGCAGTTGCTGTATTTATTATCCTTGTATTGGCACATAATCTTATTCAGTTGCATGGCGTTTTTGAGGATATTGAAGTAAGTCTTGTTCTCTTTCTTGGGATTGTTTTTTGGAAAGTTTGGAGTTTGACTTGTCTTAAGCTTGTTCACACTTATTTGTATTCTCTCCAGATTATAGAAGACGATTTTGGAGGAAGTATTGAAGTTCGCAGTGTTGATTTGCAATTTGCAAGTACCAAAAGTTCTGACAAAAGAAAGGGTGAAGGGCTTATATTTTGCAATTTTTTTTTGCAAGTGCAAAAGTTTTTTAAAAGAAAAGAAATTAGGTCTTGAAATCATTTCACAGTACCAATACTTTCTGAAGAATGAAGTTGAGTAGATATTAAAAATTCTTGCTTCCTTTGCTTTTTAAGCTTATCAACACTTTGAATAGATATTAAAACTTTAGAAAAATTTAAACTTACACTGGTTTAATATTTTCGAGAAAGCTTTTGTATCATATATTATGCATTACCAATTTCTGTTGTTGTTTCAGTGCTGCATGTTTCTGAAATTAGTGAAGACAACTAAAGAGTTCGTAAATTTTGAAAGTAAGGAAGTGTGCGAAAGTTGTCATCATGTTGCATGGAACATCTCGGATCTTAAAGTCGTTTCTGTGTTCATTACTGCCTGCGCGACAACAAGCGCATTCATTTAGTCAACGTTTACGACGAAAAAGAATTCAAAGTATTTCGGCAAAAGCACCTTCAGTTTCAAAAATTAGTGAATTAGTGCGGAAACGATTAGAAACTTCCTGGTGTGAGAAACGTACATCAACTTCAGAAATGGATTTGGATTCTTTGTCCGCGAGCAGATACTTGGAGTATGACATTGTTTTATTTATTACCATTTTGAAAAAGCTTGGACTGAGTTAAATTTCCCATACCATCTTAATTTCTTGCTAAATCTTACAAATTTTGAAGAAATCCGTAACAACTTTTTGTTCGGTTAACTGATTTCAGGATAAATGCCAGCAAATATACTTCAGTTGTTGCATCTCGACAAGTTGAAAAAGAAGAAAGTGAATATGGAGAGAAAGAATTAGCTATTGAGTGTGGTTATGAGGAAACTGGAAAAGAGTATAATGTAATTTTTCGTTCTGCCTCGATTTTGAGTTTGAAAATTAATTTCAATTTTAAATTACACAGATCTCTGCAATTTGATTGGTCGTGTAATGTTTGCTGGTGGTTGAGGGTATAATTTTATACCCGATGTGACGTGAATCGTTGAAATGCCACCAATAGAATTATTCATTGCACCCATTATTTAACCTGTAAAGAAGACTTTGAAATATACTGTTCTGCAAATTCCTAGTTGATTTAAAGTTTAGTTTGATGTCAAGGTTTAAATTAAATCCAAAATTTAGCATAGAAACATAGATCTACAGCACTGAACCTTGCAGAATTTTCTATTAGCTGGTTCATTTCTGTTGAAAGCTGATTCGATTGTTTCAAAAAATCCTGCAGAAAGTTCGTCAACATTTTGTAAGCTTCATGGTTTCGACCGTGGATTTTACATTTATGGAGATAGCTTTGTCGATGAATTTGTTGTTGGTTCAACGGTGGATATACCTGGGGATGAATTAGAAAAGTTTGTATCACATTCATTTAAAACTTAAATTAGATATTCTAAGGTTTATAAAGAATAGGTGGGATTCTCTGTGATAATTATTTGGTTGAATGATGCGTGGCAGCTCTAGAATTTTAGTGTTGACGATGATATCGTGGTTCGTTATGGTGCCAAGGATGCTATTGAAGAAATTAATTTTCAACTTCCAGGACAAAGCAGCAATCCAAAGGCTGGTTTTTGTTCTGTTACAATCACTTATGTATTGTTTCCTGAGATTCTTGAAATTCTGGAGCATCCCTCTTCAGACAGTATGAACGCTGGATATATTCTTTTTTCTTTTTTTTCAATTATTACTTGATAAGATTCAGGATAACGTAGTGGAAGACGAGGATGATGAATTTTTGGATAACTATGGTATAGTCGATCCATCAGTGCCCTCCTCAAATAAGTTGTGTGGCGCATGTGGAGCGAATTTCCACTGTCGGGTAGGAAGTTATTATCAGCATCGTAATTTTCTTACCAAAATTTAATACAAAGTCACTAACTGATAGTTATTGGTGCAGTGATGATTACAATGAATCGATAAGGAATTTAAAAATTATATGATTGAGTTTTTTCTTTTTTTTCAATTAGTGCAATGAAAGATGATGTGTTATTCTCGAAACTTCATTCTTATTTCCAGGATGCTTCTTTACCAGGCTTTTTGCCTGCAGAAATTTTTTTGAAATTGAATGACTACAATGATCAATTGTGCCGCAGATGCTACATGCTCAAAAAGCATAAATTTTTGGTTAATAATTCTACTTTTGAATTGTTAGTTTGGTAAAATTTTACTTTGAATGTTGGTTTGGTAAACTAGCTCGCTCAGCGCTTTCTATCAATACTAGTAACAAAAGTAAAGCCATTATACTGTTACAGTAAATTTCTGGAGCCCTATTGTTTGAAATAGGATGAAAGTTGATTTCTACGTATTTTAATAATTATATTTTAGTAATAACTCACAAATCCGGTATTATGAGATTAATTCAAATTTCTAGTCTAAATCTGAATAGGCAGTGTTTACCATATATTTTATTCCAGCTAAATGTTAATGTTTGTGAAGTGGATTACCATTTGATGATGAAGCATTTAAAACTGAAGCAGGAAGCGCTAATAATACTTGTTGTTGATATGTGTGATTTGCCGGGATCCATTTATGCCGAACTGCCAAAGATAATTGGTTATCAAAAACCTATGATTGTTGTTGGTATGTTATTTTCTGTTCAAAACCATTAAACTCCATATAACTTTCGGTAGAGGTTATTTTTCTTCATTCTACAGGAAATTTGTGAAATTGAAGATCTGCAACACTAAATGATTGACCAATTAGATCAGATTATTTACATGTGATTATTGCAGGAAATAAGGTTGACTTATTACCGCCAGATGCGCATCATGGTTTTTTGCGTCACTTTCGACAAATTTTGCAAAGTTCATTGAAGGAAATAGGATTTGTTGATAATTTCAATATTTTACACACGTCGCTTATTAGTGCGAAAACAGGATATGGTGTCGAAGATCTTATTACTGTTCGTATTTTAATAAATTTTCTCATTCTTGATTTTTGCAAAGATTGTTGCTTGTAGAATTGTTTGCTTGAGTAGTTAAATATTTTAGGTAAAAATATGAAATCTTCAAGGTGCTAGCACAAAATCTGCAACGAAAATGTCTCAACACTGTTTTCTATTTGTTCCTAAATTTGATAATTTATTTATGTAATAAAATTTTTGCCGGCGTTTCAGCAGGAAGCGAAACTCGAGTTGTTACTTAAAAAGACATCAAGCCTTTATAGTGTATCAGTAAAACGATCTAATGTTATGTAATCATAGACCTATGTAACTATTTCAGAATATATTCTTGAGATTTTCAACTCTTGAAACTTTACGCAATCATATGTATTTAGTTGGATGTACAAATGCAGGAAAATCGTAAGTTCTTCCTATTGATTGATGAAATTTGTTGCTTTCTTGCTGTTTACCAGATAGTTTCCATCATTATGTTCATGTAGGCTTTATTTCGATTTGATCACTTAAGGTGGAAAGTTTCTGTAATTTACTCGCAGTCTGATATAAATAAGCTATTTTTTCTTTAGAAGAATCAAGACTGTTCGGATACTGATTTCCGTTATGATTGTTGGACCTACTGTTCTACCACTTAGCCATTCAGAGTAGATTTTTTAAAGATTCCCTCTTTCACAGCTCTTATAGTTGGACTTTTGGACTAATTTGTTGTATTTTTAGAACACTTTTCAACGCGTTATTGCAGTCCGATTTATGTAAAGTACGTGCTGTTGATCTAGTAGAACGTGCAGCTGTAACTCCTTGGCCTGGTACCACCATTTCATTATTAAAATTTCCGGTAATGAATCCTTCGCCACATAAACTGGAAATCAGGCGACGAAGGTGAGTTTTCAGCTTTTTTTGATATATTTCCATTTTTATTCTCTGATAAGTTTCATTAATTGTTATTGTTTTGCTCTTTATCGTTATTACGCTGTGTGCATTGTTAGCATCATGTGAGTTATTTTTTGCGTTTTTTAAGCAATAGTGTATATTGAATCTTAATTTATATTTCATGTTTTATATCAAGATTGTATAGATTATTAGCAAATCAAGCTTGGCAAAAAAAAGAAGAGCGTATGAGGTATAATCTGTATAAACAGTCAGGAGATGTAAAGTATGCAATGTTGCAATCTTACATTGGAAATTCGTTCAAGGTTCATTTTCTGTTTTTTCAAAAGCAATTTGGTATCTGTATACACTCATAGTTGTTTGTTATTTTGGGGCATATTTTTAAAGAAGACAGTGAATTTGAACCATTTCAATTCAAGCACCTAAATTTCTACTTCATTTTCTAAACTAAAATTTCAAAGGACCGCGAAGAAGAATTACAATCACCAGCTTTTCATTCCATTCTTACCGATTCCGAAGCAACAGAAAAACCAAAACGAATGTAGGTTTCCATTTTTTTCTTTTGAACATATAATTTCATCAAAAGTAATGAGTGATTTGAAAACATTTCGGAATTCAAAACTTTCTTAATATTATTAAAGCAGCACAGAACAGATGACAGGCTGAATTTGAACCTTTGCTTGCATACACACTTTCTTTCAACAAATTATACATTGATTTTCAGTTTTGATCCGAATTCACTTGTTTTTGCGAAAGGAAAATGGTGTTTTGATACTCCTGGAGTTGTCAATTCAGATCAGGTTTGTGCTTTAGTTTTTTCGTGACGCATAGTCGGTTTGGTAAGTTATATATTTAGGTTACCTAGTTACCCAGTTCAAGTTTTTAATAATTTTCTTCTTCAAAAAATTCTGACCATATACTATCATTATTTTGTAAGCATATAGCACTTTTTTCATCTATGCCTAATTTCTTTTCGCTTCAGGTTCTTTTTAAATGAAATATAAAGTTTTTCCCACCAATTGTTGCATTTAATATTCAATTTTGAATTTTGTAGCTTTGAATTATTTTTGAATTTTGAAACTTTGGAATTACTTTAAGTCCCTTTGCGTTTTGTAGGAATATTTTAAGTGTTCAGGTTGTTATTTAGATCCTGAATTTATTCACTTTGGACGAACTGATTGCTGTTTTGCCTCGGACTATGATTTTACCGCGAACATTTATCATGCATTCTGAGGAATCTCTTCTCGTTGCTGGCGTTGCGCAGATCGATGTGATCAGTTTATCGGTGGCTGCGAAACCTGCTTCAGATAGAGATTATCCGGAAAGACGGCCATGTGTTCTAGTAAGTCTTTATAGGGAATTCATTATTGATTTACCTTTCATCAGGTGAATTTTACGCAAATATATGAGATTTTAGAAAAAAAAATATGGTTGCGAAACCCGTTTGCCAGTGAGCAGCAGCCAATTTTCAAAATGAAATGTTTATGGTCAATTCTAGTATAACAGTTGTTTGATATGAGGCCGTTGTGTACAAAGTTTGAATATTTCAGCTGACAGTGTTTGCCAGTGATCAGTTGCCAATTTTCATAAGAAAAACAACTGAAGTGGCAGCTTTTCGTGAAAAATATTTGGGTGATTCACTTCTTGTTGTTCCGGCTGGCAATGCTGAAAGAATAGCGCGGTTTCCGAGTGTAAGTTTTGATTTATGGATGGATCTTTTTCAGACACATATAGACATACATTACTTAGCCATCATGTTAGCTTCAGGTCGTCATATTTTAGAATCCCGGACTCCAAAACAAAAGATTTAAAATTTCTGAATTGACAGGGCAGCAGTTGTTTTTTCTTTTAGCTTAAGGGCAGCGAAATGATCTTGGAAAGTCCTGGATCATGGAAAGGCTGCGGCGATGTGGTACTTTCGTCTGTGGGCTGGGTATGCGTAACATCTCGACGTGGAGAAGTTCGCTTGCAAGCGTACACGCCTGAAGGACGTGGTTTATTTTTACGACAGCCCGCTCTTTTACCATTCTGTGCACAACTTCGTGGCTCACGCATAGGTGGCACGGCTATGTACAAAGTGAAACGACCTATATTGCATGATCCAGATACATTGCGGAGACAAAAGAAACGAAAGACTCACAAAAAAGAAAGTTTTAAGCAAATGAATCTATTTTAATTCGTTTAAAATTATTAATATTTTTAAATGACTCTATAACGATGTATAAATTTTAATGGATTCGAGGTTCAGCCGTTTTTCTTGATTTTCTTTGGTTTCGATTGTATAAATTTCTTTTTTCCGGAATGAGAATAACTTTAAGTTGATGCGTTGTATATGTCTCATCTTTCTTCCGATATAAATTGTGTTCCTGTTTTATTAATTCTTGTTTCATTGATTATGTCATAGGAAATTAGTGATCCTTACTCATATCAGGTGTGACAGCTCGTTTAATTGATAAAATGAATAAAATTTTCGGTGAAAAATGGTAACCGGTTTCAAGTGACTTACGTTTTAGTGGATTTAAGGAACACTTCGAGGAACTATTATTTTTTAATAATAGCTTCCATCGAAACAAAAGATTATTTTTATACAGTGACTCAACTAATTCTAATTCTAAACTATTTTTCAAGCAATAATATTTTAATGTTTCTTTGTTACTAATAAATCCTCTGAGTAACGTTCGTTTTTGTCTTTACAGGGACGCGTTCAAATGCGCAAATTTTAAAGAATTTATTTTTAGCGTAATGAAATCTGGTTTTTGATTTATTCATGGAAGGAGCCTACTTAAAAAAAATGATTTATTCTAATGAAGAGAGTATGTTCTTAAAAATGATTTTAACTGAATTCGGAATAAATCGATGAAAGCATTCGGAAACGAAAATGTTTATACTTGCTTTCCACTTTCGATGATTTGAATTTTTCGGATATTTCGAGGAAGAACTGATTCTATGGTTTGGTGTGACGCAATCAAATGGCTCATTCTTAGAAATAGTTCACAATTATTGATTTTCAGATTTATTATAATTTAAATTATAATTTTGAATTAGGGTAAATTTCCAACGAATAAATAATTTCCATATTAGCGTTGAAGCGCTGTGAAATTAATATACTTGCAGTTTATCATGCCATTTTGATGGATGCATTAACTACTTGTCGGCTTTATTTGCTGGCGAGTTTTAACATGAAAATACTCTTAACTTTTATATTCATTATTCTTACTACGATCTTTTTCAATCGCAGGTATGCTTTTCTGGAAGTTGTCTACGGGTGCACGTGAATGAGATTCCAGAACTTTTCATCTTTTTTGCGAAATTAGGTGTTGTGTCATATCATTCATTAGTAAATAAGTTAATCAATACTATTTATAGGTTTTATGAGTAAAGTATTGCAAATTTCAGATGAGTCTTATTTTTACGCTTGGGTGAGCACTACCTTTATTGTTTGTGCCAGTGATTCTTCCGAATTTGTGTAGTCATTTCCACATGCCTTAGTTAGCGTAATCACTTTTTTCTTGCAACAAAAAGTAATTATGGATTTCACACACGTTGTCACATTAGGATGCTTACTTCCTTCTTGCATATTCTCCTTTTGCTTACATTGCTAAGTGCTACATCTTTAATATTTATATTAAAATCTTGCACGATTTTGTTTTCAGTGTTTTATGGATTGTTGTGCAGTGTTCAGCTCTACTCGTTGGTTATTTTTTAACAAGTTCTTTGATGAACCGTTCTAATGGAGAACTTTTATGGAATTTTTTCGAAAATTGGCTTAACGAGAAATTGGGTGCTAGTGAAACTATTGTTAAAAACATGGATGTAAAAAATATTTCCAGTCAATTCCGTAATTCACCGTGGAAAGGTTAGCCAGCAAACGTTTAATTTTTGTGTTGTTTTAGTGCTGCTTCTATGACTCTGATTTTTTATTGCCATAGAAATTTTAAGCTGCATGTCAAAAATTTTTGCGGGAGTGTATTGTGATGCTTGTTGCGCTACTGTCAGAAAAAATTTAAATTATCAAATTTTCCGCAAAACTTCTTGATGGGAAATTTGAGTGAAATAAGAGTTCTTCTTGCTCAATTTGAGACTGGAGACTATGTCTTTTTTTTCAAAAGCAAAAACTTTGTTTTAGAAACAGAAGGAAAAACTTTATTTCAGGTGTGACAATACCGGAACCAGCCAACAAACTGCTTGAAGAGTTGATTGAACAGCTAATTGATAACTATGTAAATAGTTGGTATAAAGCAAAAGTAAGCGGTGATGCAGCATTTGTCAATGAAATAAGGTGGTTTCAGCAGATTTTAACATTGTGCCATACTTATAGAAACTATCTGGTCATTAGCATTGTCCGTTTTTCGATAGCATTCACGCAGAATGCAGTCTGTTGCTGCGCATTACAGACCATGAAATCGTTCGATGAATTATAAATATTAAATTACAGTGAAATATTTGAGGAATTTATTATAGGTATCAGATTCGTTATGCTGCTGCTGCTTTGTATTTACGCTTTCGGGAAATTGATCTTTCCTCGACAATCTTGTTTGAGGCTGTACCGCTGGCAGTAATACATTGTGATAGGGTTGAACATTTAAGTGCAGTTATTAACAAAAATGCACGTTTTTCTATATTGAGGAATTTTCCGCTTACATATTATGATTCTTATGGTTATTGCAGTATTTATCAACCACAAAATTTCTAATTTAATTTGGAAATTTGATTGCTATTCTAATAATGTATAATTTTTATAAATTTGTAGTCCTTTCCATTAATTTATAATTTCACTCTCAGTTTTGGTCGCCAATCATTCCATATCGTTTAGGTATGTTCATCTCAGTTGGTTGAAACGAAAATCCTGGAAGCCATGCCGGATGTGCATTTTGCTCTTAGCTCACGACAAAATGAAGTAGATTATCTGCGCGAATTGGCTGATCACTTAATTGGGCTTATAATGGATGAAAGCTGTATTGCGGGTCATTCTAATGATGAAGATACTCCTTTTCGTGACATTCTTAATAATCGTTCGGTATTATTCCCACTCAATTTGAATTTTTTATAGCTGTTCACTTCATGAGTTATAATTTTTTTCTAGTAAGTAAAACTATGATCTTTGATAAGGATACTTATAGGTGTATAAGTATACTTACAAGGATATAAGTATTATAACTTATGAGTATCTTTATCAAAGATAATACTTATATGTAGTATACACTACATATACTTATAAGTAGCATATTGCGTCGTGTGCTGCTTTCAAATGGATACTTCTCAAATACTTAAAGTAATAGTTTGATATGTAGCATTTTTTGTGGGATGTTTTCATATGCATATGATGACAGTAGATAATTAATAGGATAAATTTGCTTAAAAATGGTGTGAGGATTATTCAGGTTAGTTATATGTTGGCTTTTGCTTCTTTGTCCAGTTTTATTTAAATCATTTTAGCAACCGTGGGCAAGTCATGTGTGTCGCCATTTTCTGCGGGAACTTTTTGTTTTTTCGTTTTTTTTACCTGCTATGGATTTAATAGCTGATCCAGATGTCATCAATCGAGTCCTGATATTTCTTTTTGGCTCGGATGCTTTCAATCGTCCGCAAATATCTCAGGTATTTTCGATATGGGCCAAAATCTATTATTTTCTGTTGTTAACTTTAAAAATATTTTCGTTCATAGTATTAAAACTACCCTTTGAGCAAATATTCTTTCTGACAGTACGGAAATACGGATGGTAACATTCATATGGATGTGGATATAATCTAAAGTATAAGTTTTTATCTAAAGAATGCTTTTTTTAGGACAGCAAACAAGTAGAAATCTTACATGGACTTACTGATTATTCTTCAAACGACACTCCTGACTCATTGCTTCAATTGAAGCTTAGTGATATGCTTCGAGATACTGGACAGTTGATGATGTTCAGAGCATACTTAAATGATATTCATGCACCTCTAAATGAACTTGACTTTTTAGTTCATGCGGGAGATGCGCATGGAAGAATGCTTAATATTCAGGTAGTTACTCATTGGAATTATGCTTTCTGAAATATGGAACTTGAAATGAACTTTTCCGCAAATGCGATAATATAAAATTCCCTACAGCAACCTATTACAACCGAAATGATGAGCTGTTGTCGTAACTTTATCCGGATTCAGGCTATTGTCGTAAATTTGTCCGGATGATAAGCTGTTGTGTACTTTATCCGGATTCTTCATATTTTGCATATATATATGCATGCTCATTAGGTCCTGATCACATAATTCTGTGATTACATAATTCACATAATTCTGTGATAAGGATCTAATGAGTATGCACGTATATATGAAAGATATGAAGAATCCGGATAAAAGTTTTGTCTGAAAAAATCACACAAGAAGGATATCTTAAATTTTATGAGGATAATGAAGAGTTTGAGCAGTATTTTACATTTATGAATTCTTGAATTTAATTAGATTATTTAAACGTTTGCATTGAAAAGTATGAATGTGTTTGGTAATCTTGTATTGCATTTGCAGAGTGATCACGTTGCAATGAATGAGCTGCAATACGACATTTGGGAGCTTTTTATTAAATATATACACGAAGGTGCTCCAGATAGGGTTAACCTTCCTATTGAGATTAGCTATAATTTCGGCGAAGCAATAGAAAAGCATGACTGTGAACTGCTTGATCGATGTCTAGAAAAGGTTTAGTTCTCGTTGTTTGTTAAAATTTTTAAAAATTATTAGTAGGATGATAAGTCTTATATAGCTTCAATATGTGAATGAAGTTGAAGTTTGTGGAGTTTTTGATATATTTCATCAACTTGGCAATTTTAGGCTTTTCAAATTGTATACAAACGAATACAACATGAATATGTTATACCATTTTGTCAATCAGAATGTTTCTTTGGTAATTTATGTGGTCCTCGACCTGCTGATATTGATGAATTAATTACACCCGGCGAATATACTAAATCAACTCGTTGTCTTTTACCAGCTGTGGAACCGAATTATTCCCTAACTCAGTTCAGGCAAATAAGATTTTTCAGCAATTATTGCATTTATGTTGCATCTCTTCTTAATTTCTGAATTTTTCAATTGATTAATAGTTGGTATTATATATGAATAGAGAAATGCATCACATATTCCATCTGGTTGAGGGATATTATAACCTGAAAACGCTGAAATCAGCCTTAAATTAGCCATATGGAATTCGAGCTTGAATAATTCTGACTTAAGTTTATTGATTCATAATTACTCAATTTTTCACAAAAAAGGAACCAGAAGGAATCAAACATTGTTTTTTGATAGTAATTGATATATTTTGAGAAAGTGGTAAGCATTTTGTTTCAATATATAATAGCATATGTTCCCGTTGTGATACTTAACGGAGTAAGAATTCTCAAAAATACAATCCGTAAGTCATCCAACTGTTATCATACTGCTTAATTATTGTAAATTTGTTGCATCCATTAGAGAGTATTTGGTGGACTACAAAGGATTTCTTATTTTGGTGTAACTAAGTGGGCATCAAGCAATGTCAGTCTTGAAATCTTTATCTTAATGTGTTGGCTTGACGACACCTAAACATTGCTCTATAAATTATTCGGCACAGTTATTCAGTATCTTTCTAACAGTTGTCAAATTCAGGAATCGGTTTTGGCGAATGGTCTTACCAACAGCTGGATCGATGGATCCATCGTTTGATCATTTGAATAATATTGCATTAAGCGAGGTGGGTAATGGGATCGAATCTGATAATATCACACAAAGTTTGAGTTCCAATTCACCAAGTGATAGTGCAACTATACCAACTTTTGAGGTAAGTACATCTGCTTTATTTAATGTTTTCATTTTCATATTCCACCGATGTGTACTAGAATTTCAGCTTATCGTGAATAATGGGAAAGAAAAAATCACAGAAGTGCAGGACGATCAGCATATCTCCAATATCTATATTCTGATGTTTATTTGATACTTGAGACATGAAATTTTCAATTTTTAATTTGTTTTAGTTGAGTTTGATCATAATTTCTACAAACAGTTTTCAGCCCGATGAAGAGCTTATTGAACAGCAGCAGACGAATTCGACTAATTCATTTGAGATACCGATGTTTGATCCGGAACGTGATATGAATAAATGGAATGTAACAATCCCATTTGTTGAGCCACGGCGTGATCCTGTTGGTGGTCTGTTTTGGTTTTTTTTTCGATGTTTTAGTTAATATTTTGGAAGAACTAGCGTATTAATATCTAAAAATTCAGGTAAGATATTTTTATGGATTGGTTCATATTCAGGTCATACGATATATGTTTATGTTATTTTGGTTGAAAGGTTTGATATAAGTGATGACGTTAAGCGGGCATCTTTATCAGCCACTGTAGCATCACAGAAAGTAAGTCCTTTTTTTTCTTAAGTTAAATGAAATTAAACTATAAATTGTCTTTATCTTGAAATTTTATTAAAATCATTTGACTTTTTGAACACTTTATCATTCAGGCTGTCAATATTTCCAGTGGTCTGTGATTCGTCATTACAACGAATTTTACGTTCTGGAATCAAAACTGATAGAGTTTCACGGAAATACGATTAAAACTGAGTCACTGCCACCGCGGCGTTTTTTCAACTGTAAGAGTCGTGTTTATGTGGAGTCGCGACGTGAAAATTTCGAGCGTTTCATTCAGCTACTCACAAAACAGGTCCAGCATTTTTTTTTTTGGATGAATAGTTGATAGACATGTAATATGCCGAGATAGGGAAACCTGACAATATTTTTATCGCTCCTTTAATTATGACTTGACAACGGAATGATTTAATTAAAATCATTCGGTAACATATATATATGCTTATATATATATATATATATATATATATAATAAGCATATTCAGTTAATTTAAATAAGCTTGATTTTTTCAGCGATCATTAAAACAGTCAGATTTGCTGTTTGTTTTTTTGAGTACTGAACAAAGGTTGAAGGACTCAACACAAATTTCTGATCTTTATCCGTGGAATGTAAGTTACAGTCCAAGAGTAAAAAAGAGTAACTATCTCTTTTAACTATCAAAAAAAAAACTATCTTTCAACTATCAAAAACCAAGAGTAACTATCTCTTTTACTTTTGCTTCTTCAACTTGCGATTTTCTTTCCCTCTTTTGTTTATCTAAGCGGACAGTTGATACTCAATGAGTTGTAGATGGTGAAAAAGGTGCCGAGTAAATTTGCTCGTGAAAGAGGTCAGAATTTAAAACCATTTATTTTATCCCTGCTAGCGACGACACTGGTTCCTGATCCGAACAACTCAACTGAATCGAGGTGGGATTTCAAGACCACAAATTTTAAATTTTGTTAGAATTTGTGAGTTCCTATGTAGAGAACACGTTGGATATTTACGTAGAGATAGGATTGAAAGTATTCGTGATGAAAATTCTGTACGTCTCTTTTTTCTGCCACAGTTTTTTTAATTTTTATCCCAACAAATAACTGGTTAGAACAAAATTTTGAAAACTTTGAATATTACTCTAAGAAACAGTATCGAATATTGCAGTATTTTCAGCACTACATCATCCATTAATCCAGAAATTGTAAGTCAAGCACGAAGGATATTGCAAAGTGATATATACGGTGACAATTGTCCGGGTGCTCAGATAGATTTCTCCCTCACAAAAAGTACATTGTGGACGAAGTATCTGTTTTATCAAATTCTGATATTTCCTTTTCAAACATATTCTCCATCCATGTTTTCTTTTAAACTGCATAATATATAACGAGTTAGATAATTTAATGAGTTTGGCTAGTTTCCTTCGCTGTATCTTTAACTTTTGATGCTTAAAAGGTGGTTTACTAAGGGCCAGACGTTGAATAACTGGATGCGATGTCACTTTTCAAATTAAAGACCTTCAAACAAAAAAAAAGGAAGTGATGGATGAATTTTAATTAAGCGAGAATTATTAAACCTCAACTTCCCTCGAATTATTAAATCACTAAATTTTCGCTTATAATTAAATTTTGGGAATTCAATTTTGCATTTCATTTTTTCTTTAAAAATTTCAGCAATTTCTATGATGCCATCCTTTTCATTTTGAATCGGTTGTTTGGTGTTGTTCGATGGCCAATATGGATCATTATTACCATTCGGCATTTGATGGGAGGTACCATTGATGCTGTAGCAGCTGTTCTATTTAGACGATTTCTGAATAAAATATTTGTGGAAGTTAATTGCATACGTTTATTACATTTCATTCAACAATCAATTTTTGGTCTTAAAAACGCAACAGAAACTGATCAGGTGACCGAAGATTCATTCCACTAATGAATTGCACGAATTTTATGCTTTTTTTCGTTTTTTAGATTATTCAATTAATAATATGTGTTAGTTTTTGTTCTGTTTGAATTTTTGGATTTTGTTTGGATTTAGATATGTTAATGTTTGGGTTTTTGGACTTTCAAAGCTGCTCATTTTTTCATCACTATATGATTAAGTCATAATCGATATGTGACTGAATAATCACATTTTGCTTTTTAGGAAAAAGTGCTACGTATGGAATTGGCGCAGCGTTTAACATTGAAATACTTACAGGAACAACTGCCAACTTGTTTTATTAAATTAATTGGCCATAACCAGTTCTGTCAGCGAATGCAGACCATTTTTCATATCTTGCAATATCCACGTTTAAATAAACAACTAGCATATGTTTATCTTGACATAATTATACAAAAACTATTTCCAATCGAAGATGAGCAAAAGTTGGAGATTAAATAGTCATATATGGTTTAAATTTGCTCGATTGATTATAATATTATTATCTTTTAATTTAATTCAGGTTTCAAGTTTTTTCTTGTTGGTGAATTTAAATTCGCTTAAATTTCTTGAATTGGTATTTGTACTAAGCATTTTAATGCATATACGGTCTGGATAGGTCTCCTTTGTTAGGATTTGCCTTCACTGTTCATGAACTACTTTCTCTTAGGTTTGCGTAGGTAAGCAATATTTTAACAACACCGTTCGTCATTACTTCAGAAAATCAAGTAAATTACTACAATCACATCTTGATCTTCACGACCGATCATTTGGTAACAAATGATAAAGATTGAAGTGTTATGTATTATATTTTAGTCTTTCACTGTAATACACATCCCCCTTTCGAAAATCTTTTCCTCATTTTAAGTTTACTTACCTAATTTTATCATGAAGCTTTATTGATGTGCCTGATTACATAATATTTAGGCTCGATTAAATTTGGAAAATTCACTTCATTTGTAATCCTGAGGCTTTTCACTAGTCAGCTAACTTATGTGTGTAATTTAATTTTCAAAGTTTAGAGTATTTAGTATATCATTACTATTTTAAGGAGCTATAATTTCATGTAATATTCAAATGCTATTTTGATCTCATTGATTATAATGTGTTTATTGTTTTTATGAGTTTTGAGCTCATGTTCAATCCTCGTCCATACAACTTTAAATCTGTCTTTCGGGAATGTTTAATCAATCCATTGCATTGTCATGATGGACTATTTATCATTTCTTGTGCGGTTGTTGCACTTGTGCAGCTATAAATACTTTCATTTTATCTATTCGTATAATTTAACCAAATATTGTTATTGCCTTTCTTATCATTATCATTTTTTCCAAAGGAAATTAATAAAAGTATCGATAAAATTTTGTTTATGGTGACAGTTGATTGAAGTCATTTATATTTAAAATTAATTTGACATATTTTAAATTACATATTTTAATAAATATCAACCTCCCTTACTTGTCTATTTATTTCAAATATTAGGAATCTTTTCAATTATTTGCAGGTATCCATGTGATCGACGAAATGTTGAGGATTAAAAATATAATGTTTAGCAATATCCTCATTCCATTATATCTAATGAAGTATTTGAGCTTGTCCGAAGTACAGCTTGATGCAATCTATTTAGTAGTTGTCCATGGATGGGTATTATAATTTCAGAGATTGTGTACAGCATCGTAAGGATTTCTAAGAAAATTTTTTGCTTTAGTTTATATGACTTTTGATGCAAATTTATTTTCAGGACGTTAAAGGCATTAAGGAAATGCGTATCTATGATTGTTTCCAGCATTTACCATATGCATTCGAACAAGTTGCAACAGTGTTCTGGCATCGGTATCCCAATACAACCGCAAAGCACGTTATAAGCGAAGATTTCATTGAAGTTGAGGTAATAGGGCCATTCAAATTTTTTGGTTATATTTTAAGAAAGGTATTATAATATCATCAGATGGTCTCACCGATTGTTACATTTTCCAAATTTGTCTTGTTCTCATGATTATTTCATTTCGTTACTTAATATATCACACTTTCGGACATATTTACTTATCTATTTTGAACATGGTAACGTATCCGTGAATCACTTAGTACTATTAGTTAAATCATTTTCCTTAATTCATAATCTAAAATAAATATGATATTGGTATATTTATTTTTTGCGTCAGATTAAGTTTATATGAACAATATGCAGGAAATTTATACATACAGTAGTTTAAGATATGTGCATTTGCTTATATATATATATATATATATAAATCAGAATTTTGTTGTAGTGGAGTTGCTCATATTTTTTACAGATTTCAGGTAGATGGTAATCAGATCAGGACGAAAAAATTGATATTGAAACAAACAGGAACATTCTTGAAAGCAGTTCCGAGATGGATGTCGCGTTTGACGAATGTCAGGGTATGGTGCACATAATCAGTCTTATTTGATTGCAAATATTAAAATTTTAAATTAATTTTTGGAACAGTTTTTCTTTGAATCAAATTTCGAATTCAAAAATTAATAAGTTTAATTATGGGAACAAAATTTTGATGCACTCAAAGATATCTTGTTTATGCGACTTTTATAGGTAGTGCCAACAGTTGAGGAAAGCATATTCGATCGAAGTAAAAGGTCTTTAGTGACTTATACGAGAAATATTACAATGTTATCCATCTGTAAAATTCATGAACGTTGTGTTTACAAGCCGGTATTTTTTCATTTTATTTCAGCTCAAGATTTTTTGTAGTTCATCTTTCATATTATTCCATTGCGATAGTCATTTGTAATTATTCTGCTAACCTTTTTAAATATGAATTTCAATTTATGTGATTTATATGGGATTCAGTTTTTCCTTCAGTGGTATTCCTCATGTTCCCTTGAATCTATTCAATTTTGAGATAGCCTATAGAATAGTTTATATTTAATGATTCAACCATCATAAAAGTTTAATTAAAGAATTTTTGAAATTTTGTCTCAAAAGGGTTTAAAAAACGGAGGGCCGGAAACGATTGTGGAACGTGGTGGTTTCGTGTCGACTTCATTCGGGAAGTTGAATTCGATAGTTGAGCGTGTTTTAATGGCAAATTTCAAAAAGAATATGAGGAAAACAGCAGTTGTTTATATGGAAAAATTGATGAAAAGGTTGCTTTGGATCATGTTTCCCCTATTGACCTTGTAGATAATTATATGTTTTGTTGATCTTATAAATGATTATACACTCAGTTCAATCTGGGAGTATCAGAATTTTTTGAACATTTAATCCTGTGCATCTTTGTGGTGTGCAAAGACACATTAAAGCCTTTTCGTATTAACTTTTAGATATAACGCAGTAAAACTGAGCCAGAAATGAAATCATTCAATTTTATAGGTTTGGTGAACCAGCACTGGCCAGTTACAAAACCAGTGAACCGCATCTTGTGAGGCAAAAGATTAACCGCTGTAACTTTTCCACACAGGACTGATTTTTATGATTGTGCCTCCTCCTTCACAGTTCCAATTTCCTTATCATCACTTATATCATGTGTACGACCTCAGGTTTAATCGTACATCTGTATGTTTTGTCTAAATTCTGTTCTATTTATTTTGTTTTAATTTGTAAAATATTCCATAAAGTTTTTTAACCCTTCTCATTTAAAAATGATAGAACAGTTTAGCTTTGCAACTTTATCCTTTTGCTGAAAATCCAAATTTCTTTTCATTTTTATTTTTTTCGTGAAAATATGTCGTTTTGGTGCATGATGCTCTCTACTTCTGCCAGATAAAAGATTTACAATAGTATTGTGACAGTCTTGTATTTATTGCGTTTTGTTGTTTTTCAATTTAAATTGTTTTTTAAATTTATTGTTTTCTTGCCAGTTGGACATCTTATTGATATCACAGCCTTTCCATTAAAAGCTGTTTTTCAAGACTTCTTATTAATGTTAGTGGGTTATTCCGAGCCCTACAAGTACATGTAAAGAGGAAATTTAACCTTATCGTAGATACGATCATGGTAATGTTGCAAATATTTATGGCAGGTCTTAGAAAACTTGTTCCAGGATAGAGACTGGGCAGTCTAAAAACAAAATTAACAATACGCCTTATGCGGTGATGTAATGTTTCAGACAAAGATCAAGATATCGGACGCCAAACTATTATATTAATATATCTTTCGAATAATTTCAATGATTTAATATCTTTATTTTTCCAGTGACAAAATAATTTCGTAAAATTCAAGATTATGCAGTTCTCGCAATAAGAATTAATGGGAAATTAAACTGCATTCAAGGAGAAGTGTAAAAAGCAAAAGGGTAATCACTTCGATGAATCCAACGAGTTTGTCAGTATTTCGCGGAGTTTGCTTAGCTGGTCTCGTCTCACTTCTACATTGTGCCTACTCAGCTGCACAGGTTTATAACTTATATATCATTCAAAGATGATTTGAAGTTGCTTGAACTTATGTACAATTGTATGAAAGCCTTCATGAAATTTATCAATAACTTGCGATTTCTTACTTTTATGACTTTTGACTTTATGCTTTTATGATTCTATGACCTTTGTTTTTATGATTTTTATAACTTCCATGTAGTGAAATATATTACACTAGTTCGTCTAAGTGTCGCTTTATTTGGTATTAACATTTTTCAATCTTTAATGAATGTTCAAGTTAATAGTTATTAATAATAAATGATTTTAATGGAATAGATTTACCGGTTAGTATCATGGTAATCTTCCAGAAAATCGTGAATAGCATATGGATGAAATATGCTATTCACGATTTTTGTCCATACTACTAGACCACTTGGTATTAACAACTAATGTTATCATTTTTCATTTTTAATTTTGGTCTCATTAAATTTTCTTTATTAAGATTGTCTGTAATATTTATGGAAGTTTTTGCAGCACCGACTTTATTTACGACTGACGGAACAGCCGTTCACGCAACTACCTCTTGATATTGTGGTACAAACAATCGTGAGTTTAATTGCTTTCGTTTATAGTGCTACTTGTATTGCCGGAGAATTTCAGCCAATCCGCTCTGATTTGCAGGTTTGTTATTGCTACCATTAAATCCACCTCAGTAACTTATGTATAATTAGGTCCTTTTTATTGAAAAATTTTAAATATTTCGCTCTGCGCTTTTGATATAAAAAAAGGCAAAAGAGGCAAAGGCTTACTTACCACTAACAGTAGGCCGCAACACACAACATGCAAATGATTACACTGATGATGATTTGGAATAAGCAAATTATCAAAAGTAGAATTTGGAAGTTGTTAAAAAAATTAAGTGAATTATTCTATTTTCGAACAATTTTGTGGTGTGTAGTTATCATATGAATTTAAATATTTAGAAAACTGTCCTTTTTATGATAACTAAATTTTATGTTTAAAGCTACAGATTACATTGTAGATGAAGGAAAAATGAATTTCTGAGGATAACGATTGAGGAGTAGCTGATATCGGGTAATTAATGTCTAATATTTTTTTAAAAGTTGTTAATGCTTGATGGTTTTAGAATCGTACAAAATCATGGGATACAGTTGGAAATTGCCCATCATTTTATACATTCGATCACCGTGCAAAAACTCTTTCACCATCATACCGCGATTCACCGCAACAGTACTGCGACTCTTCACCGGTTATTTTTTAGAAGTTCCATTTTTCCTTTAAAACCTCATTTCCTTCGACTTGGAAGTTTGATTTTCAACTTCAGTTGTGTTCGAAGTTTGTTTTTCAATTTAATAAATGAGAAGCGTTATGTTCTGGGAAAATACATAGAAAGCTAATAAAAGCGATTAGCAACACAATTTTCCTTTATCTTTCGCTTTTTCTCAGTTTCTTTAAAATATTCCTAATTCATATATTTTAAATAACACTTTCCTTATTTGTTGTCGCAAAATATAAAAATGTTTACATTTTTGAAGTTACTTTACTAAATATGTTAGGATATTTTTATTTGTTTAGTTTTCTTATGGCAGTATTTTATAAGTCATAATAATTGATTGATATCAATGGTGTTAAGTGAGTAAGCTGGAGTATCAGAAAAAAGAATAGGCTCTTCTCAGTGCATTACTTTCTGCATCTTTATAACAAACAAGAATTTAAACAGAAAAAATCTCGGTTTCAATATTTTACTTACAACCTGTCTCATTAAATTTAACTCTTAAGTTATAGGGCCCATCTTCATCAGTTGTCCAGGATGGCGAACTTTTTCATTGCGACAGCTGATCATTAAATATTCGACATTATTCTCCTCGTTTTTCCCAGTCTTCTCATTTATGCCTCATCAGGTTTGTTAATAGATTATCTAATTTTCTGGATCAAAAAAAGGAATTTTTCAAGTTCGAGCAATTTTAATGCAAAAATCATATTCCTGGTTACTTTCTGTTTAATGGATTATAATTTAGATAACTGCTTCACAAAAAGCGACATCACTTTCATCCTCTTTCCATAAATGTATTGGAAATGACTTGTCAGGAAAGTCTTCAGTGGGAAAAGAAGGATCATCGCAACGAACTCCGCAATTAAAGTCTTTTTCCAAAAAGGTAATGAATCTTCTTTATTGGTGAGAAGGGATACTCTAAACTTATTTTTTGCAATTCTGAAAAAAAATCTGTTCAGGGCAATAAAAGCTGTCAAGTGCGGGAATAATGCTGGATAGTTGCTACCTGCCATCGTTTTTGTTGTTACACAACTATAGATTAAATTCGATAACAAATTTTTGGTATTAATTGAATTTAAAGGATTCTAGTTCGTGTTCGCAACACTTGGTTCTTTATTTGTGCAGTCAGTATTACAACATTTGTAATAATGTTTCAGTATTTTTTGCAATGCGTGAAAAATAAAAGGAGCATTAATCATACTTAGCCAATTAAAGCATTTATTTTATGATTCCAGGTAATAAACGAATCCCTTCATGAATGTTTACAAATAACTCGTAAGCGAGATTATACAAATTATGTTGCGGGATTGGTGATGCCGTCGGAAATTCAACCTGCTTTGTTCACTGTAAATCTTTTACTTTTGTTTTCAATGATTTAATGGAATTAAAAGAATTCTTATAGTGCGTCTTATGAACTGTAGTTGTGAAGTTTATTTCTAGCTGCTGGCTTTTAATGTTGAATTAGCCATTATTCGAGACCAAGTTGTTCGCAATTCGGGAGTTTCCGAAATATATCGTTTGCAGTTCTGGAAAGATACTTTAGACGTTTTATATGGTCAAGCGAAAGGACCAATACCTCGGTAGTTTGTCTTTTTTAAAGCTTCGAATTTGAATGTATACTTTCAGAATTTAATTTTTCTGATAGTTATATTTGATAACTAGACAAATTTCCAGACAACCAATCGCAATAGCTTTAAGTCTGTTTGGGCATCGTTTTGATGAATATTTACTGAGAAATTTGATTACTGCAAGACAAAGGACGTTGGGTGATCGTCCATTCGAATCTCTTAACGATGTCAAGAAATATGGCTTCGAAACTACAGGCTCGGTAACTCAACTGATAATGCATCTACTTTCCGGCTGTCATGAGGCTAATGAGGTTGTGCTTTCCAAAGAAACAATCCAAGCGGTCGAGTCAATGTCAAGTGCTATTTCAATTATTACTTTAATCAGGTACATGTTTTCAACGGAATCTCAGTTTTAAATGTCAACTTTTCAGCTTCAAATTTTAATTTCTTGTTTTTCAAAATTTTCATTGAATTTATAACAGATCGACAATGCCTTTGTTAGCAAGAGGGATCTTCCTACTTCCGAATGATCTAACGGAAAAATACAAATTAAGCGCAGATGATGTATTCGGAAATAAAAAGCAGAATGCATTGCGTGATTTAGTTGAGGAGCTTACTAATGTTAGTTTCTTGAAATTTCATTTAATTTCGTGAATTAGGCTTTTATGTATTTATTTCAGAAAAATCATGTAACCCTTTATGTAGCGTTATCAAGATAGGTTTCGAAATACTATAAATAAGAATCCCAGTAATTCGGCGCCAGCTATTTAAAACTTTCCTCAGAATTGGGTACTCCTATATTGACTTTGTCAGGTTCTTGCATTAATTAACTGATTAATCCACCTTCCTTATCAAGACCCATTCGACTGGTCTTATTTTGTTTTTTAGTTTTTTTAAACTTAAAGGTAGCAGAAGCGGAACTTCTAAAAAGTAGACAATGTCGTAAAAGCATCGAATCAAACCTACGACTGGCGCTTATGGCAGGCGGTGCAACTTTGGATCATCTCTTGCGAACGCTTCGTAATAGCAATTATAATTTACTGAATGCACGACTTCAACATGGTTACGATCTTCTTGCATGGCGTTTTTGGTGGCGTAAGTTGCTCGGTCGCTATTGACACTGATGTCGGAAAGAATAAGACTTCTCCATTATCTATGGATGTTTCTCGAGCTCAACTTCATCGCACATACTTCATTTATTTTTTGCTTTTCAGAAATTTCACTATCTCTTGTTTTTCTTAGTCATTCATTAGATTTAGTGTTTTCCTTTCATATTTTTATATTTTTACTACTGTAATTCATTTTCCTTATTTTTTGAACTTTTTTCGTAAATTAACTTTAAGAGTCAGTAATTTTTTTGAAACATATATTGTTTAAACTTTTCTGAAGAAAGTAGCACGTTTTTCTTACATCTGTTAGGAACAAATGACCTGTATTGGCAGTTATTATGATTTTTACCTGATAACACATTGTTTATGTTCTAATAATCACTGACAGCTGTTCGTTATTTTATCAAAATATTGTATGATTTAGAATTTCTCGCATGCGTTAAAGTGAAAGGTAATGGCATAACATCTAATTTCCAACTTAACAGTTAGGCATATTGGATCAATTATTGATTATTTATGACCGTCACTGCGTTGCTTGAAATTTTTTAAAACTATTTATTTCATATTTCTTTATCATGAATTATCCTTGTCTCCTTTTTATCCTGCTCCTTTCAAGTTTCATTGTGGAGTCAGGATTTTATTTGTGCAGGAGATATGAATGAAACACGAGATAAGAAAGATGAAATAATCTTCCAGAAAGCAGAAATTTGGTTAAAATAAATTTCTTAAATCTTTTCGATTCATTGCGCAATGATATATATGAAAGAAAGTTTTTTATGTCTTTTTCTTGCAGTCATTTTTTCATCATTTTGTTGAGTGAATACTTTTATAAAATAAAGATTTCTGTTATATTCAGTAACACTCGGTGTGTCATATAAAATTTATGATTGATGCATGCTCTGATATTACTACCTCCCCATTTAATAACTATTATTTTGCGCGGAAGTGATGTCTTTTTGTTTTGGATGATTATTTATTACTGTCTGCCAATAATGAACAGTGTTAACAAATAGTCATATGAGATGAGATAAAGTTGAAATTGGTCATGTGATTATGGTCAGTAATATATGATAAAGGAGCTTGTGATCTTTGTTGATCTTTTTGGTTTTGGTTAAAAGTCAGTTTTTCTTCCTTGTTAGATGTTTTACCTTTAAAATATTCAAAAATTGAATCTAGGGTATTTTGAATTAAATTAAGTGTTTGGCAGAATATGATAAACTTATATAAATTATATTATCATTTATTTGGGTTACGGAATAAAATTGTTAAAAGCAAAATAACATCATATAAAATTTATGATTGATGCATGCTGTGATATTACTACCTCCCCATATAATAACTATTATTTTGACAATTATTCTATTAAAAATAATCGAGAAAATACGGCGAGGCGTGGGTTGATTATAATTTGTTAATTTGAGCTATCAATAGCATAAAATAAGACTTATACTTTTAAGCAGGATGGTTTTAACAAACTTTCTTTAAGAAAACACATAAAATTAGGTCGATGGATGTTTGTGTAACGAAATGAGTTCTTGTTGTTAATCAATGAATAATTTCTTGCTCAAGTATTAAATATTTTTGCTTTCTGATAGAAATTAAAATTGGTCTTCAGAATTTTCTTTTCTTACGACAATTAAAATTAATTACAGACCTTGAAGTATATTCAACTATTATTAGTTATAATATCTTTTTCCGGTTTTTCATATCTATTTTATTATAGTTGGGTGTTAATATTCTATAATTATAGCATTATTTTATTGCTTGTTTTTCTTTTGTTTTCTCGATTATTTTTAATAGAATAATTACTTACGGATTATTTTGTCAAATTAATCCAATGAAAGTATCCTTCAGTAAGCAGTGCATTTGTCATAATTTATTATGACAAATACTAACTATAGAAGAGTACATGGAGTATTTTTATAATATTAAACTTGCTTTTGCTTCCTCTATGAATAGAATTTAAGAAAATACATTATGATAGAATATCGATAAGCAATATCGATTTTAGGAGATGAGAGAAGGAAGTAAATACTACAACATAGTGAAAAGTATATCAGTATTGTTTGTATCAAAGCTAATACGTATAAATAGATACAATTCAATTTGAATTGATCGCAAAGTAAAGTATGATTCTTGTTATAAGCAAATTAATACTATTTAAGAAATTAATTAAGCAACATAAAATAATGAGAAAGGTTATTTTGCGAATTCACAACTAATTTGTCTTTTTCTTATTTCTATTTACAAAATAAAATTTGCATATTTAAAATTGTTTGCAGTATGAATTGAAGTAAATGAGGAATCCGTGTGATGCAATTTTAAACATACCTATCGAAAGGATTTGTAGCAATGAGTAATTTCATCTTCGCTAATCTTGTTTTATTATTTCAATAGCAATATTTTAACAATATGCTAGAATTTGAAGGACACAAGCATTCGGTAGTAATAGTACAACGAACCGAAATTAGCATTACCTTTTTTGACAAAAGAACAAAATTAGTTTTGAAATTTCGCAATTTTAAAAATATAACGAAGCATTTTTTGAGTAAAGTTAATTTTTTTTGCTTCCTTTTTTTAATATTACTTTTATTAATTATTATACAAATAAAAACTATAAAATTTCAAAAATTTCATTGATGCCTTTTGTTTTATGAATAAATTAATTACATGTGATGAACATTACAAACAAGTTGAGAAATTTTCAAAATGAAAAGTTTAAAAATTTTCATCTTTCAATAATATCAACCATTTATTATTAGTTAGCTTATTTTAATGAATTTAAAGATGCTAATTTTGTATTTTAAGGATTAATAATAAAATTACGGAAACATTTTAATTGTTATAAAAATTGAAATTTTATATGAGAAAGAAATGCAATATGCTTTAATTATTACACAGTAATTTATATACTTTAAAAAATTTTTATTATTGTTGTGTTAGGAATTATTATTATGTAGGTAATGCAGGTATTGAATGCTTGCTTTATTTATGATATGAATAATTACATGAGACGAGACGATTGTAAGTCTTCAATATTTTAATAAATAAAATTGGTGACAAATTTTTTTTAAGAAAAACAATAAATGATTAAACAAAATGTGAAGCAACGTAAGATAATTAAAAATTAAAATTTAAACTTGACATATTTGTCCACTTTAAAATTTAGCATTTTCATATCCCTTTAATAATTTATTTAATTTTAAGAGTAAAAATTTTGCTTTTCGATAAAATGATTAAGAATTTAATATCATTTTAAAGATGTAAATTTTGGGGTTAATATGAAAATTTATGCATACTTGTTAGAACTTATTACCACCTTAGAATTTCATTCTGGTAATGTTACATTTGGCTGACAGTAATATTCAAATGAACAAAAATAATCTTAATATAATGGGATCTCTTTGATTAAATAAATTTTGAGGTAAAATATCTTTTGAGGCAAAATATTAAAAATAAAATACAATAATAATATATCAGCAATAATGACCATTTTTTACATAAATTTATTACAATTGTTACGTAATTATTCTAATATTTGCATTTATCAATGTTAACATGCACTATACTATATCATTTGTTAATTAAATTCAATTATTTTTCCATTTTAACCTGTATTTTTTTAAAACTTTTTTCTTCCCTTTTTTTGTTATTTAATGAAATGAATTATAAAGTTTTATAATCAGTGATCTTATCAATATCTGATATTTCAACATCGGAATCTACACCGTATATAACCTCATCTTCTAATAATGTTTGGGTACCAACCGTTGCTACCAATTGTTGTTCAATATCCAGTAACAATTTATTTGGTGATGTTACGGTATTTTTGCGCACTGAATAAGTTGGAATAGCTCCACGACTATATATGTTTGCAAGAGCATTACGAAGCTAAAAATAAGAAATGAAAGAGAAAATTTGCTGATATTTAAAAGAAGGAAACTTTATAGAAATAAATATTCGTTTCGTTAAACTTTGTAAATGAAAAAAAGTCATCGAAAAAGTTTTCATCCTTTCTTTTAGAAATTCCAAAAATTTTAAATTCTTTTTGAAAAATGATACAAAATAACAAAATAGTAAACTTCTTTAATCGAAATTACACCCATAAGCTCTCCTCGGTTTGTGATATAAGCATGATTAAGACCAAGTAATGAAAATAATGTATGCACCTGAAAAATAAAATCTCATCATTGTCACCAAATAATTATTCATCATCATCATCATCATTATCATCATCATCATCATCATCATCATCATTATCATCGTCATCATCATTATCATCATCATCATTATCATCATCATCATCATCATCATCATCATCATCATCATCATCATCATCATCATCATCATCATCATCATCATCATCATCATCATCATCATCATCATCATAACAGTGATTTAAAATTAAAGTTACTTCTTACGTTTTAAATCACCCTGGGAAAAGTTATAGTAATATTTTGAATTTTTACTTTCATTGTTTTCAATGTTTTTTTTTTAAACAAGCTAAAGTTTCATTAATTTCCTATCAAAATTGAAGTTATTTTATTAGAGCGAATTTTGGAAAAGTTGTCAGTGTGGGAGAATAGTTGATTGATTGGCAAAAAACTGGAAATCTAAACACATACTCATCGTGTACTTACTCGATAGAGTGATGTACCGAGGACAAGTTGAAATGGTGCCGGATCGATGGCAATTTCATCCAAATTAATAGGATGTTGTAAAATGTATGCGCGCTGGCGTAAACTCAAATTTGTCACCTAAATGTTGCAAATTTTGATAAATTATTAAATTTATGTTAATAGTATTTGTAGTGAAAAAATCGATGACAATTTTGAAGTTGATAAAAGCTGCCAATTAAATTTACTTGTAATCACATAATCATACAGTTTTATAAATCGTTTATAGTATATTTCATGTTTTCTTTTTCTCTTAATTTCATCACAATTTAATTAATTTCAAACAATTTCATTTTTCTTTCTCACAGCAATTTCAAATTTGCTATTTATATTTGCACAAAGACCAAACCAATAATGATCATTTCACAGAATGATATTGTTAAATACTATCCGAATGCTTACTTATCTGATTTCTTAATTTTTTGGACTTTTATTTTAATAATGCTTTAAAACGAATCTATTGGTATTACTTAGCCAACATGGAATTATAAGAGGATAACTTCCAGTATGTGGCTTACTACTAATTAATTCTCTTTCATTTATTTCTTCTTTTTAAGCTATTATAAATTACTCAAATCAAATCTTATATTGATTTTCAAATCATTTAGTAGAGATTACAATTAATTTGAATTTGAAGCAAATGAATAAATAAGAAAGCTCACATGATGTTCAACATTTGTTTGACGTTGAAGTAGCGGCGCTAATGGGCTATCTGCAAAATGAAATAAAATATGAATTTAAAATTTTTTAAAGAAATATTTTATTCAATTATTGAAAACAATAAAAGGGAAAAAATTTATTAGCGTATTTCTGATATCGAAATGAACGAGAATGATTATGGATGACTTATTTGTCACCTTATCTACTTCCAAACTTTTCAACCTTTTCTATCATAAATTATAATTACCTCTACGGTGATCCTCATGCAGCGGACTATTGGCAAGTAACGTATTACCGCTAATATTTCGATCTGTTAATATGTTATTAGTACTTCGTGATGAATTTCGACGTATATGATTAAATAAATCAGAAGTAGTATTAATCCGCCTTCGATCAATCATTGAGTCTGAGCCTAATTTTTCGTACAGTAAATAATTCAAATATTTCCGTGCTACTGAACCAAGTAAAATTTTCGTTTCTGAAATTGTAAAACTTTTTAAATTCTTTTTCAAGTTAAAAATATTTTTTTTTAATCAAATTTTTTTTTGATTAAAATAAATGCTTAACGCAATAAGTAATAAGTTAAGTAAGATCGTTCACCGAATTTTTAAAAGTATGCCATAACATTAATAGGAATCGTGAAGAAAATGAATCAAGCTTATTTAAAAGTTATATACTGTAAAGATAATCATCCACTGATGACAACTTACTGGAATCAGTGACTATCGGATATGATCGCAAATGAGGTGTTGCTAACAAAAGTTCTCTGAGTTCGGCATATGTTGTAGATTTTGTAATACAAAACACATCATGAATCATCACATTTTCAACTTTTAATTTATAAACACTAAAATGCTCAACACAAATTTCAATTTAAAATTACAAAAAAAACCTAAAATATACCTAATATTGGTTGACAGCCTAATATCATCTAACGTTTTTTATTTCAAAATGAATGCTCCTACACTCCTCTTTTGTTTCTTCCTTCTAAATATAATTTAATCCCTCAAATATTTTCGATGGAATTTATTAATACAACATTACTTAAAGCGATTAACAAATTACATCTCTATCGTTCCTTCATCTTTTGTTCATTTAATTATTAAAACTAAGATTGAGGAGAGCATTTTACAACTATTATAATAATTTATGCCTTTCCAACTAACATTAAAACAATTACCTAATCCGAGAAGGAGGTAAATCAGCTAAATATGGCAAATTTTTGATTTCAATCATACTTTCATAAATTGATGGTTGTAAAAAACTGCTTATTGCATTACCAACCATTAATGCAATCTGAAAAAACAATATTCCTTAGCTTTGAGAATAAAACAAAAAAGAAAATTAAAATTAAATTTTTTACCTATTTTCTAATATAATTGGTAAATATAATTGATAACAAAATATAATTGATAATAATTGATAAATGAATGAGATGGCTATTATTTTTTTCAACAAATTCCATAAATTTATATGATAATGATAAATATATTATGTCAGAAAAAATCTGTAAGCTACTATTATTAACAATTAACTTTGAGCTATATTTCAAAAGAATTAAAAACTTAGGATTGTAAGAGATTAGATTGATGATTGGAAAAATTAATGAAAATTTTAAATTCATAATGTAAAATAGATAACAGACCAGGACTGGTAGTAGGGGTGAAAGTTGACCTGTCGTTTCGCATACAATAACCGCAATTGAAAGTGAATGTGTCACCGATCCCGTATAAGCTGCTGCTCCTGAAATAAGCAAACTTCTAAAGTATTACTATTAATTTTAGTGTATTATGAAAAAATTCTATTTTCCTCTCAATTCTTCCATATGTTCCGATTTGTCTTATTTACCAGCCAAATTACTGATAAATAATTAAGGATTAGAATAGGCATATATTATTTCTTAATAATAAAATGTACTTATCTCAATATTATTTATTTAATTCTGCATATTAAATTTTTGATGCAATAAAAGTCAAATAAAATATAATATAAATCAATCTTTTCATATTAAAACAAACAATAAAAGAAAGGGAAATTAATGAAGAAGATTTAAAAACATTAACAAACAAATACTAAAGAAAAGAAAAAGACGATTGAATTATTTTATTAATGAAAAAGAAAAACGAACCAACAATGGCATAAAATCCGGGAAAAATCTGTGGACCATCAGGACCTCGAAATCCTTGAGGATGTAATAATGCTATTATTTCACCAATTAAACGACCGCCACATGCACCAATAACGAAGGAAGGTACAAAGATACCCGTTGGTACCGCCAACGATATGCATATTGCAACGAGGATAAACTGAATTGCTAACAGCTTACAGCCATTCTATTAATTTATCGTTTTCAAATTATCGCCAATAATTACTACAAATTTTCTGAATTTACAAATTTCTACAAAATATTTCCATATGAATTAAATGTAAAATCTTTTTTATCTGAAAAATTTGAATTTGAAAATTTTCATTGAAAATTAAAATTAAAATTTGTTTGTTTTTCTTTTTCTTTTTCTTGAAAACAAAACTGGTAAAGTAAGAAAAAAGTGACAAATATTTACTTTAACTTTTAATGAAATGAAACAAAAGATTATATTATCTCTTAATTTCATTTCAATCTTCTTCTCTTATCGCTTGTTGCTTATTCAAATAATTACGCAAATATTTACCTTTTTATGGAAAAATTTACCTACAGATAACAAATAATAAATATTAAAAACTAAACAATAAAAAAAAACTTCAACAATTTTCACTATGAAAACTTAACCATAAATTTATTTGTTAGATGATAATTTGTCGAAAAACTTACATAAACACAAAAATAAATAGCCAAACAGCTTAAGATATTTAATTCATGATTTGTTCCAATCCAACTTTCCAATCGTTCATTCGAACAACCTTCTGCTGTTTTATTTGATAGGGTAAAGGTGCAGTTTGCAATGAAATCTGCTAATGTTTTACGAAATGTAAACTAAAACGAAAAAAATTAAGCAAAATTAATATATGCTAAAAGAAATAATATAAAAAATTAAGTGCTAAATATATAAATAGTAGGAATGCAAAAACATATACAATTCATGTCCTATTTGCATTTGAATACTAATATCTGATTTCACATGTATGCAATGAAGTTATTTGGAATGATACTTTTAATGAGTCGTAATTTAGCAATTTCATATTTATATATCTGATATTTAACTAGATATATCATGGAGCTAAGTGGATTAATGTTTTAAATATTATCTTAGATAGTAAGAGATAATAATAATGAATTATAATTACTTTTCCAGCGAAGTATCGTCCGGTGCCATCCGGACATGTTACTATACCAACAACTGCTGCCATGAAGATTGTAAAAAGTAATGGGCTGGAAGCAGAAAAAATTAAATTTTTTTAAAATAAACTATTTAAAAGACGAAATGAAATTAATGAAACTAATGACATGCCTTGAAATAATTCATAAACAAACACACTTTTTCCCAAAAACACGTAAATATAAACGATTATTCTCCCTGAATATAGTAATTCGTCGGTGTACGAATACGAACAACGCACCCAATAAACCCGAAATTACTCTAAAAATTTTAACATATTGTTAATTTTGATATTTCCAAAAATCAATAAAAATTAATAAATCAATAAATCAATAAATCAATAAATTCAAATAAACGAATAATTTAGATAAAAGAATAAAAATTCAAAATCTTTTATAAGAATTTAAAGTTTTCGCTGATATTTAAAATTCAGCCATTTTAGTTGAAATTTTAGTTCGAATAATAACAAAATAAAAATAACGAAATAACCGAACACTCACCCAATAACAGCAAATATAGGTAATTCTTCGACAACAAATACTGAACTTGGAAAATAAGTTTGATAATATGCTGTTATGGTACCTCCTAAAATATTAACATTGTAAAATTTTAGTCCAAATAGAGCAAGTATTGTAATGAATTTTAAACTTTTGAAAGTTAAATTTTAGGACTAAATTTTAAAACTTTACTTGATTCTATTTATATAAAATTTTCGCTACCAATTGATAGAAAGAGCTGGAATGAAATAGTATTGTGGAAAAAGGAATGAGTAGATATATGCAAAAAATATGCATAAATATGAATTATATCTCTTTGCTAATTTGTATTTTGAGTCATTTAATTTTCTTGAAAAAGAATAAGTTGCAAAAACTTCCAAAATTTTTAAAATTCATTGCTATGAAACTACATTTTCCTATTTGAAAAGATAGAAAATTGTGGAAAATCGGATGAAACCAATTTCTGGTGGTATAATAGCAGCATTAGCGAAACGAAAAATAAGTGCGCTGCATGTCGTTGCAAAAAAGGAACGCCAATAATTTCGAACAGCAAAAAATCTTGATGTTGATTCGATACCATACAACACTGCTGCAAAAATATTCCACTACTACGTTTGAAATAATGTATGAAACTTGTAGCAAATACCTAATTATTATCTATTACTGATATTCCTGATGCAATATAATATTTTCAAATGCCACAATTACTTCTATATGCACAAATGGTCCCTGAAAGAATTCAAATCTTCCGGATTTTATAAAAAAAGGGTTTCTGGAATACAATTTAAAAAATGCAATTTAGTTTGATTGGATTTTAGGTTAGCTATAATTTAGTTTAATTTCTTATTTATTTAATTAATTTTAACTTTACATCACTTATTTCTCATGTTTTCATCTTTCGAATGTATTTATTTATTGCTGATAAAGTTAAGTAAATAAGAAGTATACCACCGGCGGGTGCTGAAAATGTGCAGGCGATACCAACCGCACATCCCGATGAAAGCATTTGCATTTCACGGCCTTCACTTGAGAAAAACGCTTGATAACGACATAACGAAGTAATGCGCGTTAAAAGTGATGCCACAATTGCTCCTATATGTACAAATGGTCCCTGAAAATATTCAAATCTTCCAGAATTTACAAGAAAAAAGGATTTTTGAAAAAAGAAATATTAAGCAAGGAAAAAAGAATATATAAATAACTAAAAAATAATAGCAAAAAGTGATTAATTAAACAACTAATTATAAAATGATTAATAAATGAAGGCACTGTAAACAAAAAAGCAAAGCAAGGAGAATAATTACCACATTTCATTATCATGGAACACTTCTTGCGTTGAAACTGGTCAATTTTAAAATTTCCAACTTTCGTAATTTTATAATAATTTTTTTTTTTATAATTTTGTATTAAATGATGAAAAAATAGCAATAGCCACGTAAATCAAAAAATAGGATTCCAACCTCTTTACCGACCGGAAGCCCACCACCAAGCGCAAGTGTCAAACCAAAGATTTTTCCGATCATCGTTTGTAGCGATAAATAATTTTTCATTTTAAAACCACACATTATAACTTTTAATTCCGGAATACCTGACCCTAAAAAAGAATTAACAAAAATTTTTGCAGAAATAAACTAAAAATAACAAGTTTCGAGATCATATGCTTTCATAGTTTTCAATAATTTAGAAATAATTACTTACCGATAGCCTGCTTTGCAAAACATTGACAGAATAAAGCGGATGCACCTATCAGTATAGTAATGTAAGCTGTCCAAGCGATAAGCGCTGTGTAATAATGATAATTTCTTATGGTATATTCATACAATACCACGCGATCTAAAATGATTTCAATTTTTTTATTGTAATAAGAGACGTAATATGAAAGTATGCATTTTGTATTACAGTAAGCGCATCAATTTCAAATTTTATATGGTTGAATTCCTTATTTGCTACGTGGTGAAAAGTTCAATTCATAGTCTTAACAACAACCACAAATACATTAAATGATATTCAAATCAACAGGAAAACTATAAATTTCAATTTAATTATTTCGTATTCCCATGCATTATTATTGGTAACCATTTGTATAAAAACAAATTTGTTTACCTATAATATGCAAACACTCTCATATCACATTTTTTCTTCAAGAAAAAGTCTTCAGCGTTTTATTTTCAGAAAACTTACAGCTTTTTTTCCAAATCTATTCACTCGATCATATATTTTACTTTAACAGATACATTTATCGTCGTTCTCTGATATTTGCAAATTCCAATTTAATAAACCCCTACTATGTTTTTAATTTCAAATTTGAAGTAATAAACTAATCAGTTAATTAGTATTATTGTTTCATTATGAAGTATTTATATCGTTTCATTGAATAAATAAAAAAAAAATGATTGAATTCCAACTTCGTTCACAATAAAGTAAATGAATCAAGTAACTAACATTCTTGCATATATTCAATGCTTATATCCATTGCAATTGAAAGAGCGGCTGTAACAACACCAAGAACAGCAGATAAGAACCAATCTTCTACGAAGAAATGCACAATATTTCGTAGTTGCCCTGAATTTTTAAAATTAATTCAAACTTTTCATAGCAAATAAAAATCAATATACGGTAAATTATTCAATTCATTTCATTGTAAACCGTAAATAAATATTGCAAGCCAAGAAAAGTTATTCGTTTAAATGTAGGAAATAAGTTTTGAGATGTTCAATAAACATATTTATTATGTAATACTCCCGCATTCTTCATTGTTTATGATGATTGACTTGAAATACCTCTACCGAATAGATTATTAAATTTCATTCCGCTCTTTTCATTCTCCCAAAAACGCCAGTATAGTTTTTTTTTTAATAAAATAATTTTAGAATAAAAATTTACTATTTGATAAAATTTAAAATTTTTGATTAAATCTTGTTTTAAATTCAGTAAACAAACATTACCTGAAATAATATGGCAACGTATTGTTAACTAATTCTTGGATATGATATTTGTTTAGTAGGGAATATTAATATAACCCTTATTCTATGCATTAATTTTTCTTCTTTTTTTGATTTTCAATTTTATTGATTTTGAAGTTTTCAATTTCCAAATATTTTAGCTTTGAAATTTATTCCAACTATTAAATTTATTTCTTCTTTATGTTGGTTATTTACTGGATATCCTGACTATATTTCATTAAACTTAAAGATTTAAAACTCCTAAATTTTGAAAGATAAATCAGAGGAATTGGAAAAGTTTCAAATTTGGAAGATAAAGGAAAAATGAAACGGTCAGAAATGATTTTTACATGACTGAAAACAAAAAGATGATTAGTAATCGTAAAATAAAACTAACGCCTGAGAAACACTCGGAAAGATTCAGTTCGGTGATGCGAAGCATGATGGAATTCAAGATCAACTGGATAACCATCCAGTGGTACTTCTTCACGTTCTTCATCACCTTCTTCCTCCTTTATATTTTCTTTTACCTCTTTCTTTTTCTCTTTGATCAGTACCGGTTTTGTTGAAATTCTAAATTAATTGACTTCCTCTCTTTTTTTGGAAAACAAATTTTATCAGCTGTTTTCAGAAAGATATACTGTAATATTTCATGCAATGAATGGGTCAAAAAAAATCAATTTTAGGTGAACAAAGAAACAATTGAGCTTATTTAATAATTAATTTAATGCTTTTTTTCATATAATAAAATATAGGTGAGACAATGAGAGAGACAGAGAGAGACGGAGAGAGAGAGAGGTAGTGAGGAAGGGAAAAAGCAAGGAGAAAGAGAGAGTGAAGGATGGATGAATTTAAAACGAATGCTAATTTTCATTAAATATGAAATATTTGAAAAGAAATATTACTTTGGATTGGTAGATGGGATTAGATCGGTATGTGGCGCAAGTAGCGTCATCACATCCGGTTTGATTTGATTTGATTTGTTGCTATAATCCGGCAATGACAGTTTGCTATTAGAATTAGCGTGAATAAATATGTTGAAAGGAAGTAAAAATAATCTTCGATTGTTTTGTATGAAAATATTTCATTAAGAAAACGCATTGCATTAAGACAGGTTTGCTAATTACATAGTTCAAAAAAAAAGAATTAAACCAAATTGACAAAACAAGTTTGGAAATTATGAAATGAAGAACTAATTTCATATATCACAAGGCATATAAAGCAAAAATTTTTGCATACATCCGTTCCGTTTAGCATTTTAGCAAATTATTTCCATTCTAAAATATTACTCATTAACTTTGCAATTAATGAAATTGAAAATTTTAGTTATAAATAGCAATCTCAAATTTTAAAAAATTCAAGCAAATGAGATGTTTAAAATTAAATTTCTTTTCTATGTTAAATCGATGCATTATGATAAAATGAATTCATTAATTATAATGTAATATAAATAGAAAAAAAGAACTAAATTTTTATATCACTATTCTTGTGTTGTGCTCACAATACCATAATGAATTCGATTTTAGAATTTCGAGTCAAAATAGAAAAGAAATTGAAATCTTGAACTCAAAAAAAGAATGATGAAATCAAAGGTTAAAATAACTAAAAGCCATTTTAAATTTAGTCTTTACGAATAATTAGAGATCTAAAATCTAATCAAGTTTTGATATCTCATTAATATTACACATTATTATGAATGATAACTGATTTCATGATATTTTCAATGATAATAAATGATTAAAAGAAAAATTCTTCGATTACTGATAAAACATTGTTTATCGTTTATAAATATTAGTTAATAATTTGTTTGGATGAGCTGACTGAAGGAGGAGAATACCGAAAGATGGAAGGAAGTGGGAAGGAAAAGGTTATGAGATGGGGGGGCGATTCTATCGTAATTGAACGAATCGGAAATTAAGTGTAGGTGTGACAGGAAAAATGATGAGAAGAAGTGAGTAGGTGGATAGAGTTTTTAAGGAGAAAAAAGGTAAACGGAAGAGGTAAGTGGTGTGTGTGTGTGTGTGTGTGTGTGTGTGTGTGTGTGTGTATATGGTGTGTTCGGAAGAGGTTTTTATGTTTGTATGAAAAAAGCAATCGACGTCAACAGGAGTAATGAGAGAATTTCTTAACGACTGAATAGTAAACGATGGTATGTTCTATCGTGCAGTTCAACTTCTCAACTCGTTATTCCTTTGTAGACAGTATATTTCCAATTAGGATTTATCATTTCAAGTTTTTCAATTTTACCTATCATTTCATATATATAAATGCATATTAAACTGCTAATTATATTTTATTAGGCAGCAAAACTTTAGGAATGAATTAATCCATGATTGAATTGAATGCTTGAATGCTTAATTAATGAGTGGACAATAAGAACAATAGCCCTTTTCTTTCCTTTATTTAAAAAATTTGATCGTATCTCTGTGAGATAAGTTTCTTTTTCATTTTTAATATATTATCCAAAATATTCTTTTTCAATTATAATATGCATGCAGTCCTTCTCTTCTTTTATTTCACTCTGTAGCTTATCACAACTGAAAATCATTACATTCCAATAGCCTTTTCCCTTTTTCAATTAGAACGAAATCTACCGATCAACAGAAATGCAGTTGAAGTGAAAAGAAAATAAATAAGTATTTTGAAAAATAAAGATATGGGTCAGTTATTTATGGGTCATCAGAAGTATTTATTGGGAGAAATTTTCAAACTTTTTCTTAATTTTATCCTTCTTAGTACCATTGAAAAGAATATAAATATCCTACAAAAAAAATTTTTTTTCTGATATATAAATGATTTTCAAATAGAATTTTAATTTCAACGATTCATTCCGACAAAAATATCATAAATGATTATGATATTTGTTAGAATAATTAAAATAAATAAGCGAAAGGAAAAGGTTTACTTCTCTTCCTTTTTCGGCTTCTCATATATCTCTTTCAGTGAACAAATATTCTTTCACTTCTTTAAAAATAAACATATACAATGAAAATTAAAAAATTTGCATGCCATTTCAAAAACCCCCAAAAAAACCTCCCATCGTTGAAATGATTTTAATATGCTACACATCAGTGCAATTGGAATTCTTTAATTGTTAGGAATTATTACGCTTACGCATTACATCGTATTTTTCCACGTGACGATGTAAATGAATACAATCAATGACTATTCATTAATGACAGTTATCAAACTATTTCGTAACATTCATTTCACTTATTAAGCTTTTAGAAAAGATTTTTTGTGTTTCATTTCTTTCTTATTCTTGAGTACTGTAAATTTTGTAATTATTTAGGAAATAAAATTTCATTTAATAATACGACTTTTTCTGGTATGGCTGCTGCGATTAAATTATTAAGCAGTAGCATCATCATCTCTTATACTGTTTGGTGAGGATTTGATTTACAACGGTCTCATTTTGCAAGATACCAATGTCACGTTGTATTTCCATTGAAAATGGATTTCTCCTTTTTTGGGAAAAACAGGTCTTCGTAGCAACTTAGAAATTCATTTCGGTGATTGATCAACGACGAAATTTTATCAGTCTTTCTCACTATTGAGCAGCATAACGACGATTAATCAAAAATGATTGGAACGGATTAAACATGAAATATTCGACAACGGAAAGTCGAAATTTCGATGCCAAAAGTTGAAACTTCACACAAAATGAAGTTGAGTTTCAGGTACGTACTATCCTTTTTCTGAAAAATAAAGGACCATATGCTGATCAACCGATCAGTTAGTCACTACAACTACTCACTAAAATTAATTTCACTACCATTCAGACTAGCCTACCTCTGAAGCTCGTCTTTCTCCGAAGTTCTAGTGAATTACTTACTATAGCCAAACACCACTCCCACCCATAATTGTTCTAACCGATAACAGGTTTTAGTTTAAGTGAGAAGTAGTCCAATATCCCCGTAGAAAATGCCGTGATGGCTACTCATCATTTTAAATAAAACATCCAAGACCAAGAACTTAAGTAATAAAATCGAGCTGGAAAAAGCTTTCGTACTCCAAAACGTCTTTGAACCGCTCATTTCTCAAACACCAGAAATAGTCCTTCATTCATCAATGACTTACGAATAGTTCATTATTGATCTTTGCTTTAAGTATAAAATAAAATATTGTGAAAGACAACATTAACTTTATTCCTCAGAACAAACAAAACTGAACACATAACGACTGGAACAAAATCTACAAACGAAAGAACTGGCAAAACGCAGTTTGTTTTCATGGAATTAAAGAAAAAAACTATGTGGGAACAATAGTTTTCTTTTTTTAATTTTTATTTATTTATCGGTTAATAGAAAACTAAGCCCGCACTTTGAACGCTTCTCGCTCTCATACATTCATGGGAACAAATTTTACAAAAGCAAATGCCCATAAAAATTTTCCCTATGTCATCAAAAATTCATCAAAAATTATTTTAAACTTTTTTTTAGATGTACATTATAACTAAACTTATGGGAAGAAAAGAAAAAACTGCAACTCTCACTCATTTTAAATTTTAGAATTAGGAGGATAAAAAGAATTCAAATTTGACTATAAGGACTGTCAAGAAAAAAAGATGTTGGAAGTTAACTCTGCTTTGTATAAACTTCATAATGATACAGCTTTTATTTTAGAGAAAATCATAGATATATGCTTGAGATGACTTGAAATATGGTTCTCAAAATTAAATTTCTGAGTTCGCATTAGTTTCATCACATACGATATCCACGTCCACGACGTAACAGTGTGGAACGTCCTCCACGTTGCGTAGAGCCCGAGATTTGATGAGTTGCATCGCTGCTAAAAAAGATATTTTGATTCTAGCATGCATTTGAATCTGCTAAAACCATCAAAGAAATCGATAATAAATACATGTTAGGTTATTTAGCTTATTGAAAAAATACATCAAGTCGAAACTAAGTTGATAAACGATAACAAGATTATGAAAAGTTGTTGATGCTGTAAGTTATAAAATAATAAATCAAACAACCATACCAAGACATATGTTAATTTTAGTTGATATTAATTTACTATTTTAATCATGAATATGAGTAATTTAATATCATAAGTTAAACTAAATTTCTAATTTCCTAGTACATGGCAGGCTAACTGCTAAACACGTTTGCAATTACGTCAAACGATTCTTATTGAGATATCCATAAAGCAGTGATTCACTACTTCATTCTTAAGGACTGCATTACCTGCTTGAAGTGGGTTCCGTTATATCAGGGTAGCGTATTCTAATACGTCGCGTTGCTGACCCATCTGATGTACTCGGTCCCGAAGACCCTGCTTCATCATCTGTCTGTGTAACATGCCTATCCCCTTGCTCTTCTTCAGCCACATCATTTCCACCTTCCTCAATCATCAGCACATGTTCACTCTCACCACTGTCAACATCTGTACCTGTTATCGGAGCAACCGTACTGGATGCGCCACGACTATCAGATTCAATGTTTTCTACAAATTTTTTTCATAAGAGAAAGCATATGACCAGAGCAATTTACCATATTCAGAATAAAAATATCTTAAGGTTATACTTTATCAGTATTAATCCCAAAAGCTGCATATGGATATTAAATGAACATAAACATACCGATAAGCGGTGGTGAATCACGTACCACATGCAATTCTGAACCGGAAACAACTAAATGAACCAAGATTATTCATTTCTAGACATTTAAAATCCTATTAAACTTATTTTTTTCAATAAAATTCAGATTTATTTAGTTTCATATCTTACCATCACCACGTTCTTGCAAAGCTATATCCACTGAGTGAGGCTGCAAATCAAGTTCTGCAGATGGTAGATAAAGAGCTTCCGAATTACAGTGCCTAAAATAAGAAAGAACAGATGTTTGAAAAAAATCTACAAAAGCCACGAAAGTTTGCAGATCTCAGAAGTGATCAAATCAAACATCCTTCATTGAAAGTCAATAGAAGGTTATTAGTTTGAGATTGTAACTTTGATTTCACATCTGAAAACTATAAAAAGTTAGAAAGTTTCCTCAATAAAAGGTACGACAATCGGATAATTCATCAGGTTTTAAAGTACGAGTCATGAAACCGTGCATAAGTTCAACGAATTTTAAAATACGAAATTCTTACTCGGAACGACTTGTATCACTTTCACCCATATGGTCTGCACTGAAAGCCTGTGGCGTTGATGAATCCATATGCAAGATGGCACCGGAATGCTCAGCAGCGGCTTCGAACCTGAGTTCCATGCGTCGAATGGATTCGCCTAATGTATTACAGAAGTTAATTAAAATGAAAAAACAAATGGAGCAGATGCGGAAATAAAAGAATAATTCAATAATAAGAAAATTATAGAATTTTAGTGGAAATTAACTGTAAATTTAAGTGTGGAAATGCAAAAATTTCAAATAAAACGAACGAACCTTGAATATTTTGCCGTTCACGAGCTTCAGCACTGCTCGTTTCTACATCATCGCCAATAATAACTGAACGTTTGAGATCCTCACCATGTGTTTCATCTGTAGAAAGATCTGCTGGAGAGCATGAATGCTCCACTTCACCATCATCATCATCATCATCCTCGATTAAAATAACACCGTCATCCTCATCACCATTATTTCCTGATTCCTATAAATTGCTTAATTCAGCGAATTTAAATGATTGATTTATTATTTATTAGAAATTCCTTGAACTCAAAATATATTAAGATCGATCTTACGTATATCATGCAGAAACTAAAAAATTACACATACATAGAGAGCTTGAATCCACATACAATTAATTAGGGGAAATGTTAATATTACATAAATAATATACGCCAAGAACTTCATGTTTCTAAAGTGATATATTTACGCACAATGTGGCATATCTATAAATATGCTTTAGAATGGTGAGAGACGGAAACAGCTCCAAAAAGCTAAGAAAATTGCAAAATTAATTTCCAGAAAATTTCTAATTCGAAGCTTTTGCCAATCGGAACATTTTGAACTTCATAAATATATCACTAACTCGAGTAGTATGGTAATCAGATCTTCTATATTGTGGAGGCAATTCGAATTCACCCTCTTCATCCGGCTCCTCTTCATCGAATTCCTCATCCTCCATCTCTTCTAACATTTCATCACCCTGAAAAATTCAAAGGTAACAAAAATGATTTACAAATATCAAAAACAAAAATTCAGTGTCAAAAATCTTCTAATTTTTTGGATTAGACTGAAATCAACTAAAGCGAAAGCGATTTTCTTACTGATTAAGTACTAAATACATTTTGTCAATTTAAATCGAGTAACACAAAATCAGTCTTTTCACTAACCTCTTCCTCGCTAAGATTATCTTCATCTGCCGAGACTTCCCGCCGAAGATCTTCACCAACTATGACATTATGTTCATTGTCTTCAATTTGTTCATCCTCATCATGCCCTTCTTGCGCTACTCCCTCACCAACCATTCCGTAACTAACATCCGCACTCACTTCCTGTAAAATTAGTGAAATTTTCGAAATTAGTCAGCAAGGGTTTTGTACATGCCTTCCAAGTTAAAAAAGAAAATTTTAATGTTGTGAAGTATGTCAAAAAGTAATAAAAATGAAACGAATCGTAAATAAACTAAGTCACTCCTTATCGTGCAATATTTGAACCCAGAAAACTGAAAGTCAATAAAAGGGCAATGTTAAGGAATTCTGAAACAAAAAACCTGGACTTCAACTGTCGATTTAATATTCTCTCTTATTTCATTTGTTTCCATGCCGTCTGATCGATCACCCTCAGGATTTGTGGTTGTTTCAACTGTTGAAAGATGATCAGTAATTATAATATTCGTTTAAATCATATGAAAGTGTAATATGAAAGTAATATTAGTATAATGGCACCATAATGCTAAGAAAATTACTTTCATTTTGATCACTAAACTAACCACTTTCTTGCTGTTCATGTTCAGCCTCATCTGTAGCATGCTGTTCGATGTCAACTCCTGATTCACTTCCTGACTTCATGAAACGACCACTTGTGGAAACCTTAAAATATAGAAAGCTGGTGTTTGCTTAACTGCAAAGTTAGAGAATATTCTAACCAACCTTTTCTCCTAACTATATCCCCCTCCTACTTTTTTTAACTTTGTAGAAATCCTGAGTACATTAAACCTTGATAATTAGAAATCATCATTTACAAAAAGTTTGCGCAAGGAACAAGCACCATACCTGACCCATAGAACTTCCCCGATAACGCTTTCGAGGCTCCAAAACATCCGATCCAGTTTCAATTTGATAGCTGAAAATTGAGAATGAATCCGATGGTTCAAATGAAATAAGGAAAATTACGGCGACAATATAAAAACGATGAAAAAAAGCAACCTTGACGGTATGTATGCTCGTTTTCGTGACGATTCATCTTCATTGTGGGTTATCGAAATTGATTCTGGCCCCACTTGCGATACGATTCCTTGTATTACAACTGGTACGTCACCACTTGCTACACTGCTTGTAATGATATTCGCTCCGTCACCATTTCCAGAAGTAACTATGAAAAATATTACGTTATAATCTGCAAATTAATTGCAACTAATTATCAAGTCACGCCATCGTAACAAAACTTTGGACTGAAAGTTATCATTTAATAACATACAATGTTCTTAGCGTTGATGCGTGCTTTTCCAGGCCTTATTCTCCTAGAACAATCTCCTTCATATCGCAAAGTTGAAGAAAACGAAAATAATTTTAATTAGAAAACTAACCATTATGCTGTTGCAATTGTACTGGCATAATATCACCTGATGACGATTGACTCACAGTGTTACTCTGTAAAAAATTCTTTGACATTCATTTAATTTAAAGTCCAAGAAAATATACATAAGGAACTGCAAATGTTTATATGCACCGAAAACTAGTGTCAAGAAAAGCAATTATATATTGCTTTGATGAATAATCATGGCGGTTGAACCGACAGATCAATTGCTATTATCATTCCTTGAACCACAAATATACTGACATGCTTATCTTAAGCTATGAAATTTAAAGACTACAAGAATAAATCCTACGCAATTTTATATATCATCTGTCCCAGCACAATCCTCTCTCAGTTATACTGTTGCAAATTTAAAAATTTGAGAAATTGTTCATCTAAGAACTGAGGAAACCCCAGGAGATCCAGTCGCATTTTGGAAATACGTATATGTCCTATATGTCTGAGTGCCAACCCAAGCAGCGGATGAATCAAAACGGGTAAAGAAACACTTCAAGAGGCTAAAGCCTAATTATATTCAATAAAGCAGTGGCTTGATAACAGCTGATGCAAAAACCGTAAAGACATTCTGAATTCTAATATTCAAATATATGAATATATATATATATATACATAAGAATTAGTAATACTTGTTCACTAGTGGTTGATACAGGTGTATTTCGATGTGTTTCTTGTTCTTCAATGCTTCCAACTACTGCTACTTCTTGTTTCGTATCTTCATATTTCTCAATCTGTGTAGCACCTATCGTTGCAGCAGATTTAACAAGCGGCAATAAACGTGAAGTGGTTGGTGTTTCTGAAATAAACTGGAAAAAAAGTGTTGTTTCCTTACCGTGAAAATTTAGAACAAATGAAAATGATATCTTCTTCATCACCTATTTGGATTCTGTGCAACCTTTCAGGTAAACGACACCATGTAATCATCAAAATTATCACAAAATACTTTTAAAATTTTTGAAGTCAAGCAAACTTTTGAATAACATAATATACCTTCTTTGGACGAAGGAGGAAAATCTACTCCACCAGTATTTGTAACAAGTAGCGCAGCAATAGGAGAACTTTGACTCTGAGTAATTACAGATGTAGACGAGCTAAAAGAAACCGGATTCAAATTATTTAGAAATTTATATAAATTGTAGCCTTATTTTTGTTTTGAATTACGCAAATCAGCGAATCGATTGGCTTTAAAGTTGAAAAACTTGTATTTCATTACAAATAACTAAAATAAATAAGTGAATATATATTCATTGAAATATGAGCGATGAGAAAGTTTCCATCAAGATGAACTGATTCAGTAATAAAAACAACCACTGCAATTTGAGAACTGTAATCTTCTGAAGTGCAAGCACACCACCAAGCAAATATAAACTGTCACAAACAATCGAATTGCTCGAGAAAAAGAATTACCTGACTGGTTTAATAAATCCCGAGCTGGAAAAACCAGGACGACTGCTGGCTTCTTTACGACATGTGTCCAGTGCAGCTTCCAGTACTTTTATCTTCCCCTGATAGGCTTCGTCTGATTGCTTAGCTGTTTCAAGTTCTTCTCGCAGCCGAGCTACTTCTTGTTCTTTCTTGGTTAACATACTTGTGATCGAATTTAATCGAAAACGTAACTCCTCTGTAAAACTATTTTTTCTAAAAAATGAGAGTAAAACATCACAGCTTTCAAGATTAAAACATAAAGTTCAACATGAAATATCAAAATTACAGAACAAGGAAAGAGATTTATCGGCTTATCAAGAAATACGAACCTTTCGTATCATTTTCTGTTTTCAGTTCTCGAAATTTAGCCTCAGCCTCACTCAATTTTGCCTGCGCTGCCTTATACCTTTCGGCAGATTCTTCCAATTGCTTGGACAGATCCTAAAACAACTAGTCAAAAAGTAATATCGATGCAAAAAAAAATTTAGTTGGCAATCAGGAGAATTATAACAATTTGTTGAATTCTAAGAAGAATGCTAAAAACATAAGATGAAATATCACATAAGCTTTAAGCGGATGAATAAAAAAGTATAGTAGTCGACAAATTCAGGTGATCCGAATCAATGACAATTAAATGTTCGTATAATCTAGGTAAGCAACTACAAACAGCTACTCACGCTAAACTCCCATTAACTTCTAAGTTAAGAAAAAGCAATAAATTCAAACCTTATTTTGTTGATTGAGTCCTTCCAATTGTTTTAACTGTGTTTGAAGAATTGTACTTGCTTTCGTTGGCTGTGTACTGCCAGTTCCCCCATCAACCGGCCAACCAGTTCGGGGCATTGCTTTCTGAAAAAGAATTTATAAAACAGTTCAAATTCAGTGGCCAGCAATGAAGGAATCCTACCATTCGCCTCGATTTCATGCGACAGATCAGAATATTGAAAATCCAAACTGAAATTTTCAAAAACAATTATGCAGTCATCTGAATATAAAAATGCACTACCTGTCTCTGCTTCTCAATCTCAGCGCGTAATGTAAGCAATTCTTGCTTCAGTCTTGCAGTTTCAGTTATATTTTCCTCTTCTACTATCGATTTCTCAGTCAGCATCGCCTTCAGTCCTTCAACGTCTTTTTCCAGTGTTTGAGATTTCATCCTGTATCGACGTGCAAGTAATCTAGCTTGCTCAAATCTTGCTGATAGTTTGAGTCGTTCTGATTCACTTTCATCAAATTTCTTTTGCACATCCACTAGGGTTTCCCTAGAAACAATATTCTTTACACTTTAATTAAGATAATAATAATACTGACGACGTAATGAATGGATTCAGTTTCTTGCAAAATTGTTTCAAATGCAAAACATTCTGGAACCATCAGGGAGAGCATGGAAACTTCAATGTTATTGAAGCGTAGTTTTCAATAACATACAAATTGTGAGCTAACATAGGTCCAATTAATCTGATTAGATTACCACCCAAAAGGTGTCACCAGCTGATGGCACTGTCATGTTTCATAGCAATTTAGGCACTTGATACAATGCACAAGATTCTCTTGACATCCATCAAATTTTTGAAATTAGATCCACTGGAATTAGGGCGACTCAAACACTGCAAGACGAATTTTCTATTTACTGCGAGATATAAATAACACAAAATTATCACTGAATATAAAAAACTTACTTAGATGTTGATTCTTGAACAGATTTTTCTATCTCTCTTTTCAATGAATCACGTTCCGTTGTTACCATGCTTAGCCTCCGTTTTAATGATTCAACTTCGTTACTAAAGTTTTAAAAAAATTTTAATGAGTAAAAAGGTGGAAAATTACATATTTAATCAAAATATCGAAATACTCAAGAAAGAAAGTACATCAAAAGAAAAAAGTATACTTTAAAGCGACCACTCTTTCGGGTCCAAATTTACCCAATGAAATCAAAGCCTGATTATGCCTTTCTTTCCAAGATTCCAACTAAAAAAGATTCGATGTTTATCAATAATTAAAAATGAAAATCGATTTTTTCAAAGTTCATGAGAATATAGTTGAGTTCATTATAGTTGAACAAAAAACATCTAGAAGCCAGAAAAATAGCTGAAAATTAACGACATTAAAAATAATATGACAATATCATTACTTCTTTTCGGCAGATTTGCAAGTCAGTATTAATAGTCTGCAATCGTCCCTTTTCGGTAACTTTTTCTGCGGTCAAACTGGCGATACGTACTTGCAAATCATTTGCCTGAAAAATAAAAAGGAAAAAACGAATAAAATATGACCAAATCACATCAATCCTCAGTTACTGATAAAATGAATTAACTCCTACATTTTTCGATAGCTGTTCATTGCGACGGATTAATTTTTCATTTTGCAGCTTCAAGTTCTGATTTTCCTTTTGGGTGTCTTCCATTAACGTCAATCGCGCTACCATTTCACTTTTTTCCGCAATTGAACGAACATGTGCCTGGAAATCGATAAATAAAGCTGACTTTTAAATGATCCAAAGTACTATGACACCATCAAGAATAAATTTGGCACATTCAGTATAAACAAACTTCGGCCTCTCTCCGAAGTTTTTGAATTTCTTCTTCCAATTTCAGTCGATGTTCGTCAGCCGTAGCTTGCTGAACTTGCAAACGCTTCCATTGCAGTTCAGCGTTCATCATTCGTTCCATAGCCTAAATAAAATGTGTTAGTACAGCTAAAATTTAATAATGATTTGAATTTGAGAATTGACAAAAGTCTTAAAACCTCTCAAACAGTACATTCATAAAAGTAAAAAAGCATTAAACAGTATATTTCAGTAAAGAATAAAAAAACCTGTCGATTTTCTCCTTGTAAATATTTGATTACTTCATACAATGCAACAGCTGATTTCGAACCAACAGGTGCAGCAATATCATCACTCGAAGTGCTTCCAGAACGTTCCAAAACAGTCATACGCTCCGTTACCTACAATGAGTTGTTAAAGATAAAAAAAATCACATTTGCAGACTTTCTTTTCTGACAGACGAAGGTTTGCAATACTTTATCCTAATTTGAATTTTACACTTGTTTGATTTCACAAAAAAAAATCCGCTGTTTCTAAGTCTTTCACACAGAAATAATTGAACTGGATGGAGAGAAAAAAATAGATGTTTTCAATTTTTTCATTCAAAATGCGGATGTATTTCAATATATCAGAAATATCCACCTTTATTAAATTATCACCCAATTCTTCCAGTTTCTGCTTTTGCTCGTCAATTAATTTATTAGATAAACTGAGTTCTTCTTCGAATCGATTTCTTTCAACACGAAGTGCAGCCTGAAAGTCCTTTAATTAGTAAATCATTATGGAAATGGATTCCTGCACTTGTAAAATTATGTTAAATAAAAGCAAAGAGAATCGATGAATCACAAACCACTTCCGATGAACAGCTTCGCCTTACATCTTCGGATTTCTGCTCAAGTCCTACCGCAGTATTTTTCAAATTCACGAGTTCTAACTCCTTGACATGAAGTGCTTGTTCCAGTTTGCTAATGTCTTCTTTCATTCGACTGCTTTCTTCATCAAACTACGAAAAGAAAATTTTTATATCATTTGACCGACACGTTCGCTTGCTTTATATCATTTACTGACATGTTTGATTTGTTTTATTTATTCTACTTTTCAAACAGCGGATATAAGTTTTGTGTCAGTCACTACGTCGCTGCCAACTATCTTCATCATAATTTCATAGTTGACCCAATAGAAAAAAATCCAAGCAATGAGGAAAATTTTGAAAATATCTTGTCAAAATAGTACGTAGAGAAAATTTAAACAGCTTTGGAAAATTCCGCTTCATACCGAAACTTTTGCAGCGGCAATTTTCGCATTTTCTAATTCCAGTTCACGTATCCGAGCTTCAGCATTAGCCCTTTGTATATCCAAAATGCTGCATCGCTTCTCTAACCCCTGATATTCTTTCATTTTTTCCATCTTCAGTTGCTCTGTTTTATTGGCCCCTTCTTGTAATTTTTGCTCCAACTGGGCAATTTCTGCTCGTTGATTTTCGACTGCTGTCACACTAAACAATTTATTCGTCATATCTGCGTAAATAATATCTTATTAGATTTAGTATTAAACGCATCAAGATTTGATTTCTTGTATTGCCGTTTCTTGATTTATAGCATACGATTACTGTACTAATTTTTAACTGGATTGTCATATATGAGTTATGACATTCCAGCTTATTACGACAGTCGTTACTTAGATGTCACAAGACCTTTCCGATGCATTCGTAGATTTTTCTTCTATAAAAATATAATGGTTGTAAAAATTAATCACAAATTACCTCAAATTTCATACTCCTATTAAACTGTAAACGAAATCTATTAATATCTCGTCTCTGAATGTTTTGAACTATTTATGGAAAAAAAAAATGTAAAAGAACCTTTCGGCTAATTGTCCTCTTACTAAATCCAACACTGCTTGCACACTATTTCGTTCCGCAAGGGCGCTCTGTAAAAAAAAGGATTTTGAAAAATGTAGTATTATGTAAAGTACGACTGCAGTTCATTAGCGATAATAATTAAAACAATAAAGACAACAAATAAACGTGAACTTACTACTCCCTGCTCTAGTAATGTTGCTTCCATGTTATTACTCAATTTGCTAATCTCAGAAAGTTCTTGTTCACGTATCGCCAGCATTTTCTCGCTTGCTGAAAAATTTTAAAAAAATGTGGCAATTTGATTTAAAACATTTTTGCCTCGCAAGAATATACTCACGTCACAACAATACTTGGTTTGTTTGAAGTTTCTGCTATTACTCGCAATATTCCAATGTTTTCCCAGACATTTCCCACACAAAAAGATTTTTGATAATCTCAAAGATGACTGACGCTATCTGAATATCAATAACACATGCTATTCCATAAAAACATATAATAGCTTTAAGAGTTTTTGAAAGAAAAGAAACCTTCTAGCTTGTGAGACATGTCCTTCAATTGATTTTCCAAATAACTGTTACGATTTCGAAGTTGTTGTGCCTCTTTTTTACAACCACCATCGGTAGATTCTGAAAAATGATAAGTGGATTACGTACTCATAATAACCATTTGAAATTTAGACAATCGTCAGGGGTCTCAAACAATTATATATTAAATTTGACTCATTACGGAAAACAATTGCGTTTACTTTCAATCCAATAATTTACCAAGAGATGCATCTGGTGCTTTCAGCTGATTCATCAAATCATCATATTTTGTTTGCAATTCACTTAATTCTTTATCTTTCCAAATCAATCGCTCTTCTGCTGATTTCTTGCTTGCCAGTGCCTGGTCACGCTCCGTTTGGATTTTATTCGTTGTCATCTGCAATTACCTTCGTGCAAAACTCAATTCTGAATGAAAAAAATATATTCCGTTTTCACGCACTTATGAATCCATAAAACATAAAAAACTATGCAGTCCAAAACAATCAAACCTTCAAATCCAAACTGATCAAACGATGTTGTTCCGAAATTTCGCTGACAAACTTCTTCAAAGACTCATTTTCATCTTTGGCAAGCTTCAATTGATCCTCGAGAATCTTCACTTTTTCCTCATCATTATGCTGTAGACGACACTGAAAACAAGTCTCGTAATGCCTACTTATTGTAAAGCTAATTCGAACATTAGAAAATCCACTTTGTTTTCGTAATCATCTCTTTTCTCTCTTCTTTTTCATACCATCCCAAATATGTGTAGGATGTTAACAATTAAAAAGTATTTCAAAATCCATAAAATTGCACTTCAAAAAATCGATATTTAAAAGAGCTCATTGGTAACCTCCAGCTGCTTTAACGTATACGACATTTTTTCGTTACTGTAATTTGACTCTCGTAGAATGTGTAGCTCCTGCTGTAATCGTGCCTCCGTGCTTCGCAGAAGCGAAACTTGTTCCATAAGAGCTTCTACGTCAGTCCTGCAATAAAAAGTTGCATCTTTCTTTTGAAATAAACATATATTGAATCTAGAAACAAAAATCATCAACATAAATCCTCAAACTATATGATCGATATTACTGAAAACTATATCGTGAATGATACCCTGCATATAACACAGAACATCAAAACGAACTTATATTTGGCAACTTCCCCTTTCGTTTCCATGAGCTCTTCCTGCAATTTTCTGCACCGTTCATCGGTCATCTTATAGTTGTTATCCATTTTGATATACTTCTCACGAGCCAAACTCAATTCGTTTGAATCATTTTCTGACTGAAAAGAAGATTGAATACAATTTTAACTTACTTGCTTTTGTTCTTAAACCTATTTTGCACATTTAGATGAAATTTCTATGTATTCGCTAAGGTTCACATTGGAGTCAATACTTTTTTCACTAAAACCCTGCAGTAGTAAACAGGTTTTTCAGAGCAAACAAAGAGCATAAGTGTGGCATACTAACATTTGCAATACCACACAAACTTTTACTCACTATTCGATCCTTATTATAGTCAGTTCATATTGCTCTAATTATATGTGAGATACAACATGCACAAATTCTTTTATATCTAATGACTTCGTATCAGGAATAATCCCTGTTAGCAGCAAAACATAAACTCGAATTAAGATTCCTAACAGAGTTTTAAGCAAATATATACTCTACAGCTGCTGTTAACATCTAACACAGAAACATTGGAATGTAAGGAATTGTTCGACCAAGTGGAAAAGTTGCATATAATACTTTCTGAGTGATGAAAACATTTCTCACTTGCTTTGTAAGCAACAGTTGTGTCTGTCTCTGTACTTCGATATCAGCTTCCAATTTCCCGTTTGTTTTGCGTAATTCAGCAATCAAAGCAAACTGGTGATCAATTCGTGTTTGCAGAAGTCTTAAGCAAATTATATCATTTCAAAATGCACATATATATGGATTAAAAAATTTTTGTTAAGATGTGCCTAAGTTATGCCACATAATTCATTACTCTTGAAAACAAAATATAAAAGATGACTAACTCATCGGAATGATGTTTTTCCTCGCGAAACAAGTCTAAGCTCTTCTCAGCCCGTTCTAAATGTACTCGCAATACTGCATTCTCGGAATCGATTTCTTGCATTCGTTTGGTCAGAATGCGAGACTATAAAAAAAGATTGCTTTAACTGTAATGAAGAAATGCGGAAAAAAGTTGTCATACTCTTTGGGAAAGCAGTACGTCAATGAAAAATAATCACATATTTTGAACTCAACTGCCACAAATTTCGGTAATCTGAAGAATATTTCAATATTTCATGTATAATTGTCTTGAAAAAAAAGGAAATCAAAATCATGGAAAAAATTATACCTCTTCTAGAGTTTTCCTCTCGTTACCAACTTTCTTATATATGTCACGTTGTTTCCCTAGTTCTTCAATCACCATATTCTGCTTTGAATTTTCGTCCTTGAGGAAATCCAACTTCTTTATAGCATCATTCAAAGCATCGGTAAGTCGGTTAATCCTAAAAAATGGGATCCAGAAGTAACAACTTAAGACGTGAAACAGTAGATAAAATACTACAAAACCAAAAAATGAAAACTAATATTGCTCAACATACTCTTCACTTTTAGCCTCCTCTACCGCACGATCACGATTAGCATTAGCTGAGCGTAAATCTGACATCAATTTTTGGTTTACTTTCTGCATTTCACCAATTGAATTCCACAGCATATCGCTATCTTCACTGTTCATTGGCGGCGAATCCGTATTTCGTGCCCTCTCAACTTCGGATGCATGCAACAGGTGGCGAACCTAAAAAAATTTGAGCAGTTTTAGAAAAAATTTAGAATAAAATGATCCTTTAGAAATTATAATTTTCAATATTTCTTAAACAGTTGTACGAAAACAAGTATCTAAGTAATTTTCATTTAGCGCGCAAGACTCCATGTCACACCGACTCCATGTCTAAACTAACCTCTGAAAAAAGCGCATCATGTTAGGCTCATCGGTTTAATTCATCTGCTGCCACTGTGTATCCATGCCATATAAATATTTTTAGGAAAGGGAAACTACTTAAATCATGTTTAAGTATACTACAAGATAACCTGCATGCTCAAATCCTCCACGTCACGCTGATATCGTTCAAGTTCAGCTCGAGTGTATGTCAACTCACGTGTAGCAGCATCACGAGCATTCTCAAGCTTCACCCTCTCTTGCTCTGCCGATTGCAACTGTTCTTGTAAATTGTTGCATAAATCCGACATCTTTTCATATTCTATACGTTGCTGCGCGAGCAATGGTGCTTTGGCTTCAATATCCTGCAAAATATCGAACATTTATATAATCTCATTAAACACACTTATTAATAAATTATTATAATATTCACTTATTAAGAAATTATTATAAAAAAATCCAAGCAATGAGGAAAATTTTGAAAATATCTTGTCAAAATAGTACGTAGAGAAAATTTAAACAGCTTTGGAAAATTCCGCTTCATACCGAAGCTTTTGCAGCGGCAATTTTCGCATTTTCTAATTCCAGTTCACGTATCCAATTCAATTGGCCATTTGTGTAAATCGAAGTGACGAAAGCCTAAGAACGTGCTAGTCTATGTGAAAATGCATATTACTTCCCAATGAAAAATTGATACCTCAACTAATTCATGGAAATAATTATCTATACGTTTGTTTTCCGCTTTCGCTTCTTCTAATTCCGCAACTACACGACAATGTTCTCGATAAATACTCGTCAATGAAACACCACTACGAATCAAGGATGATGCCGCAGCAGCTGCCGGAGACAGTTCCATGATTTCATCATCCGTTAATGTTACTGCAGCAATTATTTTATAAAGAAAAACTAGAAATTGAACTATTCGTCATAAGCTATCAAGATTTTCGGGCTTAGGATTTATTGTTGAAAAAACTCTATCATTTAGTTTACCAACGAAAAAAAGCAAAAACAACATTAAAAAATACCACGATGCCTAGATTTCAACAAATCATTGGCTTTCTGCAATTCGTCCAATAATTCTTCAATCTTTTTATCTAAAAAACTTTCTCTTAACTTGTTGACTAACTAATTTAATCATGTATTAGCATGTTTAACTTATTCATATTAACTACAAAATTTTGTGTGAGTGATGTAAACAAAAACAAGCTTAATGTTCATCTTTTAACATAGGGAAGAGTACCCAAGAATTCGACAATTATTACGCATATCAGTAAGCTAAAAACTATCGCCGGTTTCAAGAAGTAGGAATGAGTAGTAGAACAAGCATTATGATTGTCGTAAAACCAGTTTTAATATAGAAAGCAGTGGAAATTGATTAAGCATTAACTTTCCAAATACGAAGAACCACCTTATTTTAAACTCACTATAAAAGATGAATTTACGTGTAAACCGTATATGAACTAACCTTTTTGAACGATTTCTCTGGTAAAAGTTGCTTGCTTTTCTTCAAACTGAACGCACAATGACTCATAAGCTGAAAAAACTAATATTAGAAAAAAAACATTGGTTGTGTTTTTTAAACTCATAACTGATAACTAAACCGCAAGAACAGTTATATTTTGAAAATAGTATAAACCAGACAAAAAAACCGAACCTTTTTTGGATTCCTCAAGCAGTTTTCCACGATTTTCAAAATCATCATTAAGCTGCCGTAAGTTATTTTCTGCGTCGTCACCAGTCTCTTTGTAAACAGAACAGAGTCGTTCACTTGCTAGCAACTCTTCTTCCAATTTATTCAACTTCTGTGCATTATCTTCCAAGATCTATAAAACATGAGTCAGTGAATCTCTGAACACAGTTTAACTTCCTGACAAACGCAAACTGTCTTCAAAAAATGCATGAAACTAAAGATACGTATAACTTGGATATTATCACCTCTTTAATGCGATCATTCAATCTAGATATTTCCCTATTCCGATCAGCAAGTGTTGCTGTAAGTTTCTTAACATCACTCGCTGCAGATTCGTACTTATCCGTGATAGAAGCTATTTCTGCTTGCAATTCGCCAGTATATCGGACCTGCAGCTCAACTATATAATGAATGACATATAAAACAATAAAATGAATGCAAGATGATAATAGCTAAACCATTTATTTCAATCAACACAATTAAATTAGAAATTTTATGGTCGAAATTTTGTGACAAAATTTCCTGCTCAATTCTTTTATCTTTATTCAAAAGTGATGCTGCTCGCTGCGACCAGATAATTAAACAATCAATTATTTCCCCACCATAAAAATTTTAATTTGTGTTGATTAAAACAAATTTCTGTTTAATTGTTACCGCCTTAAAGATTCATGATATTACAAAGATTCTATCTCCGATAGTGCTGAATGCATTTCTTTTTAAAGAGAGAATTAGAAACTGCGTTTCGATATTTTATTGCAGCCATCAAAATCCAAAATTCTACTTTCTATCTAACGTCAAGAAATAACGATTCGTCGTAAAAAATATTTCAGTTTGATTTCAGTTTGTTCACTTCAGTCTGTCTCAACGACAATGAATGTCCAGGTGTGATATCAAAACTTGTGCAATCGCAGACGAAAAGTGATATTATAGAACACGATGAATACAAAATGCAAGTCATATAAACAACTTATTCTGATTCATTTAATGTACTTAACTAGTAAAATATTAAACATATTTTAATAAAGCAGTTGATCATTTTATAAACCCGTTCACTAACAAACAATTTTTTTCTTTTATCTCTATCAGTCTTTCCCATATCTTCTCCAATATTATATTGCTGAAAAAAAGGAAATATACCCCCTATACAGAGTTAAACCTTTATCTTACCATTTCGATTCTTAAAACAGCAAATTTCCGGTCACGTTCTTTAATTTCATTCATAAACCAATCTTTGTTATGCAAATATATTTCTTTTTCCTGAGCCCAACGTTCTTTTTCATACTGAAACAAACTGAATTCTGATCGCGTAAGACAGAAGCATAAGCAGTTACTTCCACAAAGCTCATTTTTTTTAAATAATCAAAGTATTCATCTGAAATATGCAATTACAAGTTCAAGGATTTATTCATCTTCGGTAGTTGATCGGAATACTCAATTATTATTCATTTCCGCTACAAAATTACAAACCTCAACTATTCGCTTTTGTTTGGCATATTCATCAAGTTTGGTATCTAACAAAACATTCTTTTCTATTAATTTCGTCACTTCATTTTTCTGCAGTTGCAAATCGCCTGTAAATGGATTACTAAATTTCAAAAGCTAAGATTGACACCATTATTCACAAGTGAACAATTTCCTCTATCTTTATTCTGGATTGATACTTGGACCGATATATCTTAAAACAAAACTACTCAAACGTTAAATAATTTACGGTGTAAAATCTATCATTGTTAACCGAAAACGAACAATAATAATTATACAACCGACATCGAGAGTATCTATAAGAAAAGCAAGGGAATTCCCAAAATTTACTTGCAATAAGCGACTTGTCGTGATTTAAGCGATTAATTTTTCCTTCATAATCCTCTCTTTGACGCAACAACATTTCAGCTTTCTGCTCACATTCATTCTAAAATATCACCTTCCTGGATTTAAAAATAAAATACAGCAAAAAATGATAATGAAAACCAAAAGCAGAATTTTTGAAACATCGAGAATGTGAAATGAAAAATAGTAATTTTTCTAGCCATTGAAATACCTTTGCAAGTAATATACGGTCACGTTCAGCTTCCAATTCTCGCATCGCAGCCATTCGTTGGCTTCTATCTCGCAGTAACTGCTCATTTTCTTTTTTCAGTGCATTCTCTGCTTCACTAACTCTGTACAGTTTATCTCGAACTGCATCCAACTCTTCGTTTGTCAGAAATAAAACATGTTCTATAATTTATATTCAATGTTGATCATAACTCAAAATTTTTGGCATAGCTTATAGTGTGACATCGTCCTATACATGGACATCAAAAACGACCGGGTTAATGGAAAAAACAGCTTATAAAAAAGGACAGAAAGTTATCGCTATCACTAATAAGCATTCAGATTTTGTTATCCAGTGTAACTAAGAAACTCCAGGAAAGGGATTTATGGTAAAGAATTCAAACATACCCAATCGAACTTTTTCTTTTTTTAGTTCAGTCACATCGGATGCAACAATCTTCGTTCCTTGTTCACTTGGAGCATGCTCAGTAGTCAAAACAGTATCTTCCGAAAAAATATCTTCGTCATGGCTGCCTTCAAGGAAAAATCGATAGTGAATTCAACTGTGAACTCATTTCAAAAGAACTCTTATTAGATAAAGCTTAATTCTCTTATTCACCTAATACTGACATTAAGTATCTTAGCTGACCTCTAGAATCTGCTATAGTCTCAGAGCAAAAGTGTCTGCTGAGAAGACATCAATTTTGAAAAGATCAAATTAGTGACCTGGCTACAAAGTCATGCTTGGTGAAAAATAACGGTAAAAGAGGAACTAACCAGCAAAGGTAGATAATTTGATTGAAGCATCCCGTAAACTCTTCCCAAACATACTCCCATGCTGTCCTTCAGATTTGTCATCTCCAGTTACTATCTCTAAGCTTCCACTTCCTTCCGTCCCCTCCACAGATCGCTGAGGCTGCTGCTCCTGTTCCTCACCTTCCTGACTCTTATCATCTGACATTACGCTTTATTGCATACTAAAAATAAATTTAAACAATCTTATAATTCTGACAATTTGTAAGAATTTCATAATACGATGCACTCGTTACATAAGTGTATGGAATTGAACACTGACCTCTCAAAAAAATGGTAATCAGAAAGACAGAGAATGACTTATTCAAAAAATCTCATTAATTTCATTATATTATCTCCACGAGGGTCCAATGATTACAATACGGGCCACAAAAATTCTAAAGTCAGAAGCAGGAAGGTTAACGGTCACATGAAACACCCAACCACTCACACCTAATTCTAAATGAAACAGTTGCTGTGAGAGATATCTGGGTTTTAGATGGAATGTTGGCACGGCGCCAAGGATTTGAATTTTTCTAAAAATTTGAAATTTTTTTGAGGATATCATAAACATGGCTAAGATGATAATTGATGTGTTATAGGGAATTGTACATAACAGGAGCTGTAAAGATGAGATAAAAAGCGCACTGATAATTACATAAGAGGAACTGTAAAGATGAGATAAAAAACGCACTAATTAGACTAAAGAACTATTAGACCGGATGAAACTTTTTGACAGAGAGCAAATACTAAGGTGATGCGAGGCATAATGAATGTCTTATGTTTTGATGTAAATCAGATGTTATATTAATTGTCATACGTTGATTATAGGCAAATAGAAATATTTTATGCTATAAGAATAAGTAGAGATATTTTAGGCAATAGATGAGGTAAATACGTGTTTCTGACTTCGATAATATAATTATAGTTTTTTCAAGTATAATTAGTCTGAATTTAGATAAAAGATATCTAATAAGCTTAATAGGCTTGTAACTATATCATATTTCATAGATTGTAACTGTATCATGTCACATTGTCGTTATCGTTTTACTATATCATATGAAAATATCCTATTATGTTATCAAAATTATTTCAGGATTTATCCAATGATGGTATAATGAAATTATCGAGGAGCAGTTCATGGAGGGAAAATAATAATGGATTTGTTGTGAATGATAGCTCAACTTCGACATTTGCGAACCATGACTCCAATGACTGTATACCTCCACGGAAACGTTCAAAACGTTTAACAGTCAGTTGTGTGGAACGAGGTATTCTTACCATTGCTTCATCTTACCGTAGGAAAAACTGTTATGATTGTTAAATGGATTTAAGACATTAAATTTGTTCGAATTAATGAGCTTCATTATAGATATTTATGATTCATCCATTTCTTTCGGCTCCAGTGAAATCAATGTTCGTGTCATTTCGCTTTCTGATGATAGCACCGATGAGCTTCGTGAACTGGATTGTATTTGCGAAGACACATCTAAATTTTACCGCGTGAGATTAGAAGGAATTTGGTCGTCTACTCCAGTCAAAATTGGTTCTTTCTTGCGTGTTATTGGCGCTGAAATGAAAGGAGAAAAGGTAGTCTCACACTGCGATTATTCATCAGTCAAGAATTTTCTGCTAATTCATATTTCAGTGCTTACATTTAGCACGAAATGTACATAGTTGCTTTAAAAATATTATGCATAAATTAGTTGATGATTAGTTCAAAAATCAAAAATTACTTCACCTTAGTTATGTTTGTTTTGTTATTCTTGCAACAAATTATTTTCTAGGAGTTACTATTAAATTGGGAAAGTGGTGTATTGATTGTAGAAAGTAATGTATTGGTGCCTTGTACACTTATCGCTCAAGGTACATCTTGTCGTCGAAAAGCAACACTTTCGCATTATTTCAAAATACGAAGCGGTACAACGAAGGAAATGGTGGTTGGGAATGTGGTTCACGAGCTCTTTCAAGTGGGCATTATTGTGTAAATGAGGGAATTTGGTGCTATTTGAATAATATTTCCTATGATATTTTTATCATTTTGGTGGAAGATGATATAATTCAAGGAATTATGCTTCTTTGTTTCTTGTTCTTGGGAGGATCATAGCCATTGATGAAACATTATACTTATCTAAAGTGACAAGTGGGGTTCTTTGACAAAAGGAGTTATTGCAGAAGTAAAAATAGTGATTAAAATTATTTCAGTGATTTTCGACTGATTTCTAGATTGCAATTACACGCTCGGGATTCGACGTTGCTGAGAGCAGTTTACTTGATCTGTGGCGAAAAGAGTTGCGTGAAAAGTATGCTGAAGAACTCTTTGCTCTAAACCTCTCATCTCAAGAGGTTTATCTTTAATTTTTCAAATATTTTTGATCGATTTGCTGGAAAAAATTCCAATTTTATTTAGGTTGAAGACGAAATGTGCCTTTATTTTAAAACGATTACTCATTGGGTATCAGCTCACATGCCACCACCAAAAGGTCGAAATGAATCCTTGCAAACAGGCTTTAAAATCATGGAATTAATGGATGTTGAGGAACCCATGTGGAATTCGTGTTATGGTTTCAAAGCCAAAATTGATTGTACTGTGAAGGTTTTCGTGTTCTCAATTGCAAAATATAGTTTACAGTATTTAACTTGATAACTTTTATAATAAGAATGCATTTACATGTTTTAGTACAGCCAGTGGAAGAATTTCAATCATTTCGAAGAGAACCTTTATTATCTCGAATTTCAGGTAAAAAAGAGAAATGGAGAACAAAAACTAGTTCCTGTAGAATTGAAGACTGGCAAGTCAAATCCAAATATAGCGCATATTACACAAGTCATGCTTTACTGCCTTGCCTTGGCCTCAAAACAGGTTGGTACCATATCAAAATACTCGACTTTCGTCAGGCTTGCTTTTTATTCTTAGCAAAATTTAAATTTGGATTTGATGCAGGCGCATGTGTTGCAATTTCGAGGGTTTCACTTTCAGTTAAGTTGCAATACGTGATACGCGATGGTAAGTAGGACATTCGGTATATGCGTTATCACAAAAAGGTGCAAACCCAATCGAAATAAGGCATATTTGTATATGAATATTTATATATATTTTTGAAGGGTACTATTGAAAATGGGTTATTGTTGTATTTGCTGGATGAAACCATTCGGACTGTATCGCCCAAAATGATCGATTTGAAGGGAATTCTACATATGCGCAATGAAATTGCCGCAGGCATAAGTGCTATTTCATTCGATAATCTTCCAGGTTTCTCTGGTCGAATTTTAGACTTCTACTTTGCTTAACTAATTACCCTGTATCGAGGTTTTCCAATATTAATCAGTTAACATTGCGAAAGCTCTTTCAGAGTCCATGCGTTGGCTGTTGACAGTGAAAACTACGAAGATAATTAAACATATTTTTCGCACTTGAATTTAAATTCGGAAAAATTTTAAATTGACATCTACTTTCTAATGGACGATTTCATTATTATCTTTATAGGACCGATCTTGGATAAACATACTTGTAAGTGGTGTAATCAAGCCTTAGCATGCTCCTTATTGCAATGCTGTTCTGCGTCAGCTGTAACCGATATTTTCTTTCAAGATCAATTAAAACACCTTAAGCAAAGTCATATCGATTACTTCAAACGGTTCGCTAGGTGGATACTAATGGAATGGAGATATGTAACAGAGAGGAATGCAACTGATAAGGAAGATATATGCAGAAGGTTTTTGCTCTTGATATCTTAAATGTTGTATTCAATCAAAGGGATGAAAAGAAAGCAGAAGTTATCGTATGTAATATTTCATGAAGCTACTTATATGAATTTCAGGAAGAACTCGGCATCAAGCATAAAAGTTATCCTTGATTCCATTGTCCAACAAGAGAATAGAACTGTTGTTACTTTTCAAAAGTGAATGCTTCCTTCCCTTTTATATATGTCACTTGTTCTTTAAAAAGCTAGTCAGACAAATATCTTTAATGCATCCTATATGAAATAGCTTATTGGTTTATTGTAAATGATAAAATCTGATTATTTTCAGGGAGGGAGTAATAGATGAGCAATATGAATTGTGCATAAAAGGAGATATGTTATTAGTTCTTTCCGATGAGAGTGAACAGATTGCTATGGCTTCCGTAATTTATGTTAAAGGTAAGCTCATATTTCAGGTTTCGATGTGTGCATCATTCTGCCGAATAAGGTTGAGAATGTTGGACATGGAAATACTTCACCATCCTTCCACTTGCCTATTAGGTTGTCGGTGGATGCCTATATTCAACGGGCTTATTTGTGACATTACATTCTTGACTTGTTGTAGCTTCTTTAGAAAATATATCCCTTCATTGGTTAAACTGTACCTAACAACTGCTATGTTTATTTTGCAATGCTTACAGATTTTGTCTTGAATTAAACTAAGTTTCATCATCAATAATAAATTTTGCAGATAATTTTATCAACGTCGCTGTATATAGCAACAGTAGTTCATTTGTTGTTGGAATGACCTATTTCCTTAAGAGACATGAAACTTCTTTCAAATATACTCTTAATCTCGGAAATTTAGTTACGCTAATGGTTAATGACAAACAAATGTATGTAGGTTTCTGAACTTTGTCAAATTTTTTCTTCCATTGGTTTACTTTTCAATTTATTTCATATAGAAGATATGGTCCATTTGCTTTTAATGATATTTTACTTTGGGCAAAATTTATAATTGTAACATGCTATTCAGGTCAAAAATTAGATCTCTTATAATTGATATGAGGCCACCGGTGTTCTCAAGGATGAAGAAAGAGAATATAATTGGCATATCAAAAATTGTACGACAATTAAATTGTGATCAAGCACGAGCAGTTGTTAAATCCCTTATGTCTAATGATTATGCAATTATTGAAGGATTCCCTGGAACTGGTAAAGTAAATTAATCTTTCTAAGCGAAACAACGAGTTTTGGAAAGGACAAGCGGAAATCAAGAGTAAGACTGTGGGAGAAAAGGTTTTTTCGGATAGTCTTAGAGATCCGACTACTTTTTTCTTAAACTTCGACTTTTTTTAATTGTCGAAGTTTTGAAAAGACAACCAATTTTAGTTTTATAATTGTCTTACTATTAAATCAACAAGTGAAATGTAAATGGATAATTGATAAAGCTAAATCCGGCTACAGGTAAAACAAGCACGCTAGTAGTGTTAATTCGTTGCCTTATTTATTTGGGTCGCACTGTCCTTATCACTTCTCATACTCATTCTGCAATTGATAATATTCTTTCAAAACTTATTGAGGTTATTGGTTTTCCTTTTTTATAAGTTAAAATTTTTTGAATATACTTTCTAGGTATAAAATTGCTTTTATCTTTCGCATTCTATCAATTGTTCTGACGTTCCACAGCTAGCTTTTATCGTATTAGACATTAGACAAAATTGCATTAGACAAAATTGAATATTCTGTATTTTGTTGACGATTGGAGCTTATTCTTTTCAGTTCATATAAATTGTTTCAGTATGTTGATGAAAATAAGATTTTACGCTTGGGACGGCAAACTTCTATAAAGGAAAATGTACAACATTTAACTTTGAAAGCAAAGTTGTCTAAACATATGGACACTGATAGAGTTTCATTAATGCAGCGTATCCTAAAGGAAACGGTAAAAATTCTTTTTTCTTCCATTTAGAATATGTTTCATGCTAAATGCTAATGTAACAAAAATGTCGAATTTGAAACATCAGTTAATTTTTCTAATGATCATAATTATAACTTTCAGCCCATCGTTGCATGTACTTGTTTGGGAGTATCAACTAATTTGCTATTTTCATATCGTCGTTTCTCAATGACAGTTGTTGATGAAGCATCTTTGGTATTGGAATCTACTGTCATTCCTGCTATTGCTGCTTCTGATTCCTTTGTACTTGTTGGTGATCGTCGACAGCTTGCTCCTCTTATCTGTTCCAAACAATCCAGGTAATTATTTGAATATTGAACAACTAGCAATATTAATCCATACGAGTGACAAATCAGTAACTTGAAACTAAATTAAGTCAATCACTATTTGATAAGGAGAGAACTGAATCATTAAAGTGATGGCGATCTTTCCATATTTTAAGTGTTGAGATTCCGGACAATAATAGATTTTTTTCCTTACTCAAATAAATTAGTGAAGAATGAAGCTATAGCAAGTAAATCGAAGTTAAGACAACAGTTACAACGCTCTACTTCAGGGAGGAAGGTATGGAGAAATCATTGTTGGAACGATTAACCATTCATCATTCAGCTATTATTACATTATATTCTCAATATCGGATGAATAGGTGAATTGAAGTATTTATATGATTCATTTATATAATTTTCAAAGGGCATTCTTTTATAATAAAACAATTGCTTAATCTTCTATTTCGAATTTTAGGCCGATTGCTGATCTTAGTAGTGTTCTCTTTTATGATAGTAAACTTCGTTGCGCGAATAATATGGTCGCTGAAGCAACTCTTATCAACTTCGTCTCTGATCCTATCATTGACAGCATTTACTCTAGTATGGCTAACTATTGATTAAGACTTGATTAAGAATTACTGATTCATGAAATTCGAAAACATTCTAAATTACGATCACATTTCTGCTTCAATACATTTCAATAATTCAGTAGATTTCAGCAATTTTCTTAGTTATTTCTGAGAAGAAATATTTTGTGGAATGCCTAGCGTCCTTGTCACTTTGTCAATTGTAAAGTGGAGATATTATAGAGGCATGCAAGCTTTGTATTTCGAATTTACTAAGCAATGCAGTCGTATTTGTGGATACTCAGTCATACAAGAATCCGTCCTTTTGTACAATTTTTGGCAATTCTGGCGAAATTAGTAATGTTGGAGAAGCGGAGTTTATTGGAGGCCTTTGCAGACTATTTGTTAAGGTTGCTTTATGTTTCGAAGATCTGACTATGCATTGCTTATACTTTAACTTTTTTATCGTCTAAGCTGATAATTTATTGTTAAATAAACCCTTTGGAAGAATCCTTTACCCGTTTAAGGTATTTTTGGTTCAGTTCAGTTTCTAATACACCTCTTGCAACTATCTTTTGTATAATTCACGTAACAAATGAAATCTTCAGCTGGGTCTACCGGAAAGTGATCTTGGTGTTATTAGTATCTATCGTTATCATGTTGAACAACTGCGCCGCACAATTCAAGCAGGAGTTGAAGTGGATACTGTTGACCAATATCAAGGTAGGGATAAGTCGGTTATTGTGTTAAGTTTCGTATGGACTGGCGAAGCAGAAAATCGGAAAAGTGAGTTGCTTGCCGATTGCCGTCGAATTAATGTTGCTATAACGAGGGCTAAACACAAGTTGATATTGGTCGGATGCCAGAAATCGTTGTCAAGGTAATCTCAAAAATATTTGATATTTCCTCACTCTTTATGACTCGAATTGAAAAAAAAGAATCAAATTGATGTAAATCGTGCCATTTTAAAATGTTTTCAAGATTTGAGTTAGGACTAAACTGCATTTTTTGCTCAAAATTATAAACTGAAATAGCTTATTTTCAGTTACCCAGTAATGAATGCAATGATTAACGCAATACCTAATGAATGCATCACAATGTTACACGAATAAGCATGCGGTTATTATATTAAGTTACTCATCATTATTTCCTATCAGTTATATCGCTCGTTTTCATGACAGACCTTACTATCATTTTGTTTTAATTACTCCACATTAACATATATGATTTTATTACCAGTTTTATTATGGCGCCTAATCGTGACGATGAAATTGTATTTGATACACGAAAACAGAGGATAATATTCTTCTGCTCCTTGGTTTGTTTTATCGTTATGCGAAACACCAATGTACTCTGTAGCATTCGAGAGTAATAACCCTGTAACAATTGGAGAGAAGCAGATAGTATACATTCATTAAAACACTTATTTAGCAGAAGAGATAATTTTATAAGCGGAAATAGTTAAGCACAGTAAGTCAAATCTCAGGAACATAAATTCGTGAAGATCCCTAAAATCTCATAAATTCCATTAGAAAAAATTACGAATTTAAAATTTGAATGAATTTTTTGGTCAGAATTCAAAAGTTATTGTATGTTCGACAATTTTTCTAATTGCTTCATTTTATTGTGTCTATTATTAAGCCTAAGGTTTTATTTGTTTTTATTGCTTCTATTCCGATCACTTAAATTAACTGATTCCAAACACAGAAGAATTGTACAATCCGCAGCTATTGCTGCATTTTGTCTTCAATGTTCTTTTCATTTATTATAAATTATTCATATTTAACAATATTTTTAAGGTATCTGCCATGAAATATTTTTTTATTTGAAATAAAATTCAAGTAAATGATTGAAAAGATACTGTAATGATTCATTGGGAAGATGTAATCTATTATGAAATATGCCGGATACCTTAAAAATATCATGAAATATTATGGATTACTATATTTTGTGGTACTTTCAAGTAATCATTTATATCTTTACAGCTCTTTCCAACAATTTCCTGTATCTTACCATACATTAAAACAATAATTCGTATTATCTTATTACCTTTAAGTTCATGCCATGTGTAATTTCCACTCATATCTTTTGCCTGATTTTACTTCAGATACTTTTTGTTGGAAAGGATTAGTTCTTTCAAACGTTTATTTCAAATTCGCTTTAAGCTATTTTATATTTTCTCAAGCATCTTATGGTATATTCTATTTGTTATTCGCTTCTCAAGTGTGTCTATGATCTATGAATTAGGAATGATTCACTTCTTTTTTATATATCTCGTATTTTTAAACTAGGAATCCCGATTTCTAGGTTATGAAAGCGTTTTATTTTAGTGTCACATGTGACAACCTTTCGGCAGTATAATGAAAGCTAAATCTTTTTCGATGAATTTTATAGAAAGCAATAAAATTGCAAAATTTGTTGTACAGCAGTTACTAGAAATTGATAAGACCAGGGAGGAAACAATCAATCTATCAGAAAATGATTTTTGACAGAGAAGGAATGAGTCAAGAAGATGGAGAAAAACGGTTTGATCATTTTGGCTTTCTCATATTTGCCATCTTTCATGGTAATAATATGGTTGGCTGAACATTGCATTTTTGATCAACTGTCATCGATCTCTTTGGAATTAATGATCTAACAAAACGATAAGCAATGAATTCAATAGAACATATTTTCGATGAATTTCCACAAAGACATTTCATGAGGAAAAAGAAAACAAAATCCGTAACTAAGCTTTCTACCATGAAGTTTTGAATAAATATCAGCGTATTGTTATTATCAATTACGGATTTAAAGAATCTTTTTGTATAATCTAAATAGTTTCCTTTTGACTTCAACAAAGTTGTCTTTCTCTCTGGTTTTTTTCAAATATTTAGCAAGCTTATACTTTATTTTCATTAATTTCATTGTAAATATGTCTAATAATATCATATAACATAATACAACAGTTATCAATAGTTACCTTTCTCTTATCTTAATATTTGCTAAAGAAAAAATAGCTGAAAAATTCAGAATAAAGTTTTAGGAGAAACATAAAATCTTCACCCCATTAGAAACAGATAGCATCAGTGAGTTTTATCATCCATCAAAGATTATTGGATTAGTTCGATAAAAGCAAATTACTAGCTATCTCGATAAATGAATTGAAGTTGTTGAAATTCGGAACAGCCTCAGATGAAAGTTGCGGAAATTGATATATCGATCTGTCCGCTCCAATGAATAAATCGTTCCTTTCCTTAGTAGTGATGCCACACACCTGTTTCACAATCCGAAGCCAATTTGTCACTTTCACTTTTCGGTGAGTAGACTTAAGCCGCATACATGTGCGTGTGCGTATGTGTGTCTGTGTGTGGTATGTATGTTCGACCATTTATTTAACACACGAAAATGTTTTGGTGAATTGGACTGATATGTTCGACACAAATTTTAAAACGAATGTTTTCATTTCAATTCATTGGCCTTTTCAATCAATGTCTTATCTACTAATATGGAGTGAAAATTCTTTTAATTTTTTCCTTCTTCCGGTAACAATACTTGCAGTTTTATAAATTTTTAAATTCTTTTGATAAAATTTTATAGTTTTTCTTCTATTTTATGTATAATTAAAAACATTTGAATAAATTAATGATGATAATTGCAAATTAAATAATGATTAATGCACAAATATTTTGTTATTATAATGCAATAATTGATTAATATGCATATATTATTGTTTAAAGATAGAAACAAAAATACTATACATGGATAATATCTGAAGCAGAATTGTAAAAGTATTCGATTATCAATTAATTATTACTATTGTTATTATATTATTTGGCATAAAATTTTATTTACTTATCCGTAATTTCGAATTTCCAACTATCAATTTATCCATTCATACATTCATTTCCAATGAAATTAAATCATTAAAATGACTGCTATATGTAAAGTATCAATTAATCAATCAATCAATCATTTTATTCTTTCAATATTTTCATTAGCAATTAACGGAAGGGAAAAAGAAAAAAAGGGAAATTTCATCTTCTCTTAATGTTAATTAAATTTTCCTTTCATGGAAATTACCAAAATGAATTTCATTGTTATTGCTCTTTTAAAGCATTTTAATAATTATTATATGAAAACTTGTTGTAAAACTTTTTTGCATTATTTAAGAAAATTTCTAAGCTTATTTTCCATCCATTATTTCATTTCCTTTATTCAATACATATCGCTATATTAAATTTATCACTCTTTTACCTCTATTGCATACTTTCTGCATTCAATTATGATATATACGCCTTATGAAGAAAGAAAGATATTATATTCAAATTTCATTATGTACATTTTATCAGAAAAGATATTACAGATGAAAATGTATGTCATATAATTCACTATAAATGATATCCTAGAACCATTCATTCATATTAATGGCATCATTCAACAAAATTATTCATCTTCGAGCCTTAAATGATCTATGAAACCAAATAGTCATGAATTACATTAATTGAAAATTATCTTCCTTTTCATTTAATATATTTAATGAAACATCATCTCATAAAGTCTTCGTAGGATGCCTAAAAATATCCAAAGTTATATGTCGCTAAAGCTAAAGTTTACCACCCAAAAAATCAAACCTATTTTATACCTGTATATTCTTATTATATTCTATTTTTCTGTTTATAAGGAAAAAATGAATCCAGACCAAAAATCAATATATCCTACACAACCACTCATGCAGGCTTTTCTACTTTTTCCTATGGCTAATATGTTAGCTATTTATGAGTGGAGTAACAGTTTGTATTGGCGAAGAAAGTCTTGCAAGATGAAAGAGAAAAGAATGCTTATTTGGCGCACAATCGATAAGCGCTTGGCTCATATGCGCCGAGCTTATAATCTTCCCATAAACGTTAGATTCTCATTAGAGTAAGCAAAACGGTCACACACACACCTCTCAATATAAGCCTTAAACTATATAGTAGGCACTGTTGATGTATGAGCCTACTTGTCTATTTACCTGCCTATCGCCTCTGTTTCGTTTTATATTTCTTTCTTTTTTGTTTTACTTCAATTATTTGAGATTTCAAAATGGTTTATTGGAAAAATTAGTAATTCAAATTCTTTTTTTAATTTGGAAAAACTATGTTACTAGTGTTACTAGATTACTATATCACCACTAGTATTATTAATTAATAAGAATAGTAATTAATAAGAATAATGGTAATATTAACAATAATAGTAATATGATAATATTATTGATCAAAGGCTTTTTTTGGGTACTTTTTCGTGTTTATCTCTCTTTATATCTTCGGTATTTAATCAATCACTTTCGTAATTAGAAGATATTTGTCGAACAGATTTATGAGAAATGACTATCCTTATTGGAATTAAGTTATTTGTTTTATTTTACTAAGTCAACAAAACTGATCAAAATAGAATTTATAGCCGAATCTCAAAAGTCGTCACAAAAATTTCGTCTAATCTATTCTTTAATTCGTTAACAAATATAAAGAGTTGTTACTTTTGTGCATCGCTAGAGAAAGCAACCCCTCTAGTACTATTCGTATATATATATTATCATATTTAAGTTAGTCTATGATAATGAAATTCAGAAAATTGAATCTTTAGACTAAAATTAATAAATTTAATAGTTACACATCAGAAAAAGAAAGATGTTCATTAGCACAAAGAATAAAGTTTATTAGTTCGAAGCATATCCGATTGCTATCGAACAATCAAGAAGGATCTTTTTCTTCTTTAGTAAATTTCTCCGTTGTTTACTTTTCTCCGTGTACCCTTTTCTGTTGCTAATGATGAAGTGTGTAAGCAAACTTAAATACATTTTGTATATTTCAAAAGTATACCAATGATCGCTGATTCTCATCAGTGAAAAAAAGTAATGCTGCGACAATTTTATGTTTACATAATTTTAATATATAACACAGTATACGTACATGACGTAAAACGTAAGATATCGCTTTTTCCTTCTTTAATTTTTTATTCAAATGAATTAAATTGTTTACTGTTTCATTTCAGTGTTGCTTGAAAGTATGAAACGATAAAAATGCGACACTTTCGATAAATAATACTGAAATCGAAATTGGATGAAATCAAAATACCTCAAAATGACTAATTGGTTAATCGTAAAAATTGGAATTTATTACGATCAATATTTTCTTTTCAAGTATATCATTACCTCCCTTCTTTTCTCTATATCTCTAAAAAATTTTGTGATATTTTCGAAATTTGATAAATTTATGATTAGAAAGGAAATAAATTTTACATTTAAATACAATTGCCATATTCTAATAAATTAAAGAAACTTTACAACGATAATTTAATGATTTCATTCATTTTCTTCCCTTTCATGATATAATTATTATTAATGATTTATTTTAATTACTTTTATAATCGCTTTACTATGAATAAATCATTCCATTCCTTTTTCTTCTATACTATTGCTATTGTCATTATTATTATTTAAGGAAATATAATATAAAATAAGAACATAATGATTTTTTTCCAAAAAATTTCTTTCTTCCATTCTCTCTCGTTTGTTTCACGGTGGTGAGAGAGATGCTTTCCCCTTTCGATGAATTAATTACCTTTAATTGCTTCGGAAAAAATTCATTGGAAAATTTTTCCACTGAATCATTTTTTACTTTAAAAATATTTAAAAACATAGCTGCTATCCGGAAATTATATTCACTAAAAAATATACAAACTATCCGGTTATTCAATACGGAATATTTTGTGATAATAACAAAATCAGAAAGTAAGCATTACAAAAGGTATTAGTATTTCTAAGAAGAAGAAACAAATCAAAATTATAATTTACGCAAATTAAATGTTTTAAAATCTAAAATTTCTCAAAACCAGGCCTTACTAATTATATGGCTTTGAACAAACTTTTCATATTATTTTCCAACTTAAAGTTTATTTTCTTCTTTTACAATTACCATTGGATGGATGACCTGAATTTTAACTTACAAATTTTATAGCATTCTTCGACGTTTTTAATTTATTTTTATTTAAAATTTGGGAATTCAACAAGTTTTGTGCAAAAGAGGGGAAAAAATGCTGCAAAAGGAAAGAAAATGAACGACCGATCACAATTTTTTAGAAAAATGGGAAATTGAAATGATGAAATGTCAATGTGAAATTTAACATTTTAAAAATAGACTTCCAAAAATGATCTTTAACCTTTAATTTTGATTATTGTAAGTGTTTTCGATACAACCAACTCTTTCTATTTTGTTTTAATTGCTAATAGATAAAACAAAAGCACAGAATATGTGCATATATGTTGTTAAAATTTTTTGTTTTCAAGTATTTATTTAATTTCGAATACTAAAAACACCTATTTATCAGTAGTCTCGGTAGTGGATAATTAGATGCATTCAACCTGGAAAGGTACTGAAAGAGAAAATATAAAACAAATTACATTTCGTATCTTTTCTTCGATAAAAAATCTTTTGGGAAAATTTAATTTCTGCTAAGCTAATGATTTTATTTCAAAAGAAAATTCAGTTTCTTCTTATTTAATACCTGGAAATGATATTTTATCGGAAGATATTATATTTTTACTTCTTTGACGATTTCATTTCAAAAAAAATTTATATTCTATTTAATTAGCACTTTAAAATAATTTGAAATATATTGATTAACCCTTTTTTCATGTTCAAAAAAAATGATATTCTTATTCATTTAACTATTTTGTTCCGGGAAAAATTTCAAATCTATTTATTCAATACTTTAAAATATATTAAAACATTTTTATTAATAATTTGAAATTTAAAAAATCATTTAAAATTTTCTCACAATTCCTTATTAGTGTAAATGTTTCTATCTTTCAATTTGAATTTTGAATATATAGGCAGATTATTTTATAATTTGACAAAAATTTTCTTCAATTCAAAATTCTCCTTTATTGACGATTACTTTGAAATAAATGTTTCGATTCATTAAATGTAATTAATTATATTTTAAAAATGCTTTCAATAATTTCTTGCAAAAAATATTTGCGAGAAATTGGAATGGATTTGCATGAAAATTAGATTTTATTCACCATCTTATTGAAATTCATACAATTAATTTTCATTCGCTTTTATTTTTAAACGAATAACAAAATATTTCATTTTCATCTTTTTTCAAATACTATCATAGTGAGTGGCGGAAGGATGAAAAGAAATTTTCTAAGCTGTCATTAAAGTTTCCATCGATGCATTTTTGTTGAAGCGAATTTTTGTTTTAACAATTTTTAAGCTTATTTGATAGTTTTATTTTTTTAAGAAAAAATCCTTGATTTTTTATCCATTGGCCAACCTATATGTATAAATTTATTTCAAATATTTGTCAACTTTCCAAATTATGAACTATTTAGTTTTGAGAAGAAAAAAAGTGCAATAATTATTAATTAGAATAAGCTTTAAAAAGGGATAATTCATCGGTAAATTATGCGAGATTATTCATTTCTGAGTTAAATAGTTTTGGTAACAGATAGGCCTGGTATTTTTTAATTTTTGTAATTTATTGATTTATATGTGTTTCATCTTTTTTCTTTTAATTGATTATTGTGATATCATTTTTGAATCATTAGAACATATCTTTGATTACTAAGATATTTAACGAATATTGCAACATAATTTCCCTCAATTTTTTTGAATTAATATGACATAGTTAGTTAGAAAACTTCAACATATCGCTCTGAAACATATTAATAAAATATTTTGTAAGCCCAAATCATCGTATTACTTTAATTAATTTGATTGTTAAATGATTTGCCAAACACCAAAAACAATAAGTCTAACATAGTTAGCAAGTTAACATACATAAAATTGAATAAAATTTAAATTCTTCAAAAAAATGAAACAAGTTAGATCAAAGAATATCTAACTGGTTGTACTTCCTATCCAATATATTTTCGTTACGTACGTGAAAGTTTACGTATTTCGTTTTTCCTCTTTTAAAAGTTTAATGTCTCATAGCATTTTCATTTTTAGATTTAAAAATTTTATCGAATAATTTGAAATAGTTTTTTTCTATTTAAGCATTGTTTTCTTCTGTTATAATCATATTGTTTAATAAAATTTATTTCGCTGATAATAATTTCAATTTATTGTTAGAATAATGTTTTCATTGCTTGATAGATGAAATATTAATAAAGGAGACAACACTTCGTTCCTAATATTTTGATGCGTTTTTAGAATTTTTAAATTTCAGAGAAGGAAAAAATTGTATTTGTTATTTCGGTCCGGAAAAAAGTGCAGTTTGCAAAAGTGGGAAGTTTCATACCCTCAAAATTTCATATAAACAATATGTATTTAAACAGCATGCTTGTTCCTGTATTCAATAAGCAAATATTACAAGTTGGAAATATTTGTTAAGTAATTAAAGATTCTATTTGATTAATCAATTTACCTTAACCTTTAAGTTTTTTCTTTGTGGTAATTTGACTAATTACTCTCATTTATTTATCATAATAATACTGGATATTTCTACCAAGTCTTTGCCATCGATCAAATTTATTCAAAAAATGATTGCAAGAGATAAAGGAAACGAAAGACAAGAAAGGTAAATAAATATTCGTAAATTTTTTTATTCCTTGATTATAATAATCATTATAATTATCCCTGCCTTCTACAAATATATTTAAACTATTTCTTCATTTATTTCAATTATCGACAATTTTTCATTATCGAGAAGTTTACCTTCCCGCCTCCCCGCTCTTTCTTCCCTTATTTTCTTCGATGACAATAAATCATCGGAAGCTTATCACATGCATTCCTGTTATCTCTCTTATTTGCTCTCTATATATTACAGCTATTCCTAAGATTTTTCTAGCCATTGCATTTTTAAAATTAAGGCGATAATTTTTGACAAGTGCTCAGACTTTATAATTATACTTAACATCGTAATTTTCACCTGTTGCCACTTTAACTTGAGCATTGTACTATTTGACTATTGAATACCGTAATATTCGCTTTAACCTAAGAATTACTCAGTTAATACTGTGACAGTCACTTCAACCCAACAATCACACTATTTATTAATATACCTATGCTCCAGTCAATACTATACATTTATTTCATCAAATTTACATTTTTCATGTGGTCATAGCTAGCACAATCTGAAAGATGAAATCCTTTACGAAAAAGTTATTTAATTGAAAATGAAAGAAATATCGTAAGTAATATAAACTTTGTGCAAAACAGCAATATTACTGATAATGATAGCAGAATTGACAGAATTTTTGCATGCAATTCTCTTATATTATTTTATCTAAACAAGTTTCAATTGATAAGATTGCAAAAAATGATTACTTATGCTATATTCCAAACAATGTATCACACCAAAAGCAATAGTAATGATAATGGAGCATTTGAAATTCACAAAAATTTAATTTTGTTGAAAAAGACAAAATATATTTTTACATTTGCTAGAATCATTTTAATTACAAATTTAAAGAATTTTTGAAAAGTTGTAAGAATAACTAATTTTTTTTGCAATGCAATTCAAAATTTTCTTTTGTATTCATGTATGTATATATGTGGTACTTTAGAAGAGGATGGAGGTCAATGGTCATTAGACAATTCGAAGAAATGATTTAAGAGGGTGAATCATACAAGGAGTGGGGTTTTGATGGTGACGAATGATCATTTGCAACACATCATGGCTCGAAACGCTGAAAATGACAGTCAAATGCAACTGGTCTCGATGGAAGATAGTAATGCTTCCTGTACTGTTACACCAACAAGGTATTATATTAATAATCATTTTAAGATGATAATTAGAAGAGGTAAAAAATAATAAATTATACATAGTTTTGAATAATAATTTATCAAAGAAATTTTAAATATTTTAAAAATTTGATAGAATTGGAATAATCTTATTGTTACTCATAATATTTCCTATCAATTTTCGATTTTTAATACAAAAATTTAAAACTCACCATTTTATCATGTAAGTGTAATTTAATGACAAAACTAAAAATCATTTGCATTCCTCTCCATGTACATGATCTGATATAGTTTCAATGATGATAAGTAAAAGTGACAATACATATATATAGTGCCGGTATATATAGCAATAATATATTTGTTCGTTAAATAATATATATTTATTCATTTAAAAATGTATTACTAATTAATTTGTGACAATTAATTAGCATTTTTAAAAGATTTTATTTGTGATTCATTTTATAATTAAATCTAATGATGCTTTGGAAATGCAGAAAGATTCATTTTTCAAAATCTGCAATTAATATAAGCCCTCTGAATTTCGCTTATATATTTGAAATGTTATCACTTTCCGATGAATTTTTATAGATTTGAGATATTATTATCACACACAACGAATTTTCAGTTCCAAAATATTGACAAAGTTTAAAAACCGGAATTATTATGCTTAAAGAATGAATTGTGTGAAAATATAAGATGCTTCTTTTTTGCACTTTTTGATGTCTTTTTTTAATACAACGATAATTGTTCCATTATTGTTAATTTCGAACTCTTACAATAAGTAGTGATAATTCGTGGTCAGTTAATAGACCGTCCAATATTTATTCAGACAATACCTATTTAGTTATTAGCTTCCAACAATAGCCATCATTAGATAGCCAAGCAATATATTTAACAGCTCAAACAAAATTAGCCGGTGGTTACTAATCATTTGATAAGCCAACAATAAAATGGGCAACTACTCCGTGAATATGCTTGCACGTTATTGTTCTAAAATTGCAAAAATTGTGTTAATTTCAATTTCTATTTTTTAAGGTCAGAAATCAATAAAAGTATAAATGAAATGTAAGTACAATTTGCTAAGTATCCTTCTTTTTTGCCTTTATTATATAAACTTTTTTCAATAATCATAATTGCTTAGTTACGATACTTAATTAATAATTTTGACCGTACTATAAATCTATTCAATATATGTATAATTTTATTCTATTTAATAAAATCTTATTCATTCCAACAACTTAACTAAGATTACATACAATACATTGAAGAGTTATTAGCATTTCCTTTTCGAAATACTAATTTTAAAATTATTTTGTTGCAATCATCCCTTATATAAAAATTTATTTCACTGTACTTTCATTTATATTTTTTGCTAACTTACTAATTTCAAATGAAATGGTCAATTTTTTAAAACCTGTTTAATCGATTCTCTATTTGATCAATGCATACAATCATCAATTTTTCATTGAAGTGCTTTATTTAGTTTTACATTTCATGAAATTGCTGTTATATTACAATGTCCGGAGGCAATTAAATGAAAATTCGTCAAATATTTTTAGAGAATTTGTTGTCTTCTCCTAATAACGCTATTATAATCTCCCGGGATATACTAACAAATGAATCGATATGATTCTGTTCATCAAATCAAATTACACCTTTCTACAATTATTTCAAAATATTCATTAAATCTAACAATATAAAACCAAACATATTATTTAAAAAACATTGCTTGGAATAATTAATTGTATATTTTACATTATAATGGCAATATTTAATCAATAATTCATATGAAAGCATCATATTTTTTATTTTTTGTTGGCATTTATCAGTATTATTGAGTTGTGTGGTTGTGGTACTCATTATTGTTTTATCTTATCATTAATTATTTTCCATCCACTTCTTTTGTGTTTTTTCATTTAACCTTATCAATTCCAACAGAAATTTTGTTTTTGTTTTTGTCGTTGATGAGCGATTTATTTTAAAGCGTATCTCCTCGGCTATCAACGGTTTTATCTATGCAACATATTGAAATTAACGATATTCATTTTGCGCCACGAATGACTTACAAAACAGCTAGTGGCAAACCACTCTTACAGGTAATTCATTCTTATCTTATCATTATTTGAATTATAAAATTGTTTTTTTAATTACCTGCATTACTTAATGTTTCAGTCTTATTTTAAGCTATTTTCGACCTGATTTTTATTTTAATATTTTTTGAGATTTCTTAGGATATATAGATGAGAATCATTTGATATATGAATTATGCTTGATATTAAACTGTGTTATCTAACTTTAATATGAAGCATATTTTCGAAGAAAAAAAAATTTAAATAGCTCGAAGATATATTTGACAGGTATGTATATTAATTACAGAAAAAAAGTTTTTGATTTCGATTTTAACAATTTCTTTTGTTTGTATTTCCAACTTCCATTAGTTTGTAATTTTTAGCTTCTTTTATAACTGTACCTATTGATTTAATGAGCGTTGCCTAATATACCGAACCAAGCTAAGATCACTTCGTATACGGATAAAAAAGTTTTCGAGTCATGGTAAGATGGAAGTGAAGTGAGAAACCAACTAATAATAGTTTAATGTGTGTTCGTGTTAATAACCATCGCTACTTATTTTTAAATTAATTAATATAAGTTATTAAGATAGTTCTCCCTCGTCATTATTTTTATTTTTTTGAAGTGATGATCTGTGATGTTTATCAGTAACATTTAACTGTTAGGACCCAAACAGTAGTAAAACATATTTCTCACGAATCATTTCTATTGTCATTTCTCAGCAAAGCTATTGAAATTACTAAAAGTCTAATTTAGTTAAAATAGTTCGAAAAATCTTAGCTTAACTAAAACAAACAAAAATTAAAGTGCGGGCGTGGGATAATCATTATTCATATCAAATTTTAAAAATTTTTCACACCAAATTTGAATTTGTTTTCAATTCATAATATTTGGGTAATATAGCACAGTTTATTGTAATATCACTATAATTTCATTCAATAATTGATGATTATAAATGGGAAATTTAACAAATTTAATGAATGAAATTAAAAATTGGATTTCTTCCAAAAAAAAATTTGAGTTGATAAAAACAATGATACAAATGATTGAATGATAAGGAGATTAGAAGAAATACTTGAAACAAAATAGAGGCTAAGATGAATGTATAACGGAAGATTAAAGAAATAATTTTAGCAAAAAATATATTACGATGATTGAAAGAGTTTTATGAAGTATAATTCGTATGTATTACTTTAATTCTTAAGCTCAAGTTAGAAATATCCAGTTTAGAGCATTGAAAGGTGTATTTTAGATTTTATAGAAGTTCACATTACATTTCATCACGTTAATTATCACTTTTTTGTTTTTTGCTCCTGAAAATTCTCATTGACTTAATTTTTCTTTTTAAATAATTATATTAAAATGATAATAATTAACGGTGCAATCCCTTTTTGCATTTTTATTTTTCGCTATTTTCTTTTATCAATTTCTATTTTTAATTTCTTAATCAAACATTTTATAGCTCAAATTAAAAATAAAATTGAAGGAAAGGATGAAAAGTGAATTTTATATTATTTCTTCAATATATTTCAGTGGTGGCGACGGCGGACATCACTTGAACAATTTTTCGTTTTGCTTACATTTCTTATGACCGCAGCTATTATTATACTGTTGGCATTATTCCTACATTTAAATGATGATATTGCTAGTAAGTTTGTTTGAAAAAATAGTGACAATATTAAATCAATGCAAAATAATATCATTTGACAAATTCTGATTACTTAGAAAATTGTTGAAAAAAACTAACGATGAAATATTATTTAATTAGAATTAAGATTGTTCGGATAAAAATAAATTACTAAAGCTACTCATTAAATTAATCATTTCAAGCTTATTGTAAATTTAGAAATCGAAATCTTAAAATTCTTAAAATTTTTTGTTGTATATACGTCACCGTTGCTTAATAATGGTAATGAATTTTTACAATTTAAACTTAATTTTTTCATTAAATATTAATGATTTGTTATTTTTTTGTTTTCTATCTTTTATTTTTTACAGATTCGAAGAAGAAAATTTTTGGTAATAATGACAACAATATGATAGCTTATGACGATGTTGAAAAACGGGTATGCTTAACAAAAGGTTGCATTCAAGCTGCAAATAACCTCGTAAGGATCCATTTTCTGTTTCGATTCATTTTTCACAGTTTTGAATTTATATAATCAGCTGGAAAATATGCTTGTTGAAATAAAATTCCTCCTATTATGATGACCTCAGAATTCTGTGCAAAACTAAGCTTTCAAAATTAAGCTTTTCAGTATTAATCTTTATCAACAGTAAACTAAAAGACCAAACAAAGAAATAACTTTAATATATGAGAGGATTTAAATGAAACGATCGTACTTTATAGAAATTAAATTCAATAATTACTTGTACTTTTAATCCATGAGTATCACTGATTAGAGTATATGAGATTGTTATTATTCTACTGCTATCATTTTAATTTATTAACATTGTTTCACTTAAATCAAAGGATTTAAGAATATCGTCGTTTTGTTTTTGCATTAAAGTAGAATTTAAAAATTAGCAATCATACCAAGTAATAAATGTTTATTTCGCATATCTGTTAATGATTACATTTAACAAAATTAAAATAATGGCAGTGAATTTTTGTAATTTAAACTGCTGTATCAGATTACTTCTTGTTTCGGTTACTGATCACTGATCACTAAATGTTAATGGTGGCTTCCAAACCTATCCAATTAAATAAGCTTATTCACAGATCATATTTTATTACAATTATTTGTCTTTCTGCTTTCGTTATTAATTAAATGATCTATTATAAGTAAGTGTCTTGATAATGTTGTTAAAAAATGTATTTAAGCTAATGGCAATGAATTTATCGGCTGATCCATGTGACAATTTTTTTGAATACGCATGTGGCCAATGGAATCGCGATCATATGATACCAGACGATATGTTTGCTTATGGTACCTTCGCATCTGTCAGAGAAAATGTCCGTCAGCAGATGAGAGGTAATATTGATTGTTAAATTAATATGTCAAAAATCTTATTTTTGTTATTTTTTGGAAGCGTATTTGGAATACAGTAAATGAAACATATTTCTGAAAAGGATTAAAGGTTAGACTTTTAATTACTCATATAAATAAAATCAACTTTTGAATAAAATTATTGTTACTTAAAGTGTAATGTTTTTATTGCCATTTGCTAACTCAACCATAAAACTCTAATCTTAACTTTTATATAATCTAAACTGATCATATTAAATTCTTTTTGTAGTATTGTTGGAGTCAGATGTATCACCAGAATCCAGATCGATTAAAATGACGCGTATTGCTTATCAGACATGTATGAATACCAGCAAGCTTGAATCAGTCAAATCATCGTATGTTTCTTATTTCATTAATTTGAATTAAGTCAGTTGTGATGTAAATCAATTCAATATTAGCTTGATCGATGTGTAGTAATGTGAGGAAATATCATTATAGCATTATATCAATTGAAAGCTTTCAATCAGAGATTATATTCTCAGAGATTATGATGAATAAGAAGGGATGAAATAGGAAAAAGAAGTTAATAAATAAAACGTAATTGGAAATAAAGCAGAATGATAGCAGGTGCTGTTGGTTCAAAAAAGACCGAAAAGAATTAAAACTGCGATGAAAAAGTTTTAAAACTTTACCAAACAAATTCAATGGCTACTGAGATTTTGCATATCAATGCCTTGTTTCCAATTACATTTTATTCACTGATATTCCTTTTCCTATTTCATCCCTCTTCATTGTTCATAATGAGATTATATACTTTAATTGAAAACTTTCAATTGATATAATGCTATAACATAGTATTGTTAATTGATTAAATGGTAAAGCATATTAGTTTGTGAGAATAATTAATGATTTATGCTATTTAAAGGTCCTTATCAAATAAATAATTGCATTCAGACAGTTTTTGTCGTCACTTCGTCAATTAGCTAAGTGGCCATTATTGAATGATAACAATGAGTGGGATGATAATTCATTTGATCTTACTTATATCTTGGCTTCATCTCGTCGATATTTTGGAAATGAAATTTTTTTTCAAATTTATGTTTATGCGGATGCTAAAAATACAACAAGGAATATTTTATATGTTTGTTCCTCTTTTTTATCCTTCTTATTTCAATTATTAAAATAATAAAATTAATATTGATCAGTGCATTATTAATGATTATAAAATTTAGTGGAATTATCAGGAAATAACGAAACAGTGAAATGAATAAATAGGCAAAAGTCATTCTCATTAATTAGCTTCTTTATTCATATGAAAATGTTTTGAAATTGGTGAAGATATGATCAGGAACGATCTTAAGAGTAGGAGAATATAATAAATGGCATCGTTTCTTGTTAGAGATGGCAACATTCTGGAAGAAAGAATTAAATGATCTATTAAAAACTGTTGAAATTTAAGACTATAATTTATTAATTAGAAAGTTTTTGTAAATGAGGTAAGTTACTTCTTACAAACTTGCATACGGAAGGGTTTGCATTGAATTAAAAATTTTTTAATCTTTATCTTAAAATTTCTTACGGAACTTATTTAAATTTAATTACAAAATCTGAAACTGTAATAATTGAATTTCGAAATTTATTATGCTAGAATTATATTTAGAAATGTATTTAAAAGAAACTGTATGTTAAAAATTTGGATAGTATTCATTTTGTAAATGCTTCTTCTTAATAATAAATAGTTTATATTCTTTATTAAATGAACAAATTTCAGTTAGACCAGGGAGCGCTTGGTTTAGGTCGTGGCTCGCGTGATTATTATTTGAATACAACCATGTTTGCTAAACACTTGAATGCTTACAAGAAGTATCAACTCAATGTTATCAAATTACTATTGGATGATGCTAATGTTATCTATAACTTATCACAACTAATCACTGATCTCAATAATATTATCAATTTTGAAACCAAATTTGCTGAAGTAAAGTTTTACTGATTTAATGTATTAGCTAAAAATAATTAGACATTAATTTCCATTTTCAATAATTAATAGCCAAGAAAAAAGGAAAAAAGCTCATCTTTTTTACTTGATATTTAAAATGATAATAAAAATGTTAGAAATTGTAAGATATGAATTTCATAGTTTATTTACAATGGATTTCTGATAATCTTTAAATAAAATTTAAAATATAGAAGCTAAATGAATAAATGTAATAATTATTAACAATTACTGTTAAACTAAAAAAGCTAGGCTGATTAAAATGATGTAAATCCTACCTATACAGACAATTTCAGGTTAAAGCAATATTTAATCTTTTAGATTATAGTACCAGAAGATGACCGACGTAACAGTACACGGTTATATAACGGCAAAACAATTTTAGACTTATACACATTGCTTCCAGAGGTTTCCTTCTTTTTTGTTGTTCTCAATTATCAAAAGTTTTTAGCAATTTCAAACATTAATTTAGAAATTAAATATGTGGGAAATAAGCAAAATATGCAAAAATTATTTTTTCTAATTATTTATAAATTGTTTAAAAAAGACGAAATGTAATGGCGCAGTGGTTGAAATGTTTTTTGATATTAGAAAATTAAATATACATGGAATAATTATTGGTAAACTTGAAGATACATTTAATAATTACTATAATTTGCATTTTCGAGTTTTTCAAATTTAAATCGAAATTAATAAACCGAAGAATGATTGCAAAAATTTCTATAATTTATATTTTACCAAAATTTTAGGTGGAATGGCTAACTTTCTTCTATCAAATATCACCAAAATCAATTCACAGTTCTATTAATAATAATACGCAAATAATTGTCGGTGAAGTTGATTACATGTATAATATTGCAACACTTATCAATAAAAACAGCAATCAATTGCTGGCAAATTATATTTTCTGGCGAATTGTACACTCTTGGGTTAAAATATTAGATGGGCGATATGAAGATATCAAACAGGTTTTTTTTCTAATTACTATCAACTTTTCCGGATAACTTATCCCGGTATATTACGCGATTGTTGTGGATTTTTATTTTATTTTACTTTGGGAGAGCTTTGGTATGACACAGTTAAATAGTAGTGAACGCTTAATTTTCGATGGAGAGATTTATTCTTTTCGACGATGTAATACAATTATCAAAAACATAGACAATTGAGTCGGTCGTTTAACTTTACTGTTGATCCGGGGGACTCTTCATTAAGGTATTGGTTCAGAGAAGCATCGATGGTAAAACCAAATTCGTTTTAAAGTAGTAAGTAACAGTCCTTCCTTTTTCTGAGTCGGATGGTGCTTGATGAATACTGTTTATAGTTAAATAATGATGAACAAGGAACATATAATAGGTAAGGAAGACGGTAATTTTATGTTAATTATTTATAATATTCTATAGAATAATGAGAGGAAATATTAAAGAAAGCATATCAAATGTAATGATACTTTTTTGATTATGTAAATATTTTCATATTATAAAGTTAATTCGGGTTTCCGACAACAACAAAACAGTAGATCATATTAAAGCTGAACTAAGCTACATAATGATGGAAATTTCAATCAAGTCAATTTAAATCAAATAAATACATTATTAGTACATGTCATTAAAATATGACAAGAAATTCAAAAAGGAAAAATTGATTAAGTAAAATGATTTAATAAAATAAATGTGAAGGTTTTTATTATTAGGTGGAAGTTGAACTTTTAGTTAATTATTAAATGAACTAAAGGCTGAATAAAAATTTCAAGGTATATTCATTCGTTGTCTTCTTTTCTTATAACTTCAAAATATATTTGTGTAGATTTTAAAAAATTTTTTTGCTGGTATGTGAGAAGGTTTAAAATATTTTCAGGTTTTTCTACGGGTAATGACAGGTCAACAAACCAAATCACCACGTTGGAAAGAATGTGCCCAAGGGGCGATAAATTTACTGCCACTAGCTGGTGGGGCACTTTATGTTCGAGAACATTTTAATTCTACCGATAAGAAGGAAGCATTGGTTAGGAAACGTTCTCTCTTATTTTTTATTGAAATTATTTAATATTTCTAATCTTTGATGCCTATTTTTCTTTAATTTATTATTTCATTAACAATCAATGTTTAATTAACAGCCACTCTTTTCTGCTATATCTTTTATTTTAATTAACAATTCAATTAACGATCAGTTTCTGTTCTGCTATATCTCTTTCAAATTTATAAATTAATAATTAAAAAAAAAATATTTAATTAACGATCAATCTCTTTTCTACTATATTTTTCAATTTTAGAAATTAATAATTTTAAAACTGCAGTACCACTCATTTTCATTTGCAGTCATACATTTTCACTATTATTCAATATACTTCCACTAATTTTGCAGAAAATGATTGCAAACCTTCAAGAAGCATTCAAAGAACTCGTCCATGAAAGTGATTGGATGGATGAGGAAACGAAGAAAGTTGCAATTGAGAAGGTTTCATTTGATAAATTGTTGTTGACAGCATTTATGCATGAAGCTAACTAACTATAAAATAATATTACTAGAAGTGATGAGTAAGTATGTAATAGATAAATAAGTCGATAAATAGATACATTAATGAATGCAATAATTGTTAATGTGATAGTGAATTGGCGAAAAGTAAGAGTTATTAAGCATTGGGAAAAAATCTATTCTATGAGAAGCGAAAACGAAATGTACAACATGAAACCTATGAAATTTGAATAATTTTGATAAGTAAACAGATAAATAGTGAATAAGTAAAAAAATACATTAGGAAGTTTAATATTCGTTAATGTGAAATTATTTATTGTGGAATGAAAGTCGTTGAAAAAGGAAAAAAGTAAAAAGTTTATTTTTTCTCTTATTATTATCAGTTGATAAAACGATGAGATAAAATTAAATTTCAATAAGAAATTATTTGAAAATAAGAAATGAGTTATAGTGAACTGAACGAATATTCCTAGAAGAAAATTATAATTTTAACGTTAAAAGCAACAAAGACAAATGAAAATATATTTTCGACGGTTAATATTATTTATAACATAGTGGCATCGATCAGATAATATAATTCATTCAACGAAAGAATGATGTTATTTCAATAGTTTCGCAAAAAGTGGAAAAGTTAAAGTTGCATTTTAGGCAGTAAGAATGATTAACAATATTGGATATCCTGATTTCATTAATAACTATACGGCACTCGATAAACATTATGAAAAAGTATGAATTTATTTCGAAAAAAAGATTTTTTTAACCTTTGCTTATATTTTATTTTTGGTATGAGTAATTTGGAATTGATTTTAATTTCAGTATCAATAAAAACTGCCAAAATTATTGAAAGATATATCTATTTGCTAGTATGAATAATCATATAAAATAACAAACAATTATTTTGCAAAACTATCTTTTAAAAAAAAATTATTAATTAGATTCGAAAATTTGAAATGAAATTTAAAATATTAGTGATAAATATCCAATAAAGGTATTAAAATATTTATAGTTAAATTTCACTGCTGAGGATTCATATTTCGAATTGCTGCGGAAAATACTTATATGGTCACAAGAAAAAGAATTTTTACGAATGAAAGAACCATTTGACAAGAATGAATTCGAAGTTAGTCCAGCAGTTGTCAACGCGTTCTATTCACCGGAAAAAAATGCCTTAAGTAAGTTAGTCATTGATTAAACAAGTTTTGCAATTTTCAATAAATTAATTAACTTTTATTTCAAACTATTATTACTATTGTTATAGTTTCTAAAATTCTTTTTCCAAGCATCTATTAATTTCTGCTTTAGTTGATGGAAAATTATTAAAATTTTGATATTCAATTAAGTATTCATTAAACATATTTCTTAATTATTATCTTTCGTTGAAAATACTCCGAGAAATATCAAAAATATTTTTGTTTTTTAAAAATCAATAGTATGTGTTTTAGCATTCCCTGCAGGAATTCTCAAGCCACCATTCTTTAGCGGTGCTTATCCAAAGTTTGTTTTCTTCTTAATTTTTCTATAAATGCAAAATAAATTTCACTTTTTAATTCTTTCCAATTGAAGAATTTTTCCGTTATATTCGTGTTGCTTAAATATTTAATTATTTAAATTTTAAAAGTAAAGTTTCAGAAATTTTTCTCGTTAAGTTAACGAAATTAAATTTTGCGTATTTTTAAAATTTGTAATTAATTTGTTATGATGAGTAATGATAAGCTAGTAAAATTTTTCCTTTCTAGAATGGTAAATTATGGTGCAATAGGTGCAGTAATAGGACATGAAGTTACACATGGATTCGATGATCAAGGTTTTATCTAATCATATCTTTGCTTGTATTCTTGATAATTCCTTTTTTTTTGGCTTGATTTTTAAATTTTCAAATAAGTTGCATTAAAATTATTGTTAAGTTAATTGTATCCAACATTTTTTGTATTTAGGAAGTCAGTATGATAAAGAAGGTAATCTACTGAATTGGTGGAATGCGGATTCATATAATGGATTTGCTAAACGGAAAGAATGCATTATTGATCAGTACAGCTCATATGTTGTACCAAATACGGATTATAAGGTAGGATAAGAAATCACATATGAATTAATCCATTATTTTGAGAAAACGTGTCTACATGCATATATTAACTAATACAACGGATTTTGGTAACAATTTGAAATTCTTTTGTTAGTTCATCAATTTATCGCGCTAAACATTAATTATGATTTCATAATGGAAATCATTTCATTACAAAATCTTTACTTTAGGTTAATGGTAAACTTACGCAAGGTGAAAACATAGCTGATAATGGTGGCGTAAAAGAAGCTTATAGGGTACGTTTTAAACATTCATAATTGCGAAAAAAAGAAAAAAAATTAATCAGGGAATGCATTCATTGTTTAGCTATAATAAGCATAATTAATTATTACTTACCATTGAGTAAGTTTATAGCAATTGTTTATTATGATTATGCAACAAATATTCTCAATTTTGTTGAAGTTGACGATTCTCATGGATAGAGATAGAATTGAAATTGCATGGAGTACTATCAGCAATTTCATGCACATGGATTGATAAGGATTTTTTTTGATATAAATAATGATATAATTAATATTTTAGGCATATAGGAAATACGTGAATCAGTTGGGGCACGAAGAACCGCACTTGCCAGGCTTTCAAAATTTCTCCAATGATCAAGTGTTCTTCCTGTCTTACGCTCACGTATGTTTCCCATATTTGTTATAATAATTTCTTTGATGCTACACGATATTATACACACAATATGCCCAATTTAAATAACAATTTTGGTTAATCTTTCAGTGGAATTATTTCATTTATTTTAAGTTTTGGTGTGGCCATAAGAAGGAAGCAGCAGCATTGCAACAAGTGCTTATTGATGAGCATAGTCCTGAGGTATTCCGAGTCATTGGAGTATTGTCAAATTTACCCGAATTCAGTAAAGCGTACAGCTGTCCGCAGGGTAGCCAATTAAATCCATTAAAGCGTTGCACGGTTTGGTAAACAATAATAATGACAACAACAACAACAATGATGATAACAGAATAACAAACAACAATTGATTGAACAAGCGGGTACAGTAATAAATGTGAGAATAAAAATGGGGGAAGAACAACAAGAAAAGAAATAACATTAACAGTGATAATTCTGAAAGGGCAGTGAAGTTCATAAATTATAGTGTCAAAAATATTAATATTAACAGTAGTTATTATATTATCAGTAGCTTTTAATGATGTTATTACTTAGATATCTATTTACACGATCTCGTCCAGAATTGTCTTATGCGAATTATCACTTTTTTTAAAAATTGGAAAACTTTTATAATTAATTAATCAAAACAAAATACAGAAAAATATAATAAAAGATCTGAGCTTATATCACTTATAACTAAGATGCCATTTACATGTAGTAAAATGTTACTTACACCACTTTAAAAAATATTTTAAAAAGCAAACTCTTAAATAGCCACTGCCAAATTACAGACTCCATTAATAACAGTGATTAGAGACGGTTCATTTGCTTGATTAATAATAAGAGACACTTCTGTCTCTTGTTTTGATTTCTTTTCTTCCTATTTCTTTTTTGATATCGCTTCTTTTAAATGATAATTTTTTCACTATTTTTACATATTTTATTTAAAATTTGTATTTAATGAGCTCTAAAATAAGAGAACAAGGAAGAGTATTGTATGGAATGGAACTTTGATCCATCGAACTGCTTGACTGTTCGAAAATGAAAATTGTTGTGATGGCATTAGCTGAATTATGCTCCTAACATTTTCATCATTAAATTGTAATGTAAAATACAGTTTTTCAATTCTATTTTACAAATTTATTTGACTTAATGAATTAACATAAATTATTCCATGTGCTAAAAGTTGAAATTCTCAAATCTATTGTAAAATTCTTTTATCAATAGTGATTTCTATGATTGTATCATTTACTTGTTAAAGTTGACAGGATGAAAGCCAATAATAATTGGTCAATTAAATGTACAACAATTTCAAGCCTTAACTATCATAAATCATTTTAATAATGAGGAATTTAGTACATATGCTCAGCCTATCGTCTAATATTATTGTCTTTTACAATGATTATACCTAAGATGACAGAATGACAGAATGATCATCACCAGGTGGTCCAAATTTTCGGCAGTTTGTGAGAATAAAAGAAATTTTCTCAATCCCGACGTCTTTTTTTGGAACAAAATAAGTCTAGAAAAATTGTCAGCTGGAAGAGATGCATTGCACTGAGCGGTCAAACATAACATGATTCTTATTGCAGAGTAAAAGCATGAAGATGACCGTGAATGACCGGAATTTTCTTCAGAACTGGTCATCTCTCACTTTTCTCCTGAGCTTTCTGGATTTTTTCTAGCAGACGATCAGCAATTCGTTCTTTCTTAAAGTTTTCGATTTCTGGAAAAAGCGTTGGTTGTATAAGTTTCAAAGCAAGAAATTCGCATTAGTTATTATAACATAACATTAAAACCAACCTCTTTCTTCTTGAGTCATAGCTGCAACACTTTCTCCAAGATTTTGAGTTAACTCAGTAAGCGACATTTCCGAGACACTCAGTTTACTTCTAAAAAATTAACATCAACTAGTGGTCTACTTCGACTAGCAAGATCTTTAGTTCTTGATATTACTAACAAACGTTGATATTACTAACAAACGGCAGTGTTTTCTGAATGTAAAACAGTGTCCATATGAGAAAGATCAAGAACAGAATCCCAGAATCCACAGAGAAAAAAATAAAATAAGACTTCGCCATACCTTCTTTTCCTCCCACCTGCTTCTTTCTTCGTTACTTCTAATGATTTGCCCAATTTTTTATTTGCTCTAATCTGAAACATTTCAATGATACAATATCCTACAAGTGATCTTTTTATTCAATACTTTTTTAGTATTTCTTTGTTCTTCGTGTCTTCTCAATGTTTTATTACTTTGTCTCACAGATTAGAATTGCCCAACTATTGCTGCAGAAATATTGAAGCTCTCGTGCATAATTATTTTTATTTTTAGGTAAACTACTTTTCTGAAATTGCCGCCTCTCTTACCTAGATGTCATTTTCAGATATCAGACGTGCTCTTATTTACCTTGACACTATTCAGACAAATTTGACATCCACTTACTGCTAATTTAGTCCTATCCTTCTCAACCTATCTCCTCTCATGATCATATTTCTCTATTGCTACTTTTATACTACCTTATAATTATAATCTTATTATAAAATCGTTCCACTGAAATTTATAACACCATTGAAATATGCAAATGTTTGATAACAATAAATTAGCTAAATCATAGCTGTTATCAGTGCTTTGCTATGAGCCGTTAATTTTCATAGTTCGCTTCAGGGCTTCATTTTGACCTTAATCTTTAGTTTTCTGAATCATAAAATATAAATAACTTACCGATCCAGTCGACGGTCCGCTTTCATTTAGCTGTTTCTTTCCAGAAAGTAATAAAGCATCACTCACATCTTCACCTTCTATGCTTTTGTCGAATCCATCCTTTGAGTAACGCTTCAGTGTTTGCAGCATCTAAAACATTTCTGATATTACGTTTTAAACCATTTAGCTCCCCTGATTAGGCTTTTAATGCTTTGGATTATCTAAGTTAGTCCACTAGTATTTACCAATGCTTTTCTGGCTTATCTGAAGCTTCCACATGAGTGTTTTCCAGCTTCGATGCCAGTAGCAGACTCCAATATCACAGGAAGATAGAATGACTGTAAGTGCTGAAGCTCTGATAAAACGCAAAACTATATTTTTTTTACAATAAATAAACAAATAAAGAACCTGTGTTGCAGAAACCATATTCTGCATTTGTTCTGTTTCACTGCTTGTTGAGCAAACTGACGGATCCACAAGATATCGTCGATGTCGAGCGTGAATAATATGTGATTTATAAGCTTTCTCTTTAAGTGCTGAGCGAAAGCAACCCTAAGATTAAATAAATTGAAAAAAACGAAAATATATAAATTTCATTTACATTGAATTCAACAAATTATCTTACCGAATTTTGACGAGGCGTTTTTTTCGGTGACAAATTTGCTCCCATTTCTGTTCCCGTGCTTCTTAAAATGCTGCAAAATACATAAGTAAAAATTCTCATTTATTACAAATCTCGCTAATCAGATGACAAAGAACTAATCTAGGACATCAACTTAGATAAAATGGATCCTTATCAAGAGTTGGTTCAGAAGTCGATCTGGAGTTACTTTTCGATAATTGTAACATTCTGAGAGATTTTAAACTTCACTTAGAATTGTAATAAATGAATTGTGCTTCACGACATTAGAAAAAATGAAATGTCTGTTTTCGCACTTCGAGAGGTTTTCATTAACACTCAGCCACAGGAGATAACCAACAACAGAGAAGTTACTATCAGAAAAGTACGATTTGTTGCAAACTAAAATTAAACAGCAATTACCGGCTTTTCTGAATTATAAGATATTTATAAGAACTAAATCAACAAAGAAGAAGAATAAACTTACCGACATTATAAGAATTAAATCAACAAAGAAGAAACTCACTCATTATAAATTTCCAATACTGTTGTTTGAATTAAATTTATGTTTAGATCAGGCGGAAGACTGGCTTTTTCCTTCGCAGCAAGATATCTGAAAAAATGATTTTACAATAATTTTCGTTGAAACTTTATGTGGAAATTCTTTGCCAATAATGAACGAACCGTTTACAAATGATATCTGCTTGTGTAAGTACAACATCATCACCGAGTGCTTTCAGAAAACTATGTTCCTGTGTTTCAGTCTCATCCAAACCGCCTTCATCTAATTCCATTAAATCAAAGCGACGATGCAACAATGGATTGTGCTGAAAACTATTCAAATGCTATTTCTCAAAATGATTTAACATCTGCGGTGATTACTTATCAAAAAGTAAGTAATTCTGTGCCGGATGTAAATGATTTTTTAATTGTTAGTTGATGAAGCTATAGTGATCCATGTTGGAAAAACCGAACTATTATACGTCGAAATAAATTTGCATTAAATCCACAAGACTAAAACTATTGCCTTTTTTGAATATTCCAAAATGATTTCTTATTTGAGATAGTTTTGTATAAAACTGTTTCAAACATGAAACTATTTCAATTTCATATCTCAAATAAGAAATATTTATTCAAATCTCGTCTTTCAATTGTAGCTCAGCTTATCTGCTTTGTTCAGAATGTTACAATTTGTTAATAAAAACCTTGGGCATCACGTAATATATTTAAACATGCTCCCAATTTCACTGTTAACATCTTCCAACTTAATGGCCACACTTACATTCGACTGCTAAATGGTTGTAAGCTCTTCATTCTGTTAACTTTCTCTGTTCAAAACTAAATCTACTTTCAATGTCAAAATATTACAATAAGTCTTCCGATATAACAATCACCCATATAAGCAATTTACAAAATGTTTAAAACCCAACCCCCAAGTAGTAAAGAGCAAAGATCATCCGGTAGAATGTCTTTTTACTCACTGTAGTATGTTTGGCCCACTATTAAACCCTTTATTCAAATTTTCGGAGAGTATCAGCAAGTATCCTGCGGTTAGTTTCGTCCACTCCTTCAGCTGCTCATTCAAATTCTTTACTTATTTTGCAAACGTTTATTTCTTCCGCTTCATCTCCTTCAACCGGATTTCGTGGATAATATTTCTATGGAATTATCAGTATGCTGCCAGCATAGATTAATACTTTGTGTAACGTAATTGTTAGCGAATAAAATTCATTACAATAGACTGTATTAGACCACACATCCGTTTGCACAAGCTTCGGACTAAAATCAAGAATGGTTCCCTAACAAATCCATAAAAAGAATTCTTCACAAATTTTTGGTGCCGAGATGAGGTCAAATGTCTCGTATCATATTAACGACAGTTGAACCGGCCAAAAAAGGTCGAGAAACTCATCAGACTCGCCACCGGAACTTCATCTACCTAATATTACGCCCGGGACTTCACATAAACACACTCGAAGCAATAAACCGAGATTGACTAGAATATAACCAAAGGATTATAATTCAAAAACTAAGAAAAGAATAAGAGGATAAATATGCGGAAATGGTCGGAGATAGTAAAAGTATTTTAAGTTTAATAAGTGATGTTAAAGAAACTGTTATAAGGTTAAATACGTATATCGACGATAATGAATTGGTTCTACAGCAATTAAGTCAGCAAGATACGAAAGAATAACCTCTACAAAAAGAAATGTCGCGATATCACGCTACGGTAAATTTCCCACAACTTCTACTTGCAACGTTTAGTGGTGATCCAAAAATTTGGAGACAATTCTGGAGCAGCTTCAAAGCGGCAGTTCATCTTCAAATTATCCGACACCCAGAAATTGAATTACTTGATGTCTTGTTCCAAAGGAGAGGCTTTACTGTCGTAAGAGGCTATGACATCACTCCGGAGAACTACGATGTCATAAGGAAGGTTTTGAAAGAAAAATATGGCAAATCTTTCATTACAAAAAGTCACTTTACTTTAAATTGCACTCAATTAAAGGAAATGTCGAGAGTGGAAAACAATCATTGGAACAATGGAAAGAATTCTGTTGCAAACTAGATGCTGTAGGTGAGAATTTAGAGCACTCTATATAGAATTCGTTATTGAAAGTAGATTATCGGCGTGCATATTGGACAAGATATATCAATTAAAGAAAGACTACTATAATTTATTTTTTGCGTGAAAGAAGCAACAGTATCTCCCCAAAGCTTTCACAAATATACTTTAGCCTAGTGTCATTTCTATGCTTTGATGAATATTAAAATGAGTTAAAATTTTTTTTTAAAGTTTGATAAAAATGAATAATTAAAATTAAAATTACTTAGAAATCAATCCCTAACTAAATTGTAAAAATGCATTTAAATTCAAACTGTGTGTTTTACAAAAAAAAAACATCAGTTTTCTAAAATAACTTCTTTTTCAAAAGCGTATATGCGGAATGCTCCTCCATTGATAAGTTTGAATAGAGCAGCAAATGCATCGATATGACGTTCTGGAATTATACACTCATTGACGAAATCAATCAAATCGGCCATCTGGTCAGGTGTAACTCGCACCTGTGCTACATAACTTTCTGGCTGTACAAAATATAGCGCATATGTTAAGTATATGCCGAACATTCGTTCCTAAACAAAAGGAAAATTTGTTCTATTTAGAAAGTTTCATAGCGTTGAATCAAAATCTGCGTCATTTTGTTACTACAGTATTTGGAATTCATCCACTTCCAGAAAACATTTTACTTTAAACAGAAGAAACCATATATCGCGTGACACTAATGTGCTATCGTTATCATCATATAATTTTCGATAGCTTCAAATCTTCTCATTAACTTCATCTTCACGCTCTATTTTATAGAAAAGTCTTGAAGGAATTCGAGTTCATTTTTCAAATATGCTTAAAGCATGTTTGAAAATTGAAACCTAGATTTCGAACCTGCAAAGTCATTTCATTGCTAAATCGTATATCTGAAAGTGACATAGGCTCATTATCTGCTGCTGATTCTTCGGCGTATTCAGCTGGTTTTCGTTCACGATATGACATAGCATACGAAATTGTTATTTGAAGCAATTTTTCACTGAACTAAATTTGTAACTGTTAGAACATTTAATTTTACAACTTACAGAGTTTTACGACGCTTTTAAACGATGGAAGCCATTTCATTGCTGGTAAAAAAACGGTAACGACTAAAAGTTTTAACTACTTCTTAAGAATATCCAACACAATTTTATGAGTAACTTCCTTCAAAAATGTTAGTAAAAATTAACTAGATTGGACTTGGAGTACTCAACTTTAACCAGCAATGAGTACATTTATGTATATATTTTAAGCTTTCTTTTCTAGCCCGAAAATATATCTCAGTGAGATACCTGCAGTTTCCAGCACTATAAGGAAAATATCTCGGGCAATCTTGAGAGAATGAAAACATAACTCACTTCATAGAGTTCAGCAGGACTCATACGACCCATAAATATTGTCGCGAATTTCATCTTGTCGAACAATTCAATAAATGGTTTATATCGAAGTGTTTCATTCTCTTTGTACAACTTTAATAAACGTTCAATGTCTTTCCGACATCCAGCCGTTATTGGCATTACCGAAGTACCGTGACCACGCATGATTCACTAAAGAAAATCATCAAGACTAAGACCGATAAAATACATTGCATAATTCCAATTTCGAAAGAGCTTCACACTCGTAAACATAATTGAAAAAATTATCCTGCGTGATTCTCTCAAACAGTATTGAGAAATGCAATAATGTAAATTTTGCTAACATTAAAAATATCCCTTGAATCTCAATACTTATATCTCAGAATTTTTTCTTTGCATATACAAGCAATTTAATATGATGTATGCGGAAGAAGAAATCACTTTCCATCCTTGAAAAAGTTATTTAAAGATCTCACCAGCAGCAAAACCTTTATTCTATGGTAAAAGAACAGAAGAAAAATTACTGAAGATTGCAAAAAATTTTGGAAAATTTATAATATAATTCAAATTTAAAATATACGATAATATCTAAAGGTATAAATTTAAGAGCAGTTCCGGAAAACTGAGCGCAATCAAGCTGAACCGACAAACTTCAAAAAAGAATCTGCGAATGAAAAATATTTACAACAAAAGTATAAAAAATGTTACTGGTCAATTAGTTTTTGTTAGGCTAACACTAGCTTCACTTTTGACTTATAGCCTAAACGACCGAATATCACACTTCAAAAACTCATAACCGCTGATAATTGCAGTCCAAAAGATATGAACACGAATTACTTTTTTAACCCTCTTATTTAGAATTTATGAAATGAATTTCTTTTCACCAATACATTATCCGTAAGACACTGTGACAAAAGTGTGACAAAAGTGCCTGAAACACCAATAATTTTTTCTAAAATCCGTTTGATCTGACAAGAAAGTTTTCGCCTGCCTCTCGGTATCTTTTTCCTCTACCTGCTTCATATTTCTATCCCTATTTCTTTGTTTGCCTGACAAATGCTTCATCAATTCCAGGAAGGAATGAAAATGAAACTCAAAATCTGATGATATTATTGAATCATGACACGAAATAATTTGGCCTTTCAAGCAAACACTCTTTAGAAATATGTACAACAACCGAAACTGCTACCAGCATTCCTTAAGAAAAATGAAAAAAAATACAACATATTTGCAAAAATTTCTAAATTATCATGAAGCAATGAAAACATCTACATGAAGAAAATCACAAACTAAAGAAAGCTGAAAATTATCAAAAGAAGAAAAAACATAACATTCTGTTCATTTATCAATGAATTTAGTTTATTCAATAATGTAATGAACGTTCTTTTTCAAGCAATAATCAGCGTGTCATTATGTTACAGATTAATCCATATTTTTTAGAGACTTATTAAAGGATGTTACAGCACAATGACATGTGAAAAAAATTCAGCATTTCTACTTAAATAATATTGTATACACAAAAGATTCCCGCTGCAACGAATACCATAAACATGCCAATAAAATAACCGGGAATCATAAATTAGTCACAGTTACAAATAAACTTTTAGTAAAGGAATTTTTTAATAAAAGGACAGCAAACTACTTAGAAGGAATGGTTTTCAACACCACCCATTTTCATGAAATCAAGGATATCCTTCTTCGTGATTATTCCGAGAAGGCGACCATTTCGCGTTACGAGTACTTGTCTTAAGCCAAGTTTTCGGAACATATCTATTACTGTTTCCATTGGTGTTTGATCGGTTACAGTCATTGGTGCCTGAAGATTCAATTTAAACTGAATCAATCAAATTTCTTTCTCCTTGGAATGCCTATTTGTTAAATGGAATCTACTTGGAGATTTCAAAAGAGGAGCAAATCACAATGAAGAGCAAGCGAAAATTTGGAAGTGAAACATTTTAAACTTTTCAGGTCAGAATTTAAAGATTTCCAGTAAAAACATTGTGTCCAATGCTTAGAAAACACGATTCAAGAAAAAGGGAAATAGAATCCAATTAGATGACATCTGTCAATAAGCACAAGTCACAAACTGTCATTGAGTGGTTTAGGCTATTTAACCATTTTATATACTGAAATTGGTAAAAATTTGTACATCTCACGTATTATTCGATCAAAAAATTACCAGATCGATGAGTTTACGAAAGCGCAGTGGCGCTGGAATACCGCTTGCTGTCTCTGGAACATCTGTCTTGAAATAAACGATTGAATTTGTGACAACATAAGGTTGTGACTTACGGGCAGAATGAAGAGCAAGTTGCAAATCACGCCTAAAACGTTAATTTTAAATATCTGCAAGTTTATCTTCAGAACTTGAAAGGTATTAATTTTTGTTTTATAATAAAAGTAATCTAAGTGAACGTTAAAGAACAAAATGAAATAATAACCGTGGACAGAATCCTACTAAGTATAAATTTTCCTCGCTAACAACAACTGGGAAGCCATTATAATTAGTTTCACGCAGCAAAACTTCAATGTCACCAACTGTCATCGTATCTTGTGTGATCACTCGTAACGTGCCACCACCTAGAAAACGAGAACAGAAATAAAAAAAGAGCTTATTTTTCTTAAAGTTGCAAAATAGCTAAAATTATAGCATGAACATCTTTTAAATAACTGTGAAAGACCCAAACTGTTCCGTTTAGAAAATTTCTAATGAAATAAGGAAAGTTTTCTACCTGGTCCAGGTTTCATTACTTGTATGGCAACAGTGGAATATGGATATTCGCCTTTGTTGTCTAAAAATGGATAGCCATTCAAATCTATATGCGCATCATATATGCCCTAAAATGTTATATTTTTTGTTTCCTGTTGAGTAATTACAATAAATTGACGAAAATTGACAAACACAGAGGAAGTCAGTGATCGAAACAAGTTATAGTACGATAAAAGCTCAGATAAATGAAACAATATAATATCCTGAATTTTTTTTATGCCGACACATCACAGTATTTGATATATAGTTCGGCGGGTGTATTTGTGCTGAAAATCAAGACTGCTATATTTTAGTGCTCATTTTATGACAAAAATTACCATTTTATAGAAAGCATCGCCAATCCACTTTGCAAACATTGTGGCAACCATTGTTGGTACGATAAACTCGAGGCTTCCCGTTAATTCAAACATAATTACAACTAATGAAACAGTCATCCTTGAAAATGAAATAAATTAGTTACATGAGCAAACAAAAAGTGGGAGAAGCCTTGTAGCCTCAATCATTCTCCTCAGTCTCATCACAAGTTTGAAAGACTGCTTAACGACAAAAAATTATGAATTCTTTAATTTATCGCATTCTTCCCTGTAAAAATTAATATTAAAAGCAAAACTAGGAAAAAAATAAAAATTAATATTAAAAGTAAAAACATCTAAATTGTGGACTAGATCAACAAAACTTTGCCTTACTAAATGTTTCAGTATCTTTTCAAATAATCTAGCAATATAGTCTACCTCGTAACTCCACCAAGCACAGCAGCAGCACCAACCATTGCATAAAGTCCAGGCATAACGCAATCCTTGCCAACCTGGCACGCCCAAATGGTATTGTGTATTTCATCATTCTTCTGAAGTAAATGAGACATTATTATATGCATACATATATGATAACGAATTGTAGTGACTATAACTTCATCCTAATCTATTTGAAAAAGAACTCATGAATGTTTAACTCAGCTTAATTCAGCAGTATTTGCTCTCATGAATGTTTAACTCAGCTTAATTCAGCAGTAATATTCAAATAAAAATAAGGTTTATAAAATTGGTGCTAGTTTCTTTCTCGACAGTGCCAAAATTCCCTAGTGCTAGTTTTTTTTGATAGTGAGTCCCGCTCACATTCCCTTCCCTTACGTTTAACATAAATATGCAGAAAAAAATCTTAAGCCTCGGAATGACAATCACTCTCTATTCAAATGTGAAACAGAGCTCAGAATTTTAGAATATACCTCATTAAAAAATAATCCACAAAACAAAAGTAATTAACAAACTTTCAACGTACTTGCAGAGACGCAGCTATGCCTTCTACAGTGATACCCAATAAACGACCAGCAATAGCACCCATAGCCAGACTTGGTACGAATAGACCGGCAGGAACTTTTATGCCAAATGTGAATATTGTTAATACCAATTTTATTATCAGCGCCAAAATAAGATCAATAAATGCGCTCTAAAAACAAAAAACGGACTTGAAATGGGGTTAATTTCAAAATATTTACCTTCTTTGTCAATAACGATAACATTTAGGAGGAAAAACAGATATTTCATCACTTTTGAATGCAAGCAGTTTCTAGCTATTTTAGGCAGACACCACTTTTCACTATTATTTCCCATTCACTGAAAAGTCCGCTAAATAGATAAAAAACCTTTTTTCTCGCTATAAATATAAAAATATTCCTGCTACTACAGTCCTCATCAATACCTCTTTTTCTTAAATATTCTATATGATGATGAGGATATACAAGATTTTTCTAGTGTACAGTAATTGGTACCATAACGTAATGAAACCTACACAACGTTTTTGAACATGGTCATCAGATAATATTTACAGTGAAGCATTAGACATTGTAGCAAAATGGCAGTAAGACAGCTCCAAAGTCTTTCCTTATTATGTAGCGTTTGACATAAACAAACTTCAAACTTACGTGCACTCCTGCTCCCAATTCTCCAGTGTGGTAATTATCATCCACTTTATCGAAAGAGAATGTTTTATTTTGATAATCACAAAGGTCCATCATAAAATCTTCGGGACCACAACGATCAAAAAGCTATAATTCATCGAATTATCAAAAGTGGAAGTGAAATGCTCGTTTTAGCATACTAAAAAGAGTTGACAAAACGATCGATACCCACTTGCTGAAGCAAAGGAATATATTCATCATTCCTGATATATATGAAAAAGCCAATCATTATGTTCCCTCGATTTGAAAATTATATTCTTTCATTCTATTCCCAATCAGTCCTTTTATAACATTATTTCATTCTAAAATGTGCTTTTTTTTTAAAAGCTTATTAGTTTGGCCACGTTCTCACTATTTGTTTTTGACTGCACATGGTTCATTATTGTAGCTACATATACCAGTGAACAAGACAATATTAAAAAGTATCCGAATTGTCCGAGTACGAAATAATGAGAGCAAAAC